ATTTTGCCCTGAAAATCCAATAAGCCCAAAAGAACGCTCTCAAAATAGCCCAAGCCCGCCTGCAAGCCCAGACGAGACCAAACCAATCAACCTTTTCCGGGCCGGTGAGACCGAGAAAAGCCCACGGACTCGGCCCGGGTTTCAAAAAAAGCCTGCCACGGACAACTGGTGCCCCCGGCATCCCCTGACGGCTGTTCGTTGGTCATTGCTGGGCTTGAGCGATCAACAGATACCTAACGCAATGACACACTAATCGAAAAAGTGGTCCAACAACTTGGAGCCAGGTGATTTCCCCGCGAATTGCAGCCGCCATCTACGTCAAACGCTCTTATCGCATTTGTGGGGGTGGTAGGGGGGTGAAGAGAGCAGAAAAATTGATGGCGACGGCATCGAAGAAGGTAATGAAAGGATTGTGTTAGGTAGCAATGTCTCTAATATACTAGTCAACTGGAAATTGACGGAAAAGTATAAGGACTATGGGTAACTTACTGAACTTTCGAACTTTCCGAAACGCGTCCCAAACGTCAAGCATTACGCCCACGTCAAGTTCGGCGCGTGACGGTTTTTTTTGTGAAACGGACGCTTTCGTCAAAGAAAATGAGCAGCTATCCACAATCTACAAGGATCAACCTGCTGACCCCAGGAAAATCCCAGAAATTAGGGATCAATGAAGCCAAGCTCGCACGCGAATTCCACACCCTCGAACCAACCACCGCAACAGATTGGCTTTAAAAATGCTGACGGCTTTCGACTATGGTAACCTTGCTTTTCAATTTGTACTGCTACTTTTAATTTTCTACAGCATTCGGAGGCTCGAGCCATGGAAGGTGAGTCTTCCTTGGATTTTCACCAACGTGCTGTGGCCGTTGGCAATTTGCCAGAAATACTATAAGACCCCTCCAAAACGGCTTAGATTTGGCACTTCCGCGTTCCTTTAAGGATCAAAACCCGGTATTGCTTGCCAATTTTGCCTTGTTACTTGTGGACGCGATACATTTGGTCTTTTTCAATGTGCACGACTATTGGGCAAGAATTCTTGGGGCTGAACCATATGGTAATTTTTTTCATCTTAAGCCCACCTGAGCTTTCTAGGCCCTACTGCACTAACAGTACTTTTCTATTGGATCAATTTTCGTCACTACCTGCAAATATTCACTTTCTGGCTACTGCCAATTTTACATTTAATGGCCATTTTTGCGGCTACGATTTATCGAAAATTTGGGAGGAAGGAGTCGATCTATCTGGTTTCTATTCCTATTATGGCAAGTATCGGTAAGTTGACGTTCCAGTTATATACGCAAAAATTTTAGTTTTTACCACCCTCTATCAAACTCTTTGTGATTGTAATGTTTATTTGATACCAGCTTACCAAGTTGGCACTAAACCCGACAAGGCCGAGTTTGCGCGGACGGTCCAGGGGATTGGACAGGTTTTAAAGGTATAAAAACATATTTCAGAAACATTAGGGTTAAATTTTAGATCATAATGTATACCCTGCTGATCAGTGCTGATATTTTGATCATATGGAAGATATACAAAATGCGGTTAATTGGCAGAAGAGCACCGCGCATCCCTGCAACTGCCAATCGGCTGGCAGGTCTGAGCATTAAAAAGAAGCAAAGAGGATCGGAATACGTCCTAATAAGCAATGTCCAAATAAAGAAAACGGTACAAGAATCGGCTGAACAAAATTTGCAGGACCCACAACGGGAACCACTTTAACAAATTTGAGCGAAACCCCATCTTCTATTCAACCGATCAGCCAAGTCCAGCGCCGACAGGTTTAAAGTTCATTTGACAATAACCGACTTTCAGAAATTTTCCTTCAAGATGTCACTGGAAACACGACTTGTGGTCGCCTTTATATTTGTTGCTCTTGCCTATCAGCTATTCCCAGTGTATTTTATGCTTATGAATGTGTGAGTCGACCATTACTCATACACGTGCTGTTCCATTTTATTTTTTATGGTTCTGTGATTGCAAAATTAAGAAATTTTCAGACTCCCGGCGGAAATCCTGCCGTATTTACGGCTGCTCGTGTACAACCTGGAAGCCAGCAAATGCACGGCCTATGTCTTGATAGTGACTCTGCGATAGATAAACCAGTCTAACCCGTCAAACTCCGATACAATCTCTTTTCCAAACTCGCACATCAGGCATCAACATCGAAAAAATCCCAGGCCTAGAACTGACGCCCGCAAGCTCCCACGCTGAATTGTCACGATGAAATAAAGTGTTTGAGCGGGGCATTTGATTGTGCTCAAAAAATTTTTTTATTATGGCAGGACATCGCCTTGGCAATATTTTGAGTGTGTGCAATGATCAGCCTTTTCTGCGAATACCAGAGAAAATTTCAGCTGTGAAAATATTCCATCGCATCTATGAGGAGCCACGCGATTTCACGGTGACGATCAGCGAATCCGGATCTCGGCCAATTCTTGAACCAATGCGCCCATAGATAATGAAGACCAAGCTAAAATATTAGTGCCATTAAAGCGCACGTTCAGGGAGGGGCCGTATACTCTGTCCAACGAATACACCCTATGGACGTAGGGACCGCGCGCACTGCCTGCCCGTGCTGTGACAGGCCATTCCCCTCCTTTGCAGCGTGGGGCGCCCCTCGCCCCCTCGCCGGGTTGTAGCTGTGGCTGACTGGTATACATCCGCGCCTCCCGAGCGGAGGGCCCGGGTTCGACCCCCGGCCGCGGAAAAATCTTTGCTTTTTTCCCAAAAAACGTCCCTGAACGTGCCATTACCGGATGTTCGAATTTACCTGGTGACAGCATTGCTGGCGTAATTTCTGAATGTATTCGCGACATTCCCTAGCACGGTATTCATCTTCCAATTGTCATCGTTGATGGTGGCAATTAGCAAGTCGACAAAACATGTCATATTGACGCACATTAACTAGATTTTCTTTGCTTTGACCATCGGTCGATCTTACCGAAACGATTAACCTGGAGTTGTCGGTTGAATGCGTCACATCATCACCTCGAATGATCTAAAAACTATCTCCCGTCCGTGGTAGATCCTTACTTTTATCTTCAACTTCCAGAAAGTTGCTAAGCTTATGACGATAGTTACAATAAAAATGCCGAAGTAAATCTTTTGAGTCCAATCCAGGAACTGCCGAGTGAATTCACTAGAGTAGTAGCTAGTTTTGGCCGCGTAGAACAAGGGGCTGAAATAGGCTCCCGCTTGGCATTGGAAGTCTTTGGAAAGTGAATCGACTAAAAAATATCGTAGTCAACAACATCTAACGTTATTTCTTACGCGTCCCAATAATTGATAACTGGGCGCCAATCGGCAGTAACAATAACACAATGCCATAGGGCCATAGAACTAATTGGAAAGAAGAAGATCGCTTCCTCCCCATGAAAATCAACAACATCCTGGGGGATAATAAACTTAATTAGATCAGATTATATACCTATCGATTGTGACCGCATGAAAAATTCCATGCATTGAATAGATTAAGCCCAAATCAAAGCTGGTGATTATCCGATTGAAAAACAGTCCGGAGAATGACTTTGGCTCCGGGTCGATGCAATGCCAACTGTGAGGTAGCGGTTCTACCAAGCAATCTGGCTTACTCGAGAATACAAACAGCATTATAGATTCGTGTGACCGATAAGTAGAGCCGTAGAAAAGAGCAAAATATTAAGCTCAACCTTATGGGTCTTGATAATGGACATCGGATATGGATAAGATAGGCGGATCGCAGAGCCAGGGCTATACCGAGGAAGCCGAGCTGAATGCAGTTTAATGTAAATTCTTCTGCATGGTGCTTGAGCCATATCATCGTTTAAAGCGCACGTTCAGGGAGGGGCCGTGTACTCGTCCCAACGTGTACACCCTATGGAAGTTGGGACCGCGTGCACTGCCTGCCCGTGGAGTGGGAGGCAATTTCCCTCCTTTGCGGCGTGGGGCGCCCCTCGCCAGGTTGTAGCTGTGGCTGACTGGTATCCATCCGCGTCTCCCGAGCGGGCGGCACGGGTTCGACCCCCGGCAGCGGCAAAAATCTCTGTTTTTTTTCCAAAAAACGTCCCTGAACCTGCCCTTTAATGTGGCTAACCAATGGCCGTTTGGAATTTTAATATCTCATGTCATCGAGCTTGAAATATTAATTTTTTTTTTAATTTTTAGGAGATTGGCCTGAACGGCTGAAGATTGCCCTTTTGGACAAGGCTTTACAAAATCCAACATCCTGATTAGCCAACACAGGAGTTTAGTAGCATTTGCTAATACCCCAACTCCCTTCATCCTTTTTTAAACGTAAACATAAAACACCATCCACCCGCATGAAAAAAACCTACCACAAAACACGTCGTCACAACCCAGGGATCAAAGTCGCCACTATAGGACGTCCGCACTGGCATGTCATTCCATTCATACGCGACAATATCCTGATAGACATATCGCAAATCGCCATTCCCCTTCCAGCAATTGATGCCCGGCAGCTCCGGGCCGGCCTCGAAAGCACCTGCGTAGTAATCGAAATAATTTCCGTCAATGTCGATGATTTTTGTTTTATTTATGTTGTCAACGGGAAGCGAAAATCCTGTCGTAGCATTCTCGACAGCTAGATTCATCTAAACCACAAGCAGGTCCGAATATAGCTGTTCGCAAAGACGCATAAGAGGAAGTAAAACGCAGTTTTTTTAGAATGTTGTGAATCACAAAGGATTTTTTAATGGAAGAAATGGAGCGTGATGGAAGAAAAATTAGAATCGCGAGGAAATTACCAGCGAGCCATTGACGGCAATCAAAAATAAAGCAACGTGCGTTGGTCAACCAATTCATTTTGCGGCATTAACGCCGCCAAACTCGAACGGAGCGGACCTAATTCCCCACGGAGAACATTTGCAGCAAAAACTTTTATTGATCAAAAATCGCATGACTGCGCTTTCACGGTGATGACTGGGACTTTTTTTTGGGGGACAGGCGGCCGACAAACAGATCCGTAGCAAATGAAGATGATGCTGAAATATACAAAATCATACGGCGTCAGCAACCTGCCTGACGATAAGATTGCTCATATACTTTCTAAAAGTATTGGCCACATTGCCGATGACGGTATTCAATTTCCAGTTGTCGTCGGTAATCGATATCACCAGAAAATCGGTAAAAAAGGCGAGGCTGGCGAAGGCGAGCTAAAAGTTGCGATTTTCTCGGTGATTGATGAGTTACCGCAGAAACCAGCAGCGAGTCATTCTTCGCCTCCAACCCATTGGCTTCTTTTATGGTCTAAACATCGCAAATAGAAACTTATGGTAGGTACCTTAAGTTTCAGACGCCAAAACGTGCCCATATTCGTAATGGTCGATACGGTAATACAGCCAAACCACACGGTATTTGCGGTATCACAAAGCTCCTTGGCCGACGTGCTCCATATGTAATCATACTTGATCAAATAATAGTTGGGTGAGAAAAAGTAGCCGGCATAGCAAAGGTATGACCCATCGTCGTTAGGCACTGAAGAAATTCGTTTAAAAAATAGAATCCTACCTTATATAATTTGGTCGCGTATCTTTGTGTGTGTGTGTGTCCGGCGCCAGGGAGGGCTACTTTGCATAATTCCAAAAAATACAAATTTCCTCATTGTTGCAAGTTGCACGCGCGGGTGTGGTCGGAGGAAGGGAGGGGGTCCGAAGGACCCAAGCTATCGGAAAGTCAAATTTCTCATGCAAAGGCCGCATTCCAGCGCCCAAGGCCCGCGAAGCGGGTTTTTGGGCACTGGTCATTCAAATAATTTTACGTCACCCCCATGACTCACAATTCCTCATCAACAGCAAGTAACTAACGACTGGCGCGATAAAAATAAAAGCCGCATACACTATGATCAAAGCACTCATTATTCGATGAACTTGGTGTCCAAAAAACGCAAAGATAAACCTTAGATTTTATTAGATGCACGAATCAGCTAAAACCACCGATCCATCGCCACAGCATGTAAAATTAGGTGTAATGAATAGAATAACCCGAGGTCGATCGCGGTTACCAGTCTGTTAAAGAATATGGGCGACAATAAATTGCTTCCGTCCATGACACAACGCCAACTGAATTTCCTAGATTTGTATTCCTTCTTTGCTTACTCAAAAATACAGACAGCTTCGTAGATTTTGACGCAACTACTGTAGCACCGACAAAGGCTTGAGAGCAGGAGGGCTGCTTTTACAATTCGATGGGCAGGGCTTCTTTTCGCGACCAGATAAGTTGAGAAGATCGCTAAGGCAAGCCCAGTAAAACCGATCTAAAAAAATATCTACATTGCGGCTGATTTCCAGGGATCTAGAATGTCTACCACATCGTTAGCATAATTTGTACCCACCAAAAAGCAGCTTGCCATGACCCACGAGTCAAAGCTATCTCTGGTTTCCGGCCGAACCGGTAGAAAGTTCCACTGATAAGCCACGTCCTCCCCAGAATACATCAAATCCCCAGAGCCTTTCCGGCACGGGGAATCCGATTCAGGAAAGGACGCGTCGACGTAATAGTATAAGATATCTCCGTCGGCGCCTTTTACGGTTCCGTTCTTGTGGGTGTTTAGAACAGCGGTGATCGTAGTTGATTCCATGAGATCAATATTCATAGGCAAGCAACGGGTTCACTATAATTTCAGGAGGCCAATATTTATTATAACCTGGTTAGCCGAAACTCCGCCGCCGACTGCTGGGCAAATGTATGGGGGCGTTCAATGAAGCACATCAAAAAACACGCCGGCCTAATAGAATCATACGAAGCCATAACTTGCCTTACCCCTAAATCACAAACATGAGTCCGCTCAAAAACAGTGTCGAGTAAAACCGGTGAGGTAGGCGTTGGCCACTTAACAGGGATCATTTTGAGGGTGCAACAGCTCGATCCCTTGATTTCTCGGTCTTTCCCTTGTCGGTAATGATCGTTGATGGATCGAGCGGAGCCACGTATCGATTGAATACCTTGCCACTGCTTATCGGTATAAATATCCGGCGCCCGATTTTGGCCAAATACCACGATGAAAGTTTTCCTGCTCGGCTTTTTCGTTTGCTTAATGCTGTTCCTAGTTGATGCACAGTTCACTCCAGCTGGTGAGTTGCAACTTTTTTACGTGATTAACCCAAATATTTAGAATGTGCTCGCGATCGTACCAAGCTCTGGAAGCAGCAGTCCGTCATTGGGGACATGGTTTTTGGAGCTGATTGCTACTGCAGACCTGGATACCGTCAGAATCCGGCTGGTTGGGAGAAGCCTTGCTTGCGAATTGTTGGATAATTCGTCATGTATTCTTTTGATAAGTTCACTCGTTTAAAAAATACAGCTTTATAAGGATCTTTCATCGAATCGAATATTTTACACAATGAAAAATCAGAATATCGTCAAACATTACCCATCACTACACAATCTTCCCTTGTCCGCAATGGTCATGCCGTGGAGCAAAAAGACAACGCGTCGGGGGAAGTTGAGAGAAATGGCACGCGGAATCGATCCCTTTCTAGGAACTCTTGTGCTCATATAAATGATCATTATATCCAGGAAAGCATAACCGGCCGTTAAACCACCAGTTTTCACCATGAAGTTCCTGTTCCTCTGCACGGTAGCTATTCTTGCGTCAGTGGCTGCTGCAGCGCTAACCGCGCGGGATATTGAACTCTACAGACTTCGTCGACACCCCCTGCAAAACTACTTAGGTGCGGGCTGCAAAACACCCCCAATTAAAAATTAGACTGTTTTCTTGTAAAAATTAACTTTCTGTCTGTGACTATCTGTGAAACCTTGAAAATTCAGCATGCTCTTACGATCACACGAAGGATTGGCGCCCAGAAGTGTTTATCGGCGACATGATACTGGGGCCAGAATGTGTTTGCCGCCCGGGCTATCATTTCAACCTAGCGGACTACAATTTGCCGTGCACCCGGAACCAAGATTGAAGTGTGGAATTTACAAAAAGGATATGACCTGCCATTTTTATGTTTTCATGGGGTGCTATGAATAAAAGATTGAGAGGAGAAAATTTATTCGGCTCTAACTCATGTGCTAATCGGGATTCAAAATCTAGCAGAGTCCGCAGGTTTTGCGGCATTGGACGGCCATGATGCTCTGGTACTGGGAGTTGGAGCACAGGTAAGAGAGGCGGGGGCAGTCGGAGGTTCCGGTGCGAGCGTTGGTCAGATCGGCACAGGCTGGAAAGGAAATTGTTATGAAGTCAACCTTCGAAGTTACTAATCAGAAGTTGCATCCGACCCCTAGATGCTTACTGGAAGTGGAGTTGGTCGAGCTGGAGCTTGAGCAGTAGCCGCACGACTTACGGCACTGTTGCTTCATCAGGGTGGTGTAGTACTTCCTGAAGGGCATATGAATGGATCTCGAGTTCATAGAGTTAATTGACAGCGTCAAGAAGTTGTATAATTATCAATACCTGGTGCAATACCCGGCGGCGACACGGGCTGCGCAGTCGGAAACACCGGTGCTCGGGTTAGTCTTGTCGACACAAGCTAAAAAAATTTAGCGTTTTTAGACGCACCTGGTAGGTGGCTGGCAGTTAACTTTAATTAGGTATATGTCGGCTACGCGGGGGATTTTACGCGGGGGACGGACCGTTGGGGCCGAGCTAACTATTTTTTGCGTTTCTTTTTGCTACAAACAAAACTCTTAGTATATTTTTTGACGCTCTGTCGAATGGCACTAAAGAAATTTTGTAAAATGTCGAAAATGTCGAAAATTTGATTTCCTTCTATATCCTCCATGAAAACAACGTTTAATACTTGTTTTTGTTATAACTATTTTATATTACATTATTTTGAGCTAAAATTAAAACTCTTAGTATATTTTTGGATTTTCTATCGAATGGCATCTTTAAAATGCCGAAAAAATAGCGCGAATATCGAAAAACAGCAGCTCAAACCGATTTTCAAAGCTTATTTTTGTATTTGCCATAACTTTTTTATATTACACTAATTTTAGCTAAAACAAAAACTTTTAGTACATATGTTTTTCGATGCTCTATCGAATACCGTTGCGAAAATTCCGAGAAAATAACGAAAACATCCAAAAAGGTCTGCCTGTCCCGTCCCCTCCGCGTAAATCCCCCGCGTAGCCGACATATACCTTTAACTATACCGTAAAAGCCTACCAGGTGTAGTGGTAGTAGCTCCGGTGGTAGAGGCAGCAACGACAAGCGTCGGGTCGCAGCAGACCACGCCGTCAGCGCTGTTCGTGCAGACGCCATTCGTCGCACCGCTGTTCAAGGTGCACGTGGTTCCGGCGGCTGTGAAGCAGGCTGAATCGGCTTGTTAGGTGATATTTAAAATCATTATTTAAAGTTATTTAAAATGTAAAAATATTTAAAAATGAAAAAGCTATGTTTAAATGCTTGGAAGCAGAAAATGGGAGGAAAGAAGGCGCCGATTATCCTTAAAACCTACGTCCTTCCGAGCTGGAACAGGTTTGAGCCAAAGCCGATTGGAAGATGGCCATAGTGGAGACGACGACGAACACGAGGGAGCACATCTTCTTGTCGTTGGTTGGCTGGTTGGCTAGTTGGGTCTTTAGGACCGGAGGCTGCTACTGGATGCCTTCAACCCCGAATTCCGCACCTTTTATAGGGTGCCAACCACACCGTTTCGCGCGTTATCCCCCACCACTGGATAAACATTGCAACAATAGGCGCCGCCAATTTTTTTACTCGGCAATTTGCGGCGACCAGAAACATTGGAATATTTGCACGGATTTGGCGCTATTGTTTTCGGGCGGCGGGCCCGGGCGCCGCGCGCGCAACATTTTTCGTTGCTACCAAATTTTTGGAAGTGATTCGGGCTCATTATTTTGGGAGGCGGCTTTGTGTGTGGATTCGGCGTTCCTGTTGGTGCATTCAGGTTTTGGATTTTCAGAATTAGACTAGTTTTATGTTAAATAATTTATTTGGCATTATCTGACATGTATACAGGCTTCAGAGAGGCTTCACCGAATTTACATGTCTAGCAAAGGCCGCACGTTTTGCGGCACTGGACGGCCATGATGCTCTGGTACTGGGAGTTGGAGCACAGGTAGGACAGCCTCGGGCAGTCGGAATTTCCGGTGCGCGGGTTCGTCAGATCGGCGCAGGCTAGAAACGGGGGTTGGGTCAAGCTATTTACATAGAGAGGCATCTCGAGCGTCCGCCAAAAAAAAATAACTTACAAGAGCTGGAGCCAGAGTTGTTGGAGCTCGAGGTGCAGAAGTTGCAAGATTTCGGGCACTGCTGCTTCATCAACGACTTGTAGTACTTCCTGGGGTAGGTGTGATGACAGCCATTTTTTTCGTGTATACCTGGTGCAATAACCGGCGGCAGCACGAGCCGGGCAATCCGACACACCGGCGCGCGGGTTGATCTTGTCAACACAGGCTGAAAAGGGAGTTTCTGGAGGAGCAGAGCGCGACAGTAGCTTTCGAGCTGAGGTGTGTACAAGCTGCCTACCTGTTTTTCGCGTCGTTCTCGCAACTGTAGTCGATGTGGCCTGAATGACAGAACCAGTGGGACAGCATAACTGGTTATCCGAGGGGCCCACACACGTCGTGCCAGTAGCACACGGCAGCAGGCCGGCACCACAGGCTGTAATAAAGTAATTTAGGTAAAACTTGAAATGAAATTTTCGGTAAGAAAAGCGACCGCGTGGCTGGATAAAATTTTCTAGAATTGTCTATCTAACCCGAAAGCGTAAAATGATGAGTTGTTTCGCTCTACCGTAACTGTCCATGATCGAATTTGATTCGCGCTGGCGCAGCGCAGCAATTCTGTGCTTCGAGGCGGGTTCCCAAAAGCAACTCACGGCCGGTCGTCGCGCCGTCGGCGCACGTTTGCCCCCACGACGATGTGAAGAGGGCGCACATGGCGGCGGTGAGGAGCAGACGGTAGGCGCACATCTTTTGGGCTGCTGGTTGCTGCTGGTGAACGGCTCGAGGCTGTCAGATGCCATCTCGATGATTCGGGATGCTTATATAGGATTCACACCTAGGTTTTGGTCGCAAAAATTCCCAATTAGGCAAACAACCCGAACAAAGGAACGACTTTAAACGAGGCCCTGAATCGGGGCTGAAAAAGAATTGCCCTTTCCTGGGGCGGGTGCTCATTGCGGGGCCCTTTGTTCGCGGGGCTTGGAATATGCTTTTCCAACTATCCAAACGAACGAAATGGTCGCGAGCTGATGGCAGCCGCTTTTTGAAAGCTGCTGTCAAGTCGTCGTTAGCGAAATCAACCGTAGGTATACATTCAATGCCGATATGCTGATCGTTAGTAGTTAGTGCATAAAAACTTTTCAAAAACTAATAAATAAAAAGCTTGATGTGCTCGATGGCCCAAGTTCGGTCCGCTCGTATAATCCTAAAAATGCCCTGTCATGCTTGTCTGCCGGTCCAGTCTCATTCTAAAAATGTTTATTTAGCATTATTTGACATGAATACATGCTGTGGAGAGCCTTTACAGAATTTACATGTCTAGCAGTAGCCGCAGGTGCTGCGGCACTGAACGGCCATCACGCTCGAGTAGGCCGAGACGGAGCAGAGGTAGGACAGCCTCGTGCAGTCGGACACCCCGGTGGAAGGGTTGGTGAGGTCAGCGCAGGCTAAAAGTGTGACTCATCGTTACTTTACATTTTTCACCTTGCAGTCGGCGATAAGAATATGCGCGTAAGCAACCTACTAGAGTTGGATGAGCTGGAGGTGGAGGTGCAGTAGCCGCACGACAGACGGCACTGCTGCTTCATCAGCGTCTTGTAGTACTTCCTAGAGAGCCTGTACCAAAGACTCTTTTAAGGTATACCTAGTGCAGTATCCGGCGGCAACACGGGCAGGGCAATCAGAGACACCGGTGCGGGAGTTCACTTTGTCAACACAGGCTGAAGCAAAAAATAATGGAAAAATACGTAAAGGCGTGCTCGTGAGGAAACGCAAAACTCTGAAGCTGTAGACGTACCCGGCGTCGTGGTGGTACTCGTAGATGAGCTGGACGTGGCGGCGATGACGGAACCGGGCGGGCAGCAGATAAGCCCGGCATCGCTGTTCACGCAGGTGCCGGTACCGATATCGCACGCGCCTCCCAGGGTGCCGGTGATGCAGGCTGAAATCGGTGGATGATACGCTTTCTGGTTAGTTTTATGGGTTCTTTCGCGTTATCGGGGTTTTTTCTTATTAATATAACCATATTTCAAATTGCCAACTGTATAAAGACTTTAAAAATGTGTAAAAGAAGTCGAAATTTTGGTAAAAACCGTGCTTTTTTGATCGAACATCGATATTTTTAGATTATTTAATAAAAAACTTCACCGTTTTCACGCTTAGGAATAGTAAAATATGATTTCGAAGCAATTCCACTAATTATATTTGTAAAATTAGAGTCTAAGAAAGAGAAATGCTCTTTCCGCCCCTCCCCCCCTGAAAATGTGAAAGAACCGTTTAATGGGTTCTCTAACAATACGTACGTCCAGATGACGCGAGGGGTGTACACGTTTGCCCGAACGACGACGGGATCAGGGCGCACGTGGCGGCGGCGGCGAGGAGCAGACGGAAGGAGCACATCTTTTGTATTGCCGGTTGCTGCTGGGGGGCTGCTGGAGCTGCTGGAGGCTGTTGGATACCATCTGAATCCGCGGGCTCCCTTATATACGCCCAAAGCCATGTTACCAGCGGAAAACAAGCAATTGTACAAACATGCCCAACAATGGAACGACATGAAGCGGAAGCCAACAAATTGGACACCAAAAAGAACTGCTGCCGCTGGTGGGCATTGTTCTGTAGCGGCCCTTTGTACGTGTGGTTCAGATTATTTGGATTTTGGCGAGAAAATGATCGTTGGTTGCTAATGAATACCATTAGGTGTAATCACACGGGTGAAAGCCGAAGCTATCGATTTTTTCTTGTGTCGTAAATAGGTCAAAACATCGTGCCGGATATAATTACAATAAACAAGAGAAAGCAGGAAGAAAATCTTGTAGTTTTGCCAGGATCCCGACAACCGCAGTTTCGACGTCATAATCCCGACACGAAAAATGCCGACATCCTTTTGGCGCTTTTGAATGCCAATTCCTTTTAAACTGAGGATATCCGGATTATGACGAAGGAGATTTTGGCCGTCGGAATTTTCGCCTTTTGAGTTATTGGCTTTCGAAATGTTGCTCGATTTCAGCGTTTTTCCCGAAATTTGCTTACTACACGCTATTACTTTCGACTTGGCCGCATTTAAGGCGCATTTAAATTTTTACACGTTGAAGTAGGTATGATGACTTTAGCACACCGTGAAAAGATGCGCTATCAACCGTGTACTGATTTCGTTTCCAAACGACGATTTTGAAGTTGACCTTTCCAACGCTAGATCTAGCACTAGATCAACCCAGCTCCGATTTTTAATTCAGCCCACGCCTGCCCCCAAAATTACCATATGCTATCAAATGCGAGCCACTTCTGTTTGACCAACCGCGGGCGTCGGGGCGAAAAATTGACCGCCGGTGCGTGGCGGTCCGAACCTAATTTGAATTTTCGAGACTATAAAAGTGGTTGGGGAGGATCAGTAGTACTCAATTCACTACTGACAATGCAAGCCATCCTAATCGCTATCATCGTCTTTTCGGCTGCTGAGGTATATTTTTTTCCAAAAAATACGCTATTTTCAAATGGTTTAGGCCACGAATGGCAACTGCCCGCCGTTCACGCCGCAGAATTTGGCGACGGTGTATGCTCGTAAGTATCTCAAAGTCTTGATGACGTCAAAAGTTTAAAAACACGATAGTTTATTGATTCCATTCGTTCGAAAAATATAAAACCATGTTTCTAGCCGCCCATGACGACCTGACCTGCACCCGCGGATTCTGTCGCTACATCACTACGTATTTAGGAAGCAGCAACGCCTGCATTGATGTAAGCATGCAAAATAGAGGGCGTACCTTAAGTAGTTTCTTTTTTAAACCTAATAACTATCCGGTTCAAGCATCGGACAGCAAATCTCGTCCGTTTTTAGCGCGCCGAAATCTGCCCGGAACTGACCAGCCTTCTGGATCCATCCACCGTCGTCGGGCGTAAGTCCATAACCCAGCCTTTATTAATTTGTTGATTTATAAGATTTACTTTTATACGTTTGTACTTACAGCCGCCGACAACAACCTGGAATGCCCGGCTACGACCCGCTGCGTCGGCGGCCAGACCACCAACGGTTTCACCGGAAATTTCTGCGTCAAGCTCTAAAGGCTTTGAATCTGTTTAATAAATTTAATAAAGGGAATTGATGCGCATCTAACCCGAGCTGAGAAGTTAATAAGTCGGGGCAATGTTAAAAAATAACTCCTCGCCTGCAGATCGCGTGTACTTGTAGGCCTTGTACTCCCGCCCACTCGCTAATTTTGCAGCGCGACGCTCATTGATGCACGAGGACCAAAGTGGGCCTCGTCATATTGGACTCATGCCCTGTATGCACAGTTGGGGTCAAGCGCACTAGGGAAGATGTATAAAATCAGCGTTCGACGATGCTTAGAATACATTTCGGGATGTTCCGTCTTCTCAGTTTCTTTGGTCTTTGCTTGGCGGTGGTGGTAAGTTGAAAATGTGTCAGGGACGCTACCCACAATCGATATACAAATCTTGCAGGCCGCATCTTGCCCAACCGTTGCACCGGACGTTGATGTGTATACTAATTACGGACGTAGGTTCACACAGATTCCGGGCTACAGCCCACAACGTGGCAAAAAAGATTCTAAAGGGATGGTGTGAGCAAAATTTTCGACAATTGCTTTGAATTCTAGCGGCTCTCGACGGTACATGTTTTTCCGGAAGCTACTGCCGGAACGTGAATGGCGATGATGTTTGCTTCCCGGTATGTTTTTTACCTCAATATCATCACCAAGTAATTTTCAGATGAGCTCCGTTTGCCCCACCTTTGACAACGTTGTAATTGATCAGGCTACGGTGGTTGGATGTGGGTTCTAGGTCTTTTAGTAAAAGTTTTTCAGATCCCAATGTTAGCCTCAGCTGTCCAGCTTCAACTTTCTGCCTCTTCGGCTCGACTAACGGAATCGGCTACGTGCACCTTTGCGTGACGTCCAGGCCTGCGGTTGCTACGACACCCGCGCCAAGCACGATTTGCCCGAGCCTGGAAAAATACGTGGTCGAAACGGCGTATACTGGACGTAAGTGTGAGCAACCATGTCGCGTAATGCATTGCGGGGCGGTGGCAAGTCGAGGAAGGTATAACTAAACGATACTTTTCAGCCGCTTTCAACGGTATCTGCCCGGTCGCGCAGTACTGCAGAAGTACCGACGGACGTGACATGTGCTTCCAGGTATATATCTGTCCAGACCTTATTAGAATATTAAGATGGGAGACGTTTGTCCCACCGAATACAAGACCAACCTCGATGCGGCAGCTGTTGTTGGACGTAAAAAAGACGTTTTTCGGCATAATAACCATGCTTCCAGATCCTGGTGGCGACTTGACCTGTCCATCCGACAGTCACTGCGTCTTCGGATCGACTGATGGAGTTGGATACGTGCATTATTGTATGAATGGAAGCTACGCAGCCGGCTTCCAAACTGGGCTTTGCCCACCGCTTGAGGCTGGGGTCGATAAGGAGGGAAATGCGGGAGGTAAGTTATCTATCCCAAATGTCATTACGTTTTTCGGCCTACTACCATTATTTCCTTTAGCAGCCAATGCCCGAAACTGCGATGACTATTTTTGCCGTAACGTCGATGGCAAGGACCTGTGCTTTGACGTAACCTACCAAGGCTTGTACGACCCCATCATATTTTTAGTCATCTGCGATCTGCTCCAGCAGCTACGAGGGTGTCATCCCCCAGTCTGATGTCGTGGAAAGTAAGTGTCAAAGCGGATTCCTAAAATTTTACTTTAGTTCCCGACTCCGACCTGGCGTGCCCCAACGGCTCTAGCTGCGTGTTCGGCACCACCGACGGCACCGGATACATCTACTACTGCGTCAAGGCTTGAATCCATTCATGTAACGGCAATAAACATCCCTATCAGCAGAACTTGTAGCCACAGCAAAACGCACTGTATCACTTAAGTGATGTACGAAATAAAGCATTCTTGCGGATATTAATAGCATCTAGCGAGGAGACGTTTTTAGGGGGACACGGACTTGTGCGAACTTGTTTTCGTGGAAACTTATCCTGCTAGGTTTTATAGGTGACGAAAGTAGGCCATTTTCGTCCTTTTTCACACCTTAAAGCCTCACAGCTTTTCTATGCAGGCCGTTTCGAAGATTCTACAAAGTACGTTTTGATGAGCGAAAAATTCTGCAAAAGCTAAGCTAGGTCCCGTTCCGAAACTTCGTGCCCACCTAATGACTGTGCGGGTGTTCAGCGTCAGCCAAGCCATAATTATGCCCTACCATGTTCTTCAAAATCTGACTCGAATTTTTTTCCAGAAGTTAAAAACGAAATTTTTCATGACACGAAACCTGAAATATCGAATCCATTAACTTTTCCGTGCTGCAGAATGCTCTCAAAGATACACATCAAAATTCTATGCTACCCTTAAAAAGATGCAACGCGCCTGACCCCCGTTCAAGCCGTTTGTCCAAACAAACCGGGGCCGCGCCACAGGTCACATCAACGTGGCTCGCCTAGAGTATTGCCCGAAAAAGTAGACTCTTCGAAGGGCTCGTCATTTTGACCACAGAGCATATAGAACATTGTGTGCACAGATGGTTGTAAACCAGATGGAGTTGCGTATAAAATGAGAATGGCTGGTGAAAAGGGTATTCAGGGCATCATGAGGAAGCTTCTGTTGCTTGCTGGCTGCTGCGCCCTTGCTTTGGCTAGTTTTAAGACTTTCATATCACTTTCAGCCGTATTTAAAATAATAGCAACCATTTCGAAGCTTATCCAAACGCATCTGGTCGCGCGTGACGTGCCGCGTTGCGTGCCGCTCTATCGAGAGCGAGTTTTAGCATCGAAAAGGCGCACCGTGTTGTGTATCCCGTTAAAACCGACTTTTTAGGCAGCACCTGCCGTTGGAAACCCGCCACCACCTCGACCAGCACAAGGCGGACAACAGCCAGGTGGTCAGGCCGTAAGCCAGCCTCCACCTCCCCCACAACAGCAAGGAGGGCAACAGGGTGGACGAGGAGGACAACAACCGCCTCCACCTCAGCAGCAGGGCGGGCAACAAGGTGGACAAGGAGGGCAGCAGCCACCACCACCACAACATCAAGGAGGGCAACAGGGTGGACAAGGAGGACAGCAGCCACCGCCGCCCCAGCAGCAAGGAGGGCAACAGGGTGGACAAGGAGGACAGCAGCCACCGCCGCCCCAGCAGCAAGGAGGGCAACAGGGTGGACAAGGAGGACAGCAGCCACCGCCACCCCGGCAGCAAGGAGGACAAGGGGGAAACGGGGGACCTCCCCCACCGCCCCCGCCTCCACCCAACCAGCAAGGAGGAGGCCAAGGTGGCCAGGGAGGTAATGGAGGACATCCTCCTCCCCCACACCCGCCACCACCACCAGCCACACAAATGCCAGCCAGTCAGAAGCCAGCCACTCAGCGTCCAACCACTGGTAGACCAGGGATGAGCACCACCGCTGGAGTGACTCTCTGCTCAGCTCTTGAGTCTTACGTCAGCGTCAGTCAGCAGACAGGACGTAAGTTTTTTGTCTAGCCCGACAGGATGAGTCTGGAACGCGTCGCGTCTTGCGTTGCGTAGCAGAAAATCGGGTTCTTTGAACCTGTCATTTTTAGCAGCCATTGCCAACGACTGCGGCACCGACTTTTGCCGAAGCTCCGGTGGAAAGAATTATTGCTTTGCGGTACCTCCAAAAACCCAGAAAAAATTTATCCTGAATTTAGCAAAACGATCTCTGCCCTTACCAGTCGACGGCCATCACCTATTCGACGGTGAAAGGACGTAGGGTTTTGAGCCTGAAATCGGTAATCCAAGATTTTTAGCGGCCGACGCCAACCTCGTCTGCCCACAAACCACCAAGTGCGTTGGAGGGACGACCGACAATGGATACACTGGCAACTTCTGCGTCTAGAGTACCAACTCAGAATTTGTCTTGATATGAATAAATTCTCTGTACAAATCGTACAAGATACTACAAAATTTTGCCATGTCCCTACAGTCGTGCCACGACCATATGTAAATACTAGGGAAAATGTCAGAACTGGCCTGACTGACTCTGAAGGTATCCTCGCAGTGGTTCTAATTCGTTAGCCGGGGGGGGGGTTGTCAGGGGACGGGAACGCCCTTCCATATTCTTTTTCATTAGATCTATACCCCACCGATCTATTCCTATATACCCCACCGCTAACGAACCAGTGCCCTCTGAGTATTGAGTTCGAGATTTAGAGCTTCTCGCACTGTGATTTTATACTTCCAGGAAGCCAATTCAACCTTTCAGCTTAGTAGATGACGAAGTTGGCCATCAAATTGCCTAAGCAGTGACTTATGCCTATTTGCGTTTAAGCACAAACCACGTACCCCGGCGCCACGCCGACTAACCAAAACCAAATGTCGACCGGGCATGAGACATGTTTGGCCAGCTGCATGTTCGGTTTAGATGTATAAACCTACGGGCTTCAACATGTCACTCCGCGCAGTATCTGGATGTTGAACCTCATCAGCCTTGCCTGCTGTTGCGCGCTAGCACTGGTAAGTTTCATCAAAGTATCCAAAGTAATTTCTATACTTTAACAGGCTGCGGGGCCCAACGTTGGTCCTGAACTTCCAGCACTCCTAGAGCACAGCAGAGGTGGTGGGGGTGGACATGGAGGTGGAGGTGGAGGTGGATGGGGAGGTGGAGGTGGTGGAGGCTGGAATTCCCAAGAGAATGGTCATGGAGGACATCATGGAACGCGAGGAATGAGCACTCGGAAGCCAACGACTAAGAATCCGAGGGCTACGACAAAGTCAACAGGGGCGCTTTGCCCAGCTATCGAGAAGACGTTGGACCCTACGAAGACTTTGGGAGGTAATTAATCATGGCTTATACTTATTGTAGACTAAGACCTCAACGATAATTCAGCTCGCAGGCTTATTTATTGAAGACTGTCATTAATGCAATAATATAATAACCGTAACGACGTTAAAAATTCCGCTTCTAGCTGCCAAAGGTCTCGATTGCGGAGTAAACTTCTGCCGCAGTGTCGCGGGTATGAATATCTGCTTTGCGGTGGGTTACGATAGTCGTTTTCCTATATTTTTCATCACAGCAAAATGACATCTGCCCCTATCAAACCAAGACTATCACCTCGACCACGGTCAAAGGACGTAGGTCACCCAAAAAAAACCCGATATTTTGGGGAATTTTAGCCGCCGACTCGGTCCTCGTCTGCCCAGCCACCACAAAATGCGTCAGCGGCACCACCAATAATGGTTTCACCGGAAATTTTTGCATTGCCGCATGATTTTTGCAAGCCAATGAACGTCAGAATAAACATTTTGAAAGCCGCCTATAAAATCGCCACTCATGAGAGCCGGCTGACGATATTATTTGACCAGCCTGCAGGCAGGTTTTTCCGCCAAAAATTCAGGGGTTGAGACGAAAATCAACTTTCAGGCACCCAGATTCCATTCAAGTACGAAAATTCATACCTTGAACGTCAATTAATCAAAAAAAAGGTTTTAACGCGTTTGCGAATTCGAGTGGGAGAAATTGGCAACTCGCCCAGTATCATATCATACCATACGTAGTCACGTCGTATTTTTGGTCCTAATGCTCTTTCAGCATCGTGTTTTTCTGCGGAGACAATCTTTATTAAATATTATCAACAGAAACACGGTTCCTATTTACCAATTTTTCTAGCCGCACTGGCAGTATTTGCAGGTCTTTCGGCACTTTTGCATCCTCACAGCGTCACTGTATTGCGGGTCGGTGCAGTAGCCGTTGCCGCGGTAGATTGGGCAGCTAAAAGCCAGCAAAAAATTTAGCCTTGGAATCATGGAAACGTACTTGGGATCGGCATCCACGCATCCATTGTTCGGGTCATAACAGTATCCGCAAGTCTTGGCGCATTTCGAGATTTTCTCGGCATACGTAGCTGGGCCATCGCAGTAGCCGTTAGAAGCGTAGATGGGGCAGCTAAAGGTATCCATTTTTACCTATTAAAGGATTGCTCGCACATTTCGATCAAGAAACTTTAACGTCTTCCTAAGGATCCCTCAAGGATAGTATGAACTCACTTCGGGTCAGCATCAACGCACGACGTACACATCCTGCAGCTTGCGCCGCAGTAGTTGTACTTCATGGTAGCGTTCCAGAGTGGAGAGGAGCACCAACGGTTTTCGAGGTAGAGGGCGCAACTGAGAAGGTTGATGAAAGATCTTAGAAAAAAAGCAACGCCTTCTAAAAGTGGCTGAACGCCTTGGAGAGGCCGGCAAAAAGAAAAAACTTTCCGGGAAAAACTCATTACGCCCTTTAAAGATGCCATTCATATTAAAGCATCAAGCAGCACCTAGGGCTGATCCTAAGCCTAAACCTAAGCGAAGCCGAAGCCTAAACGTAAGCCTAAGCCGCAGCCGAAGCCCAGTTTTCGCAAATAATTTTGTAATTTTTTTGCGGTAAGCTTTTTGTAATTATTCTTTCTAGCACCACTAAAGGTCGAAGGCTCCACACTCACTTCGGATCATAATCATAGCAGTTCGTAAACGTCGCCCCAGCCCCAACCACAACGGCAGCAATCCAGAGCAGCATCCCGGTGACACTTCCGGAAGTTTAGAATGTATCCAACCCCGGTTCAAAATCGTCATTTATAAGCGGGGGTCACCACCCAAATTCCTTTGCCAGCTCGTCAAACATGGATTTACGCTGACCGCCGGTGGCCCCGTTGAAAAGCTGCAAAAATTTACGCCCCCAGCTTTGCCCTGGTCACCCATGCGCTTCTTTGAATGTCAGGTGCCGGCTAGTGGCTGGCGCGAAATGAAGTTTTTCGAAGGGAAAAGATATTTATTCAGTGGTGGCTTTTTTTGAATATCAACGTCGGGCGCGAAGGTCGGGATTTTAGTCGTGATCTATGAGGATGAATTTTATGGTTTGCGGTTCAAAAATTACCCATGACTCCGGTACCGTTGCCATAGCTTTCATCGTGGTTTATGGCTCCGAAACTTCTGTGATTTGCTAAAAAGTTAAAATTAATACAATTGTGTAGTATTCGGGATAGGCTACTATCTTTTCGGAAAAACGTTTCAAACGTTTTTCTTTTCGGAAAAACGTTTGTTTTGAAAGCACAATTATCGAAGTTTTTGAATGATTTTTTGGAACTCGCCACGGCCGCGACACGCAACGCGAGAATTTCGTCATCCAAAAGAAACGAGACCGCGAAAAGGCAGGAAATTCATTACGCAACGCAATCACCGCGCTGCGTGCACGTACGCAATATATCCAGAGGAAACCCATTACATAGAATCAATTTTGTTACCTGACGCGCCCCTTAAACACACAATATCCTTGCTCTTGTAAGGTCAAAACTTTCAAAAACTCACACATCATCGAGTCCTCTCCCCTCTTCACCCGGTGCTCAATTCCCATGTCGGCTTGGCTCTTCGGGATTTCCCCTAAATTCATTGACTCTCAAAAATTGATGGCCCACCGGTCAATCCTGGCTTGCAAAATGCTAGGCAAAAAAACAAGGCGATCAGCACAATATTGAAGAAAAATCGCATGTCTGTAGACCGGCGAGTACCTGCCTCTCCAGCCCGCTCTCTTTATACGCTCGGGGATTGAGATTGTTTACGGCGTAACATAACATCGGGGGCAATGTGGTGGGTTGTTTGCGCAAAGTGTATCTTTTGATTTCATTCTTAGCCATGGGTCGATCTACTCCCCAAAAGGCGCCAAGTCTATGTAAATTGATTTTTTCCAGTTGTCGCCGAATCAACAAATTCTGAGAAACCGTGGTTTCACTACTTTGTATTATTTATTGATGTCATTCGCCATTTTTTTATCAATCACCGTTGGCGTTAAGCACCTCATCTCATCGTGATAATCAACACGTAAATTGTGCACTTGCTCATCTCCAAACTACGCACTACAATGTTGCCGTAGGGGATTGTCGCCGGTGGGAATCTGGAATATTTTGATAGTTCGAGTCGCACTACGTGCCAAGGATCTGTTCCGGGCAACCCGTCGTCATAGGATTGGTTCCTGCGAACGACTAATTATCTTTTGTATCCGATGACAATGCAACCGAAACTTACGAGGCCACAAACTGGAAGTAGAGAGCCAGACATATAAACGCGATGCAGGTGTATAAAAATGCGACGGCTAGGCGCTTATCGATCGATACCTTGAATCTGGGCCGCACCTAAATTTAGTTCCTTTTTCTGATGTCGACGACAGCAAAATGCAGCGCTTATACAAGGTTAGAAAGGGCCGCGCAGATTTTTTTCGGCGCAGTTACACTACCACGACTATACACTGCGGCACTACTTTTGCCGCGTTGCATTACGTGTCGTGTGCTAGTAAAAAACGCCTACCAGTCGCCTTCGTGTACCGTTAGAAACCGGCTCGACTTGCGTCACACTTCTCGGCGCGTCCAAACCGGAATTTGCTAAACGTTCGCTCACTAAACTCGAAAATCGGGCCCACATTTTGTAACGCCGGCTTCGATGGGTCGATTTGCGCCCCGGCCTAACACCTTCATCTTACACAATTTGACCACGATTGCCAAGTCAGTACCGATCAGCGCGATGAACATTACTAGCTACAGATTGGTTTACGTGGGGTTTTGTATGACGTACGAGGACGGCGTAATTGAGGTAGGTAAAAATAGACACGATTTCAGCCTTGTCGCGTCTCGTGCCGCCATGGTAGCCGATCAGGTCATATTAGAAACAGTCACAGACGGTGAAGTAGACCAAAACGGTTACTAAATAGTTATTTCTTAGTATGACAGCTCACTCTCTCTCTCTTTCTCTCTCTCTTTCTCTCTCTCTCTCTCTCTCTCTCTCTCTCTCTCTCTCTCTATTTCTCGCTCGCTCTGCTTCTTTCTCCCCACGTACAGTACAGTAACCTACCCACCCATCGTAAATCCGAGTGGTAGCAGGAGTGATATAAACGACTTCCCTTCCCCCAACCATCGATAGGACATCGGATAATATAGAGCCAGCACGTGAATTACGGATAACCAAATATAAATGTAGATCTGACTCCAATACCGAAAATTCGACCATAGCAGGTAGACATAAGCTCCAGCGTCACCTGTTAAATTTCTAAGACCGTCTGATATTCACGCACCTAACGCCAGGGTTTCAAAAACTTTTGTAAAAACCTCAAACATTGTTGCGAAAGTTATGTGAATAAAGTCGGCTGCCAGTAAGGCAAAATCGGCGACGAGGATTGGGTTTGGTTCCTTAAAAGGCCACACCTTCCGCATCGTTAATAGTAGAACTGGAAAGAGCAGGAGCCGAAACGCCAACTCCGCATAGTCTAGCGGCGTCAGCATTTTGTAGAACGAAAGGTGAAAGTGCCCCTAGTGGCCGCTTGGAATGTTGGCCACACAGCAGCCCAAATGGCCGTGAGAATGTACCAGACTGTCCTACGGCGAATGGCTTCTGGGTACCGGCAAAACTCGGTACGGAAATTGTGCATTAACGAAGACAGCTGAGAATTGGCTTAGCTTTTCCAGAGGCTTCGAGTTTAAAAAACGGCCCTTGGAACGTCTTGTAGTCAAGATGCCCCCCCCCCTCAAGCGCATTTGCACCAAAAAATCACCACAAGGTGTTTCCGTGCCCCATCCAAAATCGGCTCGATATGCGTAACACTTCTCGGCGAGACAGGTGAGATCATTCCAGAATTGGCTGATATATGATAATACTGCGCCAAAATTCTATTTGGCTGCTGTGCCAAAAAAAGGCTCACTCCGGAAATTGGTGAAAATTTTGTAAACGCAAAAACGTTCACGAGACGATCAGATGTCGTAAGGACTTCCAAACTTTAGTGGAAAGATTCCAGCAGCATTTTTTAAGTAAAACCGTCCGGGCGACCATTCGTCAATCATTCAATCTAGCACTATTATCACCGCAATTTCAAACTTTTAAGTGTAGCTAAGAATTTATCCTGAATTTTCGCTTTCATAATTGTTCAATGGTCCAATACAGCGGGTTATAAACTTCAAAGTTCGATGGGTTCTACGCAGGCCCGTAGGAGGGGGGGCAGGGGCCCTGCCCCCCCCCCCCCCCCGAAATCGGTCGAGGTCCGAAAAATTCATAAGGGGGGACCCTTGTGATTTTTAGTTACAAAAATTTTTCCTCCTGCGGCGCTGTTTATTACTGTGTTTCAAACAGTTTTTACTTATATAAAGCCTATTTTTTTCAAATTTGGCTTTAATTGCTGAACCAATTGTTCATAAAAAATTTTTATGCTTGCGGCGCGTTTTCTACCGTGTTTTCACACGAATTTGAGTGTAGCGAACGGTTTTTTGCCTGCGACGCTGCTATTGACGCGATTTTCGGATGTTTTAAAAATAGCGACCGGGGGGGGTAGGTAGCCAAAATTTTTGGGCCCCTCCCCCGAAATTTCGGTTCCGCTACGGGCCTAGTTCTACCTAACCAGAGAATCAACCCGTGAGGCCCGGTTGCAGGGTTATTGCGACCAAACTACCGTGTGAAATTCACGGCCGAGCCTCGAAAGTGAAGGTGGATCTGGGGCATACGGATTGGTTTTTGACGCCTAGGGGCTCGTGAAGCATTTATTTCATCGTGACAATCATTACATAGACCGTGCACTTGCTCAGCTCGAGGCAATGGACAAAGGCATTCGCGTAAGGTATGACGGCGGGTGGGAATCTAGAAAATTTTGCAAATTATCAATTTCCGGTTCTTTAGCGTTATCGAGGGAAGTCAAAATTTTTTGTGTACGGCTAGAGATCAGTAATAACTAAACTGCTACTATTTTAGTAGTGTCGTTAAAAAACAAAACCACAAGCTTTCAAGCTTTTAAAAAAATTTCTGAAAGGTCGGAAATTGGTAGCAACGGCGATTTTTGAAAAAATATCGATTTTTTGGTATTTTTTTTATAAAAAAAATTGTAAATTTTTACGTGTAGAATATTTTAAAACGGATTGTCTTTTTTCTAAATCTGGAAATTTTTATCCCAAGGACCGAATCTCGTCCCCCCCCCGATGATGGAAAAGAACCGAATTTCCAAGCTGCTAAAATTCATCGTAGAGAAGACCGTATAAACACTTACACAGCAACGTATTGAAAATATACAGAAAGACTGAGAAATGCCACGCTGATGTAGAGAAACGCCAGTGCCAGGCGCTTGTCAATAGTTACGTTGAAACGAGGGCGGATCTAGATTTTATGAAATTTTATGCTATGCTGAGTTTGGAAATCTGATTCTCTGGAATAACGTATAATACGACGCTGGATAAACGATCCGTCGAGGTTAACAGTCGTCTTACCTACCATAGGTCTACGCACCGCGCGGCTTCCGTTGGAATTTGGCTCGATTAGCGTGGCACTTCTTGGTGAAGCTACCTCGGAATGCGTGGACATCACTAAAATATTCCTTTTTTCATTAAATAAAACCAAGTTCAAACCAGTTGGAGGTGCTGCTTCTACTCTTCTGCGTGGATGATTTCCCAATACCTTCATTCTGTACAGCTTCGCAACTATCGCAATATCCGTCGCGATCAGCGCACCAAACATTATGAGCTTAAGGACACAATTTTGGTACCTCAAAACCCTTAAGCTACCTTCAAAATGTTATCAAACAGCGTAAAACTGCCTTCAACGGCTGCTTTTCCGGTCTTGTAAGCACCGTAATAGCCAGGTACAGCGTAATACATGCAGTCACAAATCGTATAGAACAGGGTATCAGTCACTAAAAAGGTATAACTTTTTTAATGCAAGCATCCTAACCTGCTGTAAAGCCGAGTGGTATTAAAAGTAGCAAAAACGAAGCCCGGGAATCGATTCTTCGATAGATAATCGGAAGAAATATCGCTAACAAGTGGACAAATGACAGCCAGACATAAATGTAGATCTGGCCCCAATACCGAAAATTCGCCCAAATCAGGTAGATGTGGCTTCCAAGTGCACCTCAATAAAATTCTAAGTTTTATAAAAGCGCATACCAAAAATATCCATTTCAAAAATTCTTGAAAAGGTATCATGGATTGTAGAAATAACTATATGGATAAAATCTGCAGCTAGGAGAGTGAAATTAGCGACGACGATTGGATTGGGTTCTTTAAATGGCCACACTCGCCTTAGCATCCAAATCAACGCCGGAAATAGTAAAAATCGGAAAGCCAACTCCACATAGTCGAGCATCGTCAGCATAATCCAGAGAGGTTTGTGCCCAAGTCGGGCGCGTCGCTAGCTGGACCCCGATTTTTGGGTCCTGCAGATAGTTGACGTGAGAATTCCGAGGTGTTAATTCCACCCTCAAAAGTGGCCAAAATACCCAATGTGCCTGTTGACGTCTGGTGTCAAAAGTGATTGTTATGGCGTTGTGAGAGTTGTACCGATTGTTAGCCTGGGAGCGCACTTTTGCAGTTGCTTGACTTTACTTCGCTTCCGCCCGTTTTTCAGGTTCATAAAGAACGAAAATGCGCAGGAGGGTTTTGTGGCGGAGGCCCATGTTAAAAAGGGTGATGGGAAATTGCCTGAATTTCCTGCAATGGGTTGAAAACCGAGAGGACGGCTACTGGGGACCTTTCATCTGTAGAGACACTTTTTGAGCTTCCGACAATTTGAGAAACTATACTTTAGCTGAGTGTTATTATAGGACAATCGAAAATTGGAAAATTGGGTTTTGTGGATTGATGATGCTTGACTCAACTTTCGCGAATTCTTTAGTATTTCCGCGAGACAACCGGGTAATATTAGATTGCTTACAAAATATAAACCATCTTCAACCGATCAGTCATTCAAACCATTTTTATGTGCTTTTTCTCTGTAAACTGAAGGGTTATCAGTTGCATTCGCTGGAACTCAGGATAAATTTTATGAGTTTATTTCAGCGTCACGATCAAGACATAAATCGTGCACTTGGTGAGCTCGATGTTGTAGATGACGGCCGTCACGTAGGGTTGGATTTCGATAGGTATCCTAGAAAACAGTGTGAAAGCATGCGAAAGCCAAAGCCTAAGCTAGGCCTAAAATAAGCTTAAGCCAAACCTATGCAATAATCCTAGGCTTTAGTTTAAACCTAAGCCTCAACCCACGCCTAAGCCTATCCTCAAGGCTAAGCCTAAGCCTAAACTTACTTGTCGGCAGCCGAGAAAAAGGCGGAGAACAGCAGCAGCGCGGTTACGATATAGAAAAAGGCCAGGATTAAGCGCTTATCGATAGCAACTTTTAAGCGTGTCTATAAAACCGTCTTATAGGGTGGTATTTTCCAAAACCTGAGGCTTCTGGATCATCCTGGCTCTAGGTAGATCGATCTTACTTCCGTTGGGTTGCGTTTGCGTGGTGCTGTGGTTCGCTGAAAATTAAATATCAGGCTCTGGCTTATTAAGTACGCTTAATCTTACTTGCGATTCGTACCTTCTTGAACAGTCCTCACAATCTTTTTACCGAGGATTTTCATCTTGTAAAGCCGACATATAAGGATCAGGTCGACTGCGATCAACAACACGAACATAGGGCCCTAAAATTCGGAAGCCAGACTTAATATTTAATAAATTAATGCGGTAAAATCATATAAGCAATTTCGATACCTTTATCGTCATGTCCAAAATATACCAAACAGTGTAAATCGCTTCTTTTCCCGGCTTCAACCCAACGTAATACCCAGGTATCACATAGACGCTACAGTCACAGATGACGAGGTAGACGCCTTGGAGTACTGTAATTTCCGTATAACGCATATTTTTCTGAAACTTACCAAAACTCAAGTTTAACGGTACCATCAGAATCAAGATCGAGGCCTTCGTCCCGATTTGGCGATAGCTGCCAGGTTTGAAAATTGCCAGTAGATGTAGGATAGGCAGGACGTAGAAAACGAGGACTTGGTACCAGTATTTGACGTTTAAAAGGGATAGGAAAAGCCAGATGCCGAAGTCACCTATATGGCGTTAAGTTTAGAAATCTCTATGGAAGTTTACCAAATGTTTCAGCTTCAAACACCCGGACCGAGTAGTCGTGGAGAATGTAGAAAAATAGCCGGACACAATCGGCGAGAACGATGGAAAAATTGGAGTAGGCGATTGGATTTGGGTCCTGAAACGAAGCTGGTATATAAATAAACCAGTGGAAAAAGCCCGCTTCGCGGCCCTTTTCGGCTGGACACCGTCCAGGAACCATGAATTCAAATACCTTCTTTTTTTTAGCCTGCTGCGCAAGAACCTGATTAAAGGACCCATGATTTGGCCTGCGGCGCCAGAGCCAGCTTGGCGCTGGAATCTTTGAGCCTGCGGCGCTAGTTATTGGTTTTTCTCCGGGATTTGGCGCGAGAGCCTGGGCCAAGGGCCTTTTCTTTGGTCTGCGGCGCTAGAGCAAGGGCCAGGCCTAAACCTCGCACACCGAGAGCCTAGAAATATATTCTGTTGTTGAACCACCAAAAAGCAAGCAGTTATATTTCGCCAGGGTCCGAACCCACGACCATTCGCATGGTAGGCCAGGCGCAATTCCACTACACCACGGGGGAGATGGGACGAGGCAGCGGGAAAGGCCTCTTGTCTCCTGGGGAGGCCGGCAAAAAGGCGCCCCAATGATTCCGGGAGGGAGGCATACTGGTCACCTTACAAAATTCCATTTTTTAGTCTGAATACGCAAAAAAATTGTAATGATAATAAGCTGCGCGTGATCCCCACTATCGAATACATAAGAGATCCAAATTACAGACCGAAATTCCGCCAGGGCCTCGAGTTATGGTCTGAACACCATGGCGCGTCGCCCACTTTGTTAAGGATTTTTTACATTTTTGCTTGTAAATTTGTTAAATGAAGCAATTGCGAAAAACCCTAAAATCCGTTTTTGGCGAATGTGTTTCTCTACCTCCATGCAAAAAATCAGCTGGAAATTCGGCCTAACGGCCGAGAAAACCTCATCACGGAAACAAACATACTTTTCTCGCCTATAGGAAAGGACTAGGAAATATTAATAAAATTCGTTCTCCAAAAATGGTGACTAAGAGTTAAAAAGATTAAAAATATGCCGCATAAATTAAACAGCATTTTTCACCTTCCATGGAGCCACGCGCTTCAAAATAAACATCGACAACAAAAATGTAAAGGTTTGGTATCCAAAGTTGCCGTAATCCAGTGGCGTGAACATTACGACGCGACAGGGGGAACGCTAAAGATCAACTGGTTCCTGCTAGCCCCCCCAGCCGTCCCAAATTGGACCGTGAGAAATAGTTTGGTTGATGGAATGTTTTCAGGGCATTTTGCTGGGAATGTTTATTGGAAAACAGATTTTTTTGATCGCCTCGAAGTACGGCTTTAAGCCTGTGGCGACAGCTTCAATGGTTGGCTGATTCCTTAGCTTGCGGCGCTAAAGTGTGCGGCCAGCTTCGTTCTAAAGCCTGCGGCGCTAGCTTGTGCGGCTAGCTTCGTTCTAAAGCCTGCGGCGCTAGCTTGTGCGGCTAACTTCGTTCTAAAGCCTGCGGCGCTAGCTTGTGCGGCTAGCTTCGTTCTAAAGCCTGCGGCTCTAACTTGTCGGTTTTCGATAAAAATTTCTACTTTCCAGGGCGCTACCCGCGTCATGATAAAAATTGAAGCAAAAACGCGTCAGCGTCTGCAATACAAAATTACATTAGTCTAGCGGCGTCAACATTTTCGAGCAGTCGCTATTGCCACTCTTTGCCCAGGACGCGTTGCTTTTGACCAATTTAAAGCTTGGGAAAAGAGTCACCTCTCTCTGAAATTCATTAAAGGGCCGGGAAATCAACAAAAACTATTTCTGATTTTAGAGTGACGATTGGAGCGCAGAGATTGTGGAGAGATGAGGCGCTTATGGGAACTTGGTAGATACATAAGACACCGAATAGGCCTAGGAATTTGCATGACTACATGCCATACATGCATAACTGATCACGCACAGATACAGAATTTTACTAGTTTCTGATATAACGAAATGTTGTATGGAAACAGAGAGAAAGAGAGAGACACAGAGGAGAGCGAGAGAGAGAGAGAGACAGAGAGAGAGAGGGAGCGAGAGAAAGTAGCCCAACGAGCGCGGTTTTTGAAACCTTGTTTGCGGGAATGCGCGGAACGTCACATATATTTATTTCATCGTAACGATAAGCACGTAGATGGTGCATTTGCTCAAGTCGAGGTCGTAGACGAGCACGTTCAGATATGGAATTGCTTGGACCGGAAAACTAAATTAATTCTACGTAGATAAAGTATCGTTGCCCTTACATTGCGATACAGACCACGTAAACCGTAAATAGCGAGTTGACGATGACGATGTAAAAAAACGCGGTAGCAAGCCGGATATCGAGGGCAACTTTTAGACGGGAATTCTGAAAATGATAAAAAATACAAAGGGTGGGTTCTGTTTTTACCCAAAAATTTCATTTTTTCATCATAATAAGTGAGTTAACAGGATATAAAATTTTTGCTAAAACTACGATACCTGTTTCCCTCGTATCGGTGGCAATGTGACCGAAACGGTCGCCTTGATGATATTGTTCGTGCTGGGAGGGTCCTAGGCTGCTACGCCGCGCACTAAAATCTTACCTAAAACTTCCACTGGACGCTTCTTATTCCTGCCCAACACTCGCATTTTGTACAGCTTCGCTATGATCAGCACATCAGTCCCAAGCAGTAATAGATACATTATGGCCTGAAAAATCCGCATTAATGACCGCCCAAGAACCTACTTTTGTGCCATGATCTAGATTTGTAAAGACATCAGCAACTGCTTCCTTGCCAGGCGTGTAACTGATATAGTATCCCGGAATTTGATAGGCTATACAATTACAAACGATACTATGGACAGCAACGGCAACTGGGAATGCATTACGCAATGTATTGTAGTGCTTACTAATAGCCGCTGTGATCCGGATCGTTATTATAATCAGCGACCCTTTCAGGTGCAACTTTCGGTAATGTCCAGGTAATAGAATAGCGAATAAATGAAGAATTGGCAGTTGTATGAATGTGTAGAGTTGTATGTAGTACCGTGAACTGTTCCAGCATAGGTAGATCCAGACTCCAAGAGCGCCTAAAGCATCGAAAATCTAATTAATGGTTTAAATACCAAAGCTTTCAAGCTCATAGATGCGAGCCAGATAGTCATGAATGATGAAGATGAAAATATGGATTGTATCGATAAATACGATCAGGAAATTGGCGACGACGATGGGGGTTTGGTCCTAAAAAGAGTCTAAAACGGTCTTATAGAGGCCGTTTGGTTTAAAGGGACAGTGAAGGCATTTTAAGGATTTTCTGTCTACAGATTGTCCATAGATTTTAAGGCACCAATGCCGCGCACCTGCTCCTCTAACCTTTTTAAAGGTACCATGTAGTGCCTTCTTTTACAGGTTCTAGGAAGGCACTACATGGGTTTTTAGATGTTTGGCTACGGATGTTAATGCCGCCGCGACACGCAACGCGCTTAGCCCAAGCGACCTTTTCATTGCGTAATGGATCAGGAACCGATTGTCTCAGCAATCGACGCATGCACAAGAACCATGAAGTTGCCTTGACCGGCCCCGTTAAAGGCCTCTAGAACGCTGGTTTTCGTGAAAAAGCAAAAGGCGTTTGCACCGGGCGGGGTCGAACGCGCACCGTGAGGATGACAGCCAGGCCCGTAGGAGGGGGGCCAGGGGCCCTGGCCCCGCCCCCCCGAGATCGGTCGATATCCGAAAAATTCAGAAAGGGGGACTTTTTTAGTTACAAAAATTTTTCTGCCTGCCGCGCTGTTTATTACTGTTTTTTTATAAACAGTTTTTACTTATATGAAGCCTATTTCTTCAAAATTTTTTGCCTGCGGCGCTGGTTTTCATTGGTGAATCACTTGTTCATAAAAATTTTCCGCCTGCGACGCGTTTTCTGCCGTGTTTTCACACGAATTTGAGTGTAGCGAACGCTTTTTTGCTATTTTTTTTTGCCTGCGGCGCTATTATTGACGCGATTTTCGGATGTTTTAAAAGTGGCGGGGGGTCGCCAAAATTTTTGGCCCCCCCCCCGCCCGAAATTTCGGTTCCGCTACGGGCCTGATGAGAGCCCAGCGCGCTATCCACTATACCACGCTCACCAACCCGGAGGCGGCGGCGGAGAGGGATGACCTGCCTGTGCACCCCCTTTCCCCACGCGGCGCTCCTATGTACGCCGCCAAGGGTGTCAACGCTCTGCTGCCAGCCGCAACCCCTGCGGCTTAGTCCCAGCCGCCTTTAAATCTTTTCAGTTAGTTCACTCTTTTTGAAAGCATGAAACACTATAATCGGCTCATACCTTCCACGGCGCAGCCTTCCTCCACGTATGAATTGACAGCAAAAACAGAAATATTTGTAAGACCAAATTTCCATAATCCAGTGCCACCAACATCGCTCGGGTAGCTAGCTGATATTTTCTGGCGTTACTCGGGGCTTCTAGATGGAAGTAGACATTGCAATTGATTGGCCTGTGAAGTACCCTGAATGTTGTGCCTGAAAACGCGATCCTGCCTAGGTGGGCCAGGTGCTTTAGGTGACATTTTGTAAAGTGCCCTCCCAATTTGGTCCGAACTTTGCACCTGGGGTTTCTGGAGTGCCGGGCGTCATGAATTTTTTCCGAAATAAATTCTAATTGAAGCTGAGGAAAAATCATAGGTTGTTTTCGGATGGATGAATGGAAAAGCCGATGTTGCGACAAATTTGTGTCGTATTTATCCATGTCTGCGATTTTTAGGACAGAAAAGCGCAGAAAGGTTCTTCATTTGCGGTAATCTCTTATTTAATAACACAACTTACCCTACCCACAGACGCGTGAGAGCGCGCAAAGTACCGTAGTTTCGCTAGAAAGCCTGGGATGAAAGACAGCGTCTGTACCCGGTTCGAAGAAAAATGTCCCTTTGAAAGCACTGGAGTGCATGTGAAATGTTATATTGTTTCGAAATTCAAAATGGATGAATAAATTTATTTCAACGTAACGATGAGGACATAGACGGTGCACTTGCTCAGCTCGAGGTTGAAGACCAGCAAGTTTAGGTAAGCGATGGCGTCGGCCGGAAGTCTAAAGCATACCTCAAACGTTTTTCGGTTCCCTTACATTCCTATGGACAAGAAATACACGGTGAAGAGTGAATAGGCGAGGGCGATGTAGAAAAAAGCAACTGCCAACCGTATATCAAGAGTAATTTTTAGTCGTGAGGCCTGGAAACTCCGTTTTAGCGCTGCTGTCTTGATGAAAAGTCAATAGGGATTGTTCACAATTTGGTCCAATTATGATCTGACATACATTAAATGAACTAAAAAGGTTATTATTATAAGAATTTTTCAAGTAACTGTTTTAAGCACGGAATCATACCTGTTTTCGTCCATTGGGTTGCAGCGGAACGGAGCCAATCGTCATCTCTCGCGGACTAATTGCCATGGTGGTCGTGTTATTCGAATTATTGTTATTGGCTGAAAACGCTAGGAATAAAATCTTAAAGCATACCTGTAACTTGCTTGACTTCGTTTGCTCTCCTTGGCTTCTTCCTCAACACTTTCATCTTGTAGAGATTCGATAGCGAATAAATGTAAAATCGGAAGGAGTATGAAAATAAAATGCTGTAGGTAATATCGAGCATCGTACCACCAAAGGAAAACCCGAACTCCGAATACTCCTATCGAACACATGTTTCTAAACAACGACCACCCACCAAAGCTTTCATACTCCAGAATCCGCGCCAGATAGTCGTGAATGTTGAAGACGAAAAGATGAATGGTGTCGATGGAGACCAAGAGAAAGTTTGAGAGCACGACGGGATTTGGATCCTAACCATCGTTTTTTTGGAATTGGATTCAAATTTGGATACCCTCCACGGCGCTGCTTTCCGGCAGGTGTTGATGGCAAGGATAAACAATAATAACTGAAAGCCAAGGTTTCCATAGTCGAGGAATGTTAACATTTTAAAAGACTGGTTCAAAATCCGACCCTCCCTCGACTCTCGGGTAATTTGGCTGGGAGATCAGAATTCTATGACTCTTACGATTTTCACGTGAGCTTCTCAGCGGGGGTGACTGGCGGTCTCTCACGAATTATAACGAACATCAGTCTTATGGTCGGGATTAGGTAACCGTATTTGTATAAATGGCCTTCCTGCCATTGGAAGGTTGTATCGCTATGGAAAAAAGAGCACCTACTACTGCCTTTCGGCTACCTCAAATTTTTGCAGTTTCGTTTTTCCTCAAATTTGCTAGTCCAGCTATGGGTCCATTAACCTCGGAGCCAAGGCTTATCTTTGGGTGCCTGCACGTGAGCTTCCTAACAATGAGAATTCGTGCAAGCTCTCAGAGAGTAGATCAAACACCTTGGTTATGAGCAAGCAATCTCAAAGGAATTAGGTGTAGCGGCGAGTTTCTCAGGCAATTTTTCCATGCAAATGTCTCGACATCTTATACGCACCCCAGGGGTTAAAAGCAATACCAGGTTTGGAAAACTTTCTCGCTTCGAATATTTCTACTTTTTCAAAAATGTTCAAGACTTTTTAACGACCCACCCTGGTCGTCAAAAATATTACAATACAACGTATTATTTCTTCATGTCCCGCATATTTAAGCATCGCACTACACCTCGACTCCTTCTCCAGGCTACCCCACGTCAAAAGTTGTAATTTGGGTGTCTGCTATTTAGCCGTAATAATTGGTAAGTGGTGTCATTAGTTCCCACCATGCCGCTCAAGCTCCCGGTAATGATAGCTTCTCGCCGTGGGTAAGGCCAAACAGAGAGGTTTTATTGCCACTCTAATTACCCGAGCATCGTAATTCCTATTGCCTAGATTTATTCCAGATAAAAACATTTGGTTTTTGATGGAAAAGGTGGCGAACACTTGCCCTCGGGCCATTGGGAATGTCGGGGAGCCCTGGGGGGGGAAGCCGTGCTCTTTCGAATGGGGACAACTCAAGAAGCCGTAGCCGGAGCTCCGTAACAGAATTTTTGGCGGACCCAAAATGCGGAAAATTGGCGGCTTTCCCTGTATGCATGGTAAATTTTGGTTAAAGTATTTAAAGTAGTTCCGAATTTTGCAACGAACGAATAAATCCCCGACCGATTCAGTTTGAACGAAAAGAAAAAAGCTAAAAAGATGATTGACACGATTTAGAACGACGGCGAAGTTTTTAATAAAACTGTGTAAACACCCTGCCATTTGACTCGCTGGATTGATCGTAATCTTACACAATTTTGTAAACATTTTGCCCTGTATTTTGCGCACCCGTATTTGCCTAATTGAGCGCGGTACAAAATTTTTAGTGTTCTGCAAACTACCAAGCACTAGAAAAAACCTGTGGCAGGTGCGCGTGCAGGTGTACCCACCATGAAGGCCATTTCATCAATGTTTCCTCATTCGCTAACCTGCATCTCAAAAACCGGCGCGTGACCCCAATGGCGAGCAACGCTGAGTATGTAAATGCTACCGGAATGACAACGATCCCTGCACTCCCCAACTTGGATGACTACACTTTTATCGACGAAAACTTCTACGTCGCCACCACGGAGTGGACGCCCTTGGATTATGCCACAAATCCTCCAGACAACTTTACCGGGGTTTTTGGCGATTTTTATCAATCGATCAGCTATATCGATTGGCGTTGGTATGATCTTCTGACCTATGATCCGTTGGTCTGCAAGAAGGGGCCTGGCGATGAGCAACACTTCGCCAGCGTCGAGGATTTTCGGGTAGAGTACAAATGGGATGGGACGCCCTTTCACCAGGACTTGGGCGATGAGCACGTGGCTGATGAGCCCAAGATTGCGGCCTCGATGTTTGTGGTTGGTTCTCGTAAGAAAGTTGACATTGCTTGTTCAGCTCGGAGTCATCGGAATAGCCTTGTCGGCGGCCTCTGGGTTTTTGGTGATCAAGAACTCCAAGGTCTCCAAAATCGTTCGCATCGGGATGATAGCTGATGCGGCATGCCGCTTCATCAACTCGATGGCTAGATTTTACTATGGGAAATGTTTGCTTGAGTAAGTGCTGCTTTACTCAGTCATGCTGAAGATACCTTAAAAAAAACCATGTTTTCAGCTGGGGCTGTCTAAAAAGCGACGGTTATCCGTTTTCCGGTATCATGTACAACATGATATGGTCTACACTCGATTACACTTCCTATCTTACTATGGGCTTACTGCAGCACTGGATTTCAGCCATTCGGTAGCATGGATTACTGAATTTTCAATTCAGAAATTACCGTAGATTCTTCGCCGTGTTCGACGACGGGATGCACTATCGAAAAATCGAGAAATGGTCGGTGCTCTACATTGCAACACTCTGCTTGCTGTTATGGTTATATTATATGACGACGATTGGTAGTAGAGTTGTTATAACTCAAACAAAACAAGGCCTCAAACAATCTTGTTTGAACAACGTTGTTTGATAGGATTTTTGGAGATTCAAATCAAACATGTTTTGTTTGAGATGACCGTTGATCGCTCAAACAAAACAAGATTGTTTGAACTATTTGAGCAGTTTGAGTTTTGTTTGACCTTGTTTGAAATGTATGCTAATTTTGGATTTAAAGTGTGATTTTTCAGCATTTTCGCAATTTGCATAAATTTTTCCGATAAAATTTGTTTTAGAATGTTTGAATTCGCTTCCGATCCATCAAAAATCCCCCAAAAAATCTCACAGTTTAGGATGTTCAAACAAGTTCAAACAAGTCAAACAATCTTGTTTGATTTGATCCCCTGGAACTCAAGTCAAACAAGGCTGTTTTGTTTGAAACTTTTCGAGCTCAAACTAAGCAAACTTGTTTGAGTTGTTTGAATAATTTGTTGTTTGTTGTTTGAGTTATAACAACTCTAATTGGTAGTAGTACGTTTCGAGACCGATCAACTTACTATTCACGCAGTTTATTCAAATTAAATAATCCATAGAACCAATTTTAGTCTCTGAGCCAAAAACTGGATACCTTTGCTACACCGGGTATCATTTCACGCCTGCATATTACTGGCGAACTTGCCGCTACCACAAATCAGCGCTCTACCAAGCTCTCTTTGATCTGGTCCCCGAAATCCTAGTGCTGATTCAAGCCGTGACATTAGCATTGGACGTTATTGCTCTGATGACGGTCCGCAGGAAGGTTGGTTCAAAAAGAACGAAAAACGTTTTTTATGAATATCACAATTTTATAAAAACGGTTCACGCTAGAAAATCCTGCAGTTTTTTATAAAAAGGCCCAGAAAAGCGTTCCGGAGCGTCGGCAGATGCATTAAATTAAGGGCTCTTGACCTACACCAGATCTTACAAAACCTCTCCTCATTGCATAGTGCTCCGCAAAGAACTCCCAAGGCCCTTACCGAATTCGGATACTAGAAAACTGAACGACGCCACCGATCATAAAATTATGCGCGCTGAATTTTCTCGATTTTAACCATCCTTCTTTAGATGAAAGAATCGCCCTCGAAAAACGAGATGAACATGCGGTTCGCCACTATGGTTTGGGTTCTTCAATTTTTTATATGTATTTCGATCCTTAGCTCGTCGCCACCAATGCGCTAATCTTCGGCAAACAATTGGTGGGTGCCGCGACGATGCGTGTCTCTTATCGCCCCCGTTCAACCTATCTGGCATCGTCGGTTTATGAATTTATGCATTGTGCCTTGATCAGGTTCGCAGCCGATTAACTACGGAATTATTTTTGCTTTTCTTCAGTTGTATCATCATCACCTTCAACATGTCTTACCTCGATGTGAAGCCAAGAATGGAGCCGACAAGCTCGGCATTGTCCTCTTCATTCCAAACGACAACCACGAGGGTGTAAGAGTTATTACGCGGTTCTTACGAATTAACAAGGAGTCGCTTTTAGGTGCTTTTGGAGTTTCGGGACGGGACCTAGCTAGTTCAATAGAGAAAAAAATTCTGAGCAACATATAATTTTCAAAAAGTGCTGATCGATAAAGCAATTCTAGAAAATTTAATTTAAAGTTCGTGCTTTTTTTCGAGTTTTCGGGTCCGTTTCCTCGGTTCGCGTCGTTGTCGGGGCTACTCCGGGCACCGTACATAGCCCTCCGCCAAGGCGTCCATCACAGGTTGCATTGGCGTATTGGTAACGCGCTTGCTTAGCAACTTTTTAAGATTTTTTACCTCGGGTTCGAATCTTCGCGCTGGCTAACGCTTTGCTTTTTGTTTCTTGAATCGGTTATCGGTGCATAAAATTTTAATTAGCAAAAAAGCAAAGAGTTAACGATAAATAAGAATCGAACTTGTGGCAAAAGGTAAAAAAAACTTCGTAGGCCAACGCACTAGCCACTACGCCATGCCTTGGACGGGATCAATGACGCGTGAAGTCCCCACGTGGCAGGGGCGCTCGACCGCCGTAAATCACCTCAAATCACCACAAGGGTGCCGATACCGGGAACATTTTTAATTAACTTCAATTTTCTAAAACAGCTTTATCGATCAGCACTTTTTGAAAATGGTATGTTGCTCAGAATTTTTTTCTCGATCGAACTAGCTAGGTCGCGTCCCGAAACTCCAAAAGCACCTAAAAGCGACTCCTTGTAAGCTTCTGGTTTTGATTTGTTAATAAATCTCTTTCTGACGTCCATGCTGCTGATCACGGGAAAATTATTGCAAAACTTGTGAAAAGACACGCTTAGGGTGACGAACCGAAAGTACCCATGGTGTTCCCGTGGCACTCATGACTGTTTTTTTATCACAGCTGAGGGGGCCTATTTTCTCGGGTGCAGGTGGTAGAAAATGAAATCAAGGTGAAGGCGCAGGTGACACCGCCCAAGGCGCTCAAAAAGACAAAGTCTGTTATTCTTGCAGAAACTCAAACCCGGGAACTAAAACAACTGATCCTGTCTTTGCAGCATCTAGGCCGCGAATGCATCATTGTCAACTATGCGGGACCTCAATCCTGGAGGCTGCCTGCTAAGGCTTTTTATTGCCTTTGCCCCGATGCTAAGCCCGGCAGAACTTCGTGGCAAAGGACGACAGACGACAGTTGGTCCAGCGAGTTCAACCTCGGCAATGCCGGGCTTAGCATTGGAGCACAGCACTGCAACCGCTATCAGATTTTCAATCATTCCCACCTCAAGCACTACCGAGGCCGCCTGGGATCACTCTGCTATAGAGGGATCCGGTTTTCCTGACCTTCGTGAAGGATCCAGCTATTATTCGTCCGGGGCTGATAACTTTGATTTTTCTGGAGATGATAGATACTCCTTCTCAGGATGGCAGGGCTATTCGAACTACTGGGATTCGTCCGGAACTGATAACTTTGACTTTTCGGGAGATGGCAGCTACTCGGTCTCGGGATGGCATGGCTATTCGAACTACTGGGATTCGTCCGGGGCTGATAACTTTTACTTTTCCGGAGAGGACAGCTACTCGTTCTCAGGCTGGCACGGCTATTCGAACAGCTGGGAGCCGGAAATGGAGTCACCATGCCACATCGACCTCTCGGCCGATGACAACGGCTACTTGCGCCAGACCCAAATCCCCGTGTTTCACCCCGGCTCCGATGACCAGATCGATGTCCGTATAACTGGGAATTGGCTGCTTGTGAGTTGTAGTTTGTCAGCTTCCTTATCTCCATTTGTAGGCGGGATTAGCTGGCGTTATGATGAGTATCCTTTCTGGTTACCTCTATATGAAAAAGAGCCCTTTGGATGGAAATGTCACTTTGGTGCTCCTGTTGACATGCTTTTTTCGATTTTTCGCGGGCCTTTCAAAGATTTATGATGCGATTTGTATATGGAGGTAGGGCATTTTTGTGACCAAAGTCTTGTTCAGTTGGCATTGTGTAGTTGATCAAGTTGATGTATTTTATTGGGGAATGGGCTTGAATACGGTAATTGCCTCGCTCGAGATGAGCTTCTACTATTCGATGCACTTGGCATTACATTGTCTAACAATCGATCGGTATGTAGAAACAACATTCTGGATCAGAAATTCTAGAGCTATTTTGGCTTTTTTCGGGATTGGCGTCTACCGTTTTGCCCGTTACGTAATGATCGTCTATGGGATTATCGTTTCCATTCTGCCTCTTATTCCAATTTGGCTCATGCTGGGGACAAGTAGGTTTTTTCAAACTTTTTCCGAGTTGGTGATCAAGTATTTATTTTTTCATCCTCGAATTTAGTACGCGACAACGACCTACACTGCTGGGGTGGTTTCTGGTTCGACCCGACCTACCTTGCGCTCACTATCACAAAGTATCAAAACGAAGTCTCTCGCGAGCTATTCGACGACCTGCGCACTCTGGCACTCCTGATAATCAGCTTCACACTGGTGCTGAATCTGGCGACTTTCTGGCGTTTTAAATATCTGGTAAGCCACTGGCTATAATCATAAAAATGGAGGCCTGTTAGACCATGGTCGAAAAATGGAACTTGATCGCCGCCCATAATCCGCTACTAGTGATGATGGTAGGCTCCTTTCTTTGCGGCAAAACCTCACGATTCAGTTGGGCTTTTCCAATCTATCGTTCTTCTTTGACGAACTGCTGATTGGGTTGACGCAAAATACCTTCTATGTCTTCAAGCGCAGTGACGTCACGGCGAACATCGCCAAATCCTATCGCTATCACGCCAGCGTCATCGTGACCGGGTATATTTTGACAACCGATATATTTTTTTTTAGTATACTCTTTGTTTGCTACGGATATGCGTGCGGCGATGAGCAGCGCCGAGAAAAAAAACGCGACGTCATCACTGTCAGCTCGAGCATGCCTACGATGAGTGCCAGTGCCGCAGAATAAATTCTTCATAAGCCAGAATGCCACGTCACTCTCCTAGGCATGTCTTCATCATAAGTGGCGTGACTCGAATTCCCACATGCATTTCCAAAATTTGTGTAAGACCAGGGTGGGCGGCGGACCAGGGCGAAACAGGCAAACATTGCCCAATCTGACCGCTAACACTCTAGCGTTTTCATCAATGGGTAATTTTAATTGTTCGATGCCAAACTTTCTTAGGTCTAGGCCCGGAAGTAATTGAACCCCTTGAACCCTTTTAGAAGATTGCTACACTCTTTCCAGGCCAGGCGCTTCAAAATCTAGGTGCCTTGCGCGCTCCTACACTCGGAAATCAAAAAGCTGACGCGGCGCCCCCCCGGGGAATTGTATTTAGAAAGTGGGGTAAGCCAATTGCGCGGGTCTAATAATTCATTTGAGAAGAGGGAGTGGGCGTTTCAGTGTTCATAGGCAAGAAAAATACCTAGTCCCACCGGCTTACTCAACCTCCCGACATTCCAAAGTCAATAAAATAAATTTATCGATTCCCTAATGAACAGCTCAACAACTACCATTTTGCCCATCCACCCAAACACCACCACGACAACCCCAGCAAACCCAACAACTACACTCCCCTACTATTCTTTCAACGTTTCAAACGTTTTCGATGAAGAATATTCGTATTATGTGTATTTCGACGATGTCCTGAACGAGGATCTGAAAAGCCACGACCCCCTAATATGCAAAAAAGGACGCGGCGATCTACAACACTACGCACATTATACGGACTATTGGGCAGCCTATAAATGGGACAGTACGCCGGTTCATACAACCATTAATGCGGATTATGCGACGCTGGTTGCTATTTCAATGATAGCTGTAAGGAGACCTAATAATACCTGCGGCAAGGCGGTCGACAACTGAGGCAGTGTGCCTGGCACACCGCTGGCCGTTGTTAACTTTCAATGCTTTACAAATTACAGCTCGGCTTTGTCGGAATGGGTCTAAGTGCTGCATCCGGATTCTTTATAACGAAAAACCCTCACCTCACCCGCATCATCGGCATCGGAATGCTGGCCGATGCTTTTTGTCGTTTTATAAATTCAGCTACGCGGATATACTACGCTGTTTGTGTTTTCGAGTAAGTTGATGACATCAATCACGACAATAATTCGAAGCTGGAAATGTGTCACGACCAAAGGCTATCCGTTTTCCGGAATTTTATTTAACATGCTGCTGGCGACCACAGATTATACATCCTATACAACGATGAGTCTGCTACAGAATTGGATCTCGATCACGAGGTAATGTGACAAACAGAAGCATTTTCTTTGTCGCTTTCAGGTTCTTCGCTATATTCCAAGACGGAAAATATTACCAAATCGTCGAGAAGGCGTCGATATTTTATGTCGGCGCGATAATCTTGCTGCTGTGGGGTTTCAACGGGTCGTTGATCGGGACGAGTAAGCGAGTATCTAAACTAGAATAGATAACAAACATAATTTCAAAAGGAATTAATGAGTAAACAATGTAGCAGGAGCAGTACACATTGTTCAGAAAAGGGGGGCCCCAAGGGTACACCATGCGGAGCGCAGACACAAGGGTAGGCACCCTGGGGGCGGCCAATGGTGGTTGGGGCACCCTTTAGGCGGCGACCGGCGGCTAAAAGAGGCTGGAGGCCGCCGGGCAGAGACGCAGAGAACAGAGAGGGTCTCTGGGTTCTCCACCCCCCGCCCACTCTCTCGCCTCTCCCATCCTGTTCCCGCCCGACGTACCTTTTTCTTAGTATTCTGAACGCTGTGAGTAGGAGTGGAGAACGCTAAAAAGGCGAAAGTCGCGCAGAAAAGCGAGCGCACAACTCAACACGCACATAGGAGTGTGGCGTCGGGAGTTCGGTGCGCAACCAGTTGCGAGTAGGCCCATCGCTCATGAGCGGCGGCATGAATTTATTAATGTCTATGAAAGCCCTATAACAATCGTTTTATAACTTTTTAGTCGTTGATCCAGCTACTGGTTACCTATGCTACACCGGCTACCATTTCACACCAGTATTTTATTGGCGAGCTTGCTTATTCTTCAAAACCGCTTTCCATCAAAAACTATATGACATTTTACCCGAAATGCTACTCGGTCTGCAAGGAATAACTTTAATATTTGATATTGTTGCTTATGCCACGGTCAGAATGCGGGTAATCGTAAAGCAACAATGCTCACAGTTCTTTTAGTTAAAACGTTCCGCTGCCAGGGAGGAAGTGAATATGCGGTTTGCCACCATGGTACGTTGAAAACATCGAAAGGGAACATGCAACGTTTTACAGCTGGTCGCGACAAATTTATTATTCCTTGGCAAACAAACAGTCGGCTACGCTACGGAAAGTGTCACCTATAAACCGTTAACAACTTATCTGGCGTATTCGGTATATGAGTTTGTGCATTGCGCACTGATCAGGTAAGAATCAATTTTAGAAGGGCGCTAAAAAGCATTTCAGTTGTATTATCATCACATTCAATTTATCGTATATCAACGTCAGGCATTCCCCTCAAACGTCTATGGTCGCAAAAACCCAAGCATAGCCAATGGTTATGCTACGCAAATTTTCATGTTCTTAATTGTAGGTCGAGATGTGGCAAAACGCTAAAGAGAATCTCTAGAAAGCGAAGCCAGTTTGAACAAATGAACATTCGGCATTCCACGGAGAATCAGACCCTCTCGTGGGGTTTATCTAGAGACGAGAGTTTCTAGTTTTTCGACTGGTCCATACAACGGACGTGAACATCCTTAAGGGGAAGAAAACAAAGGGCTAGGGTCCAAAAATACACTTGAAGTTTTGCTCCCGGGATCGTTGATGTATCCATAAATCTGGGCGGTTGATCTGCCGGATATGGAAGGTGTCTCTCCATCTTTGTGAGAGCTCAACACGGGTCAAGATTGGTCGATCTCGGCCGTGACCAGCGCTGAGCGGCTCAATTTTTCGCGGGAAGCGAACAGCGCAGTTTTCGGCTAAATTGGGGATAGCACGAGGGCTATATATAGAATTGGATACCGGAAGTGTATTGTGACTCCGCAAGACTGGAACGCCCTTATCAAATTTAATAAGTAGCAAGTTTGTAGCATTCATAGAGCCACATTTTGATTCCAATGAGCATCATGTCGGACGTCTGTGGGGCTAAGTTAGATAAGAAAATCTCGACCGTGCCTAGGGAAACACCATCATAAAAAGACGAAAACAGTTTCTTTTCAGCTTTCAAAATGTAAAAAAAGAAGTGCTGAATGTACGACGAAAATAAAAAAGTTTCAAAGTGCCTAGGATTTCTAAAAATTTCCTAAAAGTATAAGTTGTTTCTTAACCCCACGCGTTCTCGCCTTTTCCACTAGCAGATGATCACAGCCGTTTCGTTCAGTTCAGCTAGTCCAACCTCTGACGCCACTGATCCCGAGCCGTCCCCTTGATCAAGAAAACAAAAAGAAGCCCCGGAAAGGAGGGGAAAATGGGAGAAAGGCGAAGAAGATCAGCCCGCCCGGAAATCCCGATTTATCGCGTGCTGCGCGAGAGGGGTTGAAAGATCGACGGGTATAAGAAGGGGCTGAACCCCGGGGTATCAGTCTCGTTTCGGAAAAAATCACGAGATGCTGATTACTACTGTTGTTATTGCCGCGCTCAGCTGCTATGCCCTGGCTGGTAAGCGTACACAAAATCATATAAATCGCTGTGACATGAAGCTGTATAAATAATCCACAAATTTACAAATTTTCTACATAAGTTCAACTAGCCCTGAAGCTCCCTTACAGCCTAAATTTCAGGCCCCGTACCTATGGAAATCAAAATCGAGGATATCGACTGGAAGAACGGCGGGGAGGAGATGTTCATGAAAAGTAGGTTTACGTTTTAATCCGCAGCTAAGACAATTTTATATGCTTGCTGTTAATGAACTAGTAAATTAAGTATAGGATAAATAAATTGTTTTTTAGTTCTCCGGCGAAACCGCCCCGTTGCCCCACCATCCCCATGCCCGGAAGGCTGGGTATTCTCCCGGGAATTCGCTGCTTGCTATAAGGTAAATTAATGACTAACAGCTCTCATTGAGCTTTTAGAAAATCGTCAACGTCAACTTCGAGGAGGCAGAGGCCGAGTGCAAGAAGGAAGGCGCCAACCTAGCCTCAATCCACTCGGATGCTGAGAACCAACTGCTATACAGTAAGCCTAACCTTTTTTTCAGCATCAATTTCCTCTTTTTCTAGAAATGGTCAAGACTGAGACGCCTCGTTTCTCCGACCAAGATCAGCTTCTCCTCGGCGCACGCAGGGTTAGTTTTTCCGCGTTAACTAGAATAGCTGGGAACTATCAAAATGGCCATAAGATTATATTAAATCAAATTAATTCCAGGTCGACGGAGAGTGGATGTGGATCGATGGCACCAAGTTCGACTACAAGCCTTGGGCCCAGGGAGAGCCCAACGATTGGCAATACACGTCTGAGGAGGCCGAGGAGCGGTTCGAGGACTGTGTGGCGGTCGGTTTTTTTGACGATTTACTATCAGATTGAATTTAGGGCATTTAGGAATTTAGCATTTATCTGGAGTCAATTACCCTTACTTTTTAGATGTACACCTCTCCGCTCGGCAGCAACGAACCTGTCCATCCCTACCTTGGACGGTGGAACGACAACGTCTGTGAAGGAACTTACGAGGCTGCCATCTGCAAGAAGAAGCCCCACTATATCCACAAGATCTTCTAAACGATTTTTTGAAAACATTCACATAGCGGGTTGCTCATCTGAAAGCTTTAACTTTTAGTGTGTCGTGGATAAAACCGGTTAGACCTTACTCAACACAAAAACGACTCACAACGCAAGGGCAGCAACCCATTCAAATGCCAGCATAAATCTGAGCGATCACCACCGCTTGAGTGCGTCCGGTCACTACCCCGAAAAGTCACTACCCCGAAATTCACTACCCCGAAAGTCACTACCCCGAAAGTCACTACCCCGAAATCGTTTACCCCGAAAAATGATAGCATTGTTTTTCGCGGAAAAATCCAGTTTTCATGCGGATTTCCTATGAAAATCATGCAAATTATTTCGGGGTTGTGACTTTTCGGGGTAGTGACTTTTCGGGGTAGTGACTTTTCGGGGTAGTGACTTTTCAGGGTAATGACTTTTCGGGGTAGTGACTTTTCGGGGTAGTGAATTTCGGGGTAGTGACTTTCGGGGTAGTGACTTTTCGGGGTAGTGACTTTACCCCAGCCTGCTTTATGTAGCCGACTTTCAGGTTGATATCCGTATTCCAGAAATTTTAGAACATTAAGATAACGATTTGCCAAGAAAAGAAAATGTATTCCTTGTCAAAAAAGGGGCCTCCATGCCAAATATTTAATTTTGATTTGCGTTCTAACCTCCCAGGTCACTAGTTTTTTTCACAAAAATCACAGCAAAGGCGATAGCCAAAAACACATTAAGTTCAGCTCCGCTCAATTTCGATTTAGATTGTTTATAAAGCAAATTGTTTGTTGCCGCGGCCTAGTTCCGCGGAAACAGAGTCCTAGTTCCTCGTTTTTGCCATGCCAGCCCCCGGGAACCATGACTCATCGCCATTGGGCGATCAACCAAAATCACAGGAAGCAATCACAGGAACGTCAGCCCGCCTCTAAAAACTCGGATCGTTTGAGAGGGTGTGGAGGATGTAGAGAGGCCAGAACACCAGATCAATGACCCTTGTGATTGGAGATTCCTATAAAGCTCTCGTACGCCGGTGGTCATCAGCATTTCAAACATGTTTGCTTTGGTTGTCCTAGCTTCGGTGGTTTGTTCTGGACTTGCAGGTAGATTAAGGCACTTGAGAATTTGCTAGTTCAGGGATATTTTTTCTTAGATTCCTAGAAAGAGGACTTTACGATACGCTTTCCAAGATCAAAAACATTTTTTAGGACCCGCTGTACCCGCCAAAATCCTCTACGAAGTCGACTGGAAAAATAATGATGATTCGGCGATCAAAGGTGAGCGGAGATCTTGGCCTGAGCATATGACTACCGGATAAACTAATGACTATGTTTTATTTAGCGCTCCATCGCTCCAACGGCATCTTGTCCTCATGCCCCGAGAATTGGCTTTACGCTCGCGAATTGGAATCTTGCTATCTGGTAAGGAAGACTTCGTAGCGTCTAAATCAAGTCATTTTCAGAAGATCGGCAACGTGAATTTTGAGCAGGCCCAGGAGGAGTGCCATCAATATGGGGCTACACTGGCCTCCATTCACTCTGAGGCGGAAAATCAACTGATTTACGGTATCATCAAATTTTGCGCTGAAAAGGGACGATTCAGACTTGGCGAAGGAGAATGGAACTCGCTATAGCGATCACCAGGCTATGCTGACCGGGGCTGTGAAGGTTGGATTGTATTTAGGCTTATATCAACTACTTCAAGACGTCGTCTGAGACTTTTTACTTCAGGTCATTTAGGTCAATGGAAAGTGGACGTGGCTCGACGGCACTCCATTTAATTTTGTCGCTTGGGCCCAAGGAGAGCCGAACAATTGGCAGTGGCCGGAGTCGCAATATGACGCTAAGATGCCCGAACGTTTCGAGAACTGTGTAGCGGTATGTTTTTGAAGCTCGGCCGATCAAGGCTGTCGATTTTAGATTTACTTCTCGGAGGGGTACATGTCGGAAAATGGTCCCGTCGTGGGCAGGTGGAACGACAACATTTGTGACGAGCCGTTCACCGCCGCAATCTGCAAGATGGCCGCACCCCAGACCTTTGACAAATCTCAATGAAACACTGCAAACCTTGATTTAATAAATATTAAAATATCGTGTTTCTATAATTTAAAGTCAAGTCTCAAGGACCGAAGGCAAAAGCTTTATTTCTCCAGCTGCCGAAATATGAAAAATTGGGGCTAAAATTCCCCGAAGTGATATCACGTGTTTTGAGTCCGGGGCATTGGCCCCTAACATATGAGTCGATGCCATAAACATAATGTAATTGAGACATTAATTGGGAAGGGAGGTCCTGACTCACTTTGCGCTGGCCGAACAAGCCGTACGCGTTGTCCATCCATCAAATCGGCTGCAAATGCGATATTGACAAGGCCAAATCCGGGGGTGGCTGAAAACTCAATTTCACTTCCTGGTGTTCGCAATGGCTATAAAGATGCGGATCTCAGGCTGTATTCGGCATTTCCAAGATGTTCGTGCTGTGGATATTAGCTTCAGTGGTTTATCGCGGGTTTGCCGGTGAGTTTTGACATCTAAGCGGCCTTAACGATGAATTCAGAATCGGCCGTCGCTGCCGATCCGATCCCAAACCTTCTTTCAAAAAAGCTCAATGAATCGTTTGTGGAAGGTGAGTTACCAGTTCCACCCAGTTTGACGTCTATATTTCCAGCTCGAAACTCAGCTTCCCGAAATTCCTCTTGTCCCGATGGCTGGCTGTTCTCCCCGGAATTCTTTTCGTGCTATCTCGTAAAAATTTGTAAAAATTCGGCTTTTAAACTGTTCCAGAAAATCGACAACATGGATTTTGCTGTAGCCCAGCTTGAATGCAAGAAATATGGCGCTAATCTAGCATCAATTCACTCGGAAGCCGAAAATCAGTTCGTGTTTGGTAAGCACTTATGGTGAAGTCATGGTAGTCACTGAATTGCAGAGTATGCCAGGCAAAACGTGACCTTCGACGATGTGGACGAAAATGTTGTCTTGATTGGGGCACAGAGGGTTAGTTTTTTCTGAAGTAGTCAGTGACTCGAGGATTTGAAGCTACGACAGGGTGTCCCAATAAAAACACCCCTTCTAACTCGACGCAGAAGTCCCGGATCGGAATGCTAGGTATACCATTCGAAAGGTCTTGAAACGGCGTGTCTGCAACATTCTTCAAAACCATGTTTTCGTTCAAATGCTGTATTTTATTTATTCTAGCCATTTTTTCCTTTCATTTTCCCGCTTTCCGGGGTTTCGGGGTCCGCCATACAAAATGACCGCAGGTAGCCGTTAATTAGATGCAGAGGGAGTTCCTTAATGTTTTTAAATGCGTCGTAAAATGGTGCGTTTAAATCAAAACATGGTTTTGAATATTGTTGCAAACCCGCCGTTTGAAGGGCTTTCGGATGGTGTCACTATCATTCCGATCCGATCCTTCTGCGTCGAGTTAAACGGGGGGGGGTGCTTTTTTATTGGGACGTCCTGTAAGTGTTGCATCTTAGGGGGAAACAAGCATCTAGGTTGCTGGAAACTGGACCTGGCTCGATGAAACCCCGTTCGATTATGAGCTCTGGGCACCGGGTGAGCCAAACAATTGGCAATATCCCGGCAACGAGGACGAGGCACTGGTGCGGCATGAGGATTGTGTAACGGTAAATTAATAGATGCCTCTTACACTTCGCCTTTTCCTTGAAAAATTCGAATGAACTAAATGGTTCCAACTTTAGATATACTTCTCCCGGGAATTCGGATCCGGCAGCGTGGAAAGAGTGGGAAAATGGAATGATAATGTCTGCAACGAGCCCTCCCTCGTGTCCATTTGTAAAAAACCGGCAGAGAAATAAATCTGGGGATGTCGTTAATTTATTTTCCAGCATGAATTGATGTAAAAATTAATAGCATTCCGGGCAGCTTTGCAGTTTTCCGAGTTGGGTCCAAACGCTCGAGCAGCACACCAGTTCGTACAGGGCCCAGCCGACTAGAAACAATGGAATTTTCGCTCATACAGCTGCGAAACACTTACGCATGTAAAAAGCCACGTTCCATTTCGCCAGAAACAGAACGATCACATATAAAATCGCGTAAGCCAACACGAATACAGCTGTCATCCGCAGGAGTAACTTTTGTTTCGCCCAGATTCCGACGATTCCAAGGAGGGTAGCTGAAATCGAACAATAATTTTGTGCCACATGAATATTTAATCGGTGACTGACGTCAAAAACCTACTAATTACTGCAAATCCAGCTAATACGGCGGTAATGATCATTTGGATCCACGCCACGTCGACCTCGCCGCTAAAAATTAGAAATTGCTTTCGGTGCCTCGGAGAATTTACGATGGTAATCCGGAACCGTAGAGAATCGCCAAAATCAGGCCCAACGATGCGAGCGGCAAGACTGCATGGCCGAGGAGCTGCAGCGTAACAGCGAGCTAAACCAAATTTAAGGAAACGCCACAAACTCTTTACCTTTGACATATTTCTTGTCTGCTTCCAATTACCCGCGGAAAGAGGCTAAAAACAACTAATTTGCGCGTTAGAAACCAGTTATCTTACGCAAGTATGTCGCGTTTCATGATCGACAGCATATGCTTCTTCGTGTAATGCGGTGTAAGCTGATGATAATTTTTTTCTTAAATAAGTTATAAACATACGGTTCCCACTCATTGTTTTCGAATCGGTAACTGAAGTGCTTGGGATCGATATGTCGACCCTTGGGAGTGGCACCTCTTATCAGGAAAGCTCGTTTTTAAGCCTATGGTGGGGAGTTTTGTATCAGCAGAATTCTGGTCGTTAAAATTCGTTGGGAACATGTTTGGTAAAAAATTACCTTTGAATTTCGCACTGTGGAAGAAAGAGCTCATACGATCAAACTGGTTCTGATGATTTTCGGTTTCATGGAATCGTGAATAAATTTCAATGAAACGGATAAAGTCCGCAAGCTGAAAAATTATTCTTACAGCGATTCCATTTGGATTGTTTTATATAGCGGCATTAACGTGCTACAAGGTGCGGGCGGAGGATTGTTTCTCATCCAATCAATCGGTTGTCAAACCCTAAAAAATTAACATGAACACTATCTAAATCAAATTGAAGCGAATCTGTGCTCTTCAAACGAATTTCCGATAACTTAATACATCATTTGTACACGATGTCCGCCCGCTATTTGGTGCTTCTCGTGCTGGCCCTGATCGTCGCCCATCTCGAGGTCATCGAAGCGACCAAGTGCTACAAGTGCATGAGCCCCGGACCAAAAGATACATACGATCCGAAGGCGGATACGTATGGCAATCATACACATTCAAAAAGTTAACTGATTGCAGCTCCGAGTCACCGCATCCCCTTCACCCGGATTGTCTGCAAAGCAGCAAGGTTGACAAAAACGGTTGCAATGGATAGATAGTGACTTACTTACTCACTCCACCCGTATTCCTGATATTATTCATTTTCAGGACCTGCCCACTTGCGACGGTGCTCACTGCTAAGCGTCGTTGAGCGAAAACACGGAAGGCGGACCGTTAATGATTAGGACGTGCATGCCGAACCCACGAGAGTGCGGTCGTGATCAAGGTCCTGCAACCATTTCGCGCTGTCGTTATTTTCAAATCAAGCCGACTTGCTTGGTTTCAATGAGAACGGGCGCTAAACCCCTGCTGCGTGTGCCAAAAAAAGCCCCTGTAGCGGTAGGGAGGAAGCTCAGCTCGAGACGATTTTTACACAATTTTTCGAAGAGGCCTGAATACAAGCGCGTTTCATTTTCTAAGTTTTATTCCCTTTCTATCGATATTGAACCTTTCTCTAAACCAACGGGTAATTTTGCAACAGCGAGTTCGCAAGTAGCATGTAGATCTGACACATGTCAGCTGTTTTCGTGGCTTTGTGAGTTAAATTCACGGATAAAAGCACATAATAGAGCAATGAACACTCCTTGTTTACACGCCTTTTCTAGAGATTTCGATGGATACCTAAATCGTGACAATCCGGTATGATTGGGCGCCGTTAGAGGCTCGTACTTTTTTGGGACACGTATAGTTGACCACCCGCAAGCTAATGAGATGGCCCTTCTGGCTCAGCTATTTTCATACGACGCTTTTTTTCGCTAAAATCTACATAATGTATTTTACATTGATCAAATTTCATTGTTTGGCAATTCTCGTGAAATTTCTGAGACTGTTAAACCACGTGGCGATTTTGTTTAAAATAGGGCAGATCGACAAACATCAAAAATTTCAGTCGGGTCGCTGGTCTGCTCTTGCCCGGGTGATCTGTGCAACAACTGGGATCCGGTCACGCTGAAGGCAAATATTCCATCCAGCTCGTCCAACTCGCTCCTCCCCCTCATCATCATGATGGCCGTCGGCGTGAAAATGATCGCCCTTTTCTGAGCTCATCGCTTATATGCGATTTTATGTACTGGTTCTTGTAAATAAAGAGATGATTTTGCATATGCTTCCGGTCATTTGCATCGCGGACGCGCGGACGCCCCAGCCCGCACTGCGTCCGTCCGGCCCGTCCGGGTCCCGTCCGCATTTTTTATGCAAATTGCGCGGACGGGACGGGTCCGCGTCCCGGGCCGGACGGGCGCGGACCGGACCGCAAATGAACAACCCTGCCCCCGACATTAAGCAAACGTAGGGATTCGCAGCCGGAAGTCGATGCAAATCCATGCAAAGCCCAAAAAGATAGCCGAAAGAACTGTTAAGAACCGCGTCAAAAAAGAATTTTGGCGATAACTCGAAAATTACTATAGCGATCGGGCTTTAACACTGGATTGTCGTTATTTCTGGTCCGATACACCCTAGTGCAAAGTATGGGACCGATCGGATGTAAGGCGGCGAAATGCCGGAGGGGTGCTTTTTTGGGACACCCTGTATTTACTATTCTATGCCATTTGCTTTTATTTATCTGCTGCTCTTTTATCGAGACCTTGGCGTCTTAGCACACATCGTTCTCTCTCTCTCTCTCTCTCTCTCTCTCTCTCTCTCTTTCTCTCTCTCTCTAAAATTTCTGCACTTGTGTGTGGCCGGCCAAGTGTATGCGCCATGAACTAGTGGCTGTGAAAAGATAACGGCGGGCGAAGTACGGACTTGCGATTGCCCATAAAAATTTAGGTGCTTGAGAAAAGTTGAAGAAAAAGAAGAGAAGCATCATGTAGCCCTGGCCAATAGAACAAACCGTTTTATTCGAGCTCGAGCAAGGACAGCAAGGGTATGCCTAAATTTGTGGGCATGAAAAATGTAGGAAAAGTTGCAAAAAATCAATAGTAATTGTGATAATCGAGTGTATAAGCGAGTCAGCGAGTAGAGAATCGCAAGCAGAAAGGGGCAAATTGATGGGAATGACGTAAGGGGTGAAATTAAGGGCTTAGCACTCGACGGTCCAGCCGGGCACCTCCACGCGTCCGTACTGGATGTCGACGATGGCGTTAAAGAGGCGTTGCATGATTTTCGGCTTGGCAGTCATCGTCGGAATCGGGAGGCGGACGACGTTGCCATCTTTTGGGCGGTAGACGATCTCGCCGATCGGCGACATCACCACGGCGGTGCCGGTGAAGAAGAGCTGGAGCATCTAAAAAACGAGTAACGGATCACCGTAGTTGAGGCGCCTACCCGCTTTTCCTTGATCGCATCGACAATGTCGCTCATTGTGAAGGTGCGCTCAGAAACTTTGCAAACATCCCATTTCCGGGCAAGTTCGAGGAGGGAGCGGCGGGTCACACCCGGCAGGATCAAGCCGGAATCGAGGGAGGGGTGATGAGCTCGAGTTGACCCTAGGGCGACAATTATGACGCTTCGAGAAACCAGACAACCTCCTTGTCCTTCCACAACGCAAAGAGGTTCATCGCGCCAGCTTCAGTGACCTGTTCGTCGGGTCCGTAGAGCCAAATGACCTGCTGGCAGCCGTGCGTCCGGGATGCTTCCTGAAGTGATCTAGAATGCGACTTGGTGCGTCGCAACCAAGTGCTTCCGGCCAAACTCACAGCTGCAACAGCAATCGTCGGAGCGTAGTTACCGCCCAGCTTGAACGCGCCGACGCCGCCCTTTCCGGCCCTGCAGTAGCGGCCATCGGCCAGCAGGGAGACGGCCTTGGGCTTGCCACCGTAGTACGGGCCGACCGGGCTCCCGATGACGAACAGTTTGACCATCAGAAAAACCGGATGTTACACTGCCGCTCGCCCTTCAGAATACCGAAGATGCATGGAGGCCGAGGGAAGGATCGGTGCCGATAAGCGTGGGGCGGATGTAGTAGGCCGAGTTTTTCACGCTGGGCACCCAGTTTTTGTCGATGCGAACCTAGGAACACGCTAAGTTAAGGAAGACAAAGTGCCTCACCAGTTCCATAATGAGCTTTTGCAGCTCTTGCCCATCAAAGTCGGGGAAACACAGCCGCGCCGCCGACTTGCGCATCCGCTCCATGTTGAGCTCCGGACTAAAAAAAAAAGAATGCTTCTACCTAGGAATTCTACTACCGAAAAAGCCTGATCTTCCCGTCATCGCCGCGGTAGGCTTTCATACCTTCGAAGAGCTCGGGCGCGTAATGGAACACCTAAAACTCGCGGCAGCATTAGTGCCTTCACCGGACAACAACGTACCTTAGCCGCCGGATGAATCGAGAAGTCACCGAAGGGCCCAATCTTCGGCCGTCCCCAACCCTGCTGCGACGTCCAGTCGATGCTCAGGATGTGGTCGGAGAAACGGCTCCCAAACTCGATGGACCCGTAGTCGGTCGGCGGGGTGCGCAACTGGCTACCACTGGCCGGTTGGACCTACAAGCATCAAGTTTTCGTCTTAGCGTGCTTTTGTCTTCACCTCCAGATCACTGTGAAGGAAAGGGCGGCTCGTACCGCTGCTGTAGGCTCGAACAGCGCGAAGTCGTGGCAATATTTCGAGGATGTGCTGCGCCGGCTTCATGCCAACCTGAAAAGAAATGTGAATCCAACTAGGACGATTACGCATAGAAATCGGGCTTCGGGATAACAAGCTGATAGGTGCACAGCCAATATACAAAAAAAATCTATGGTTAGAAGCTATATTTCTTGAAATTTTTCATTTACATCCTAATTAGCCTGTCACTCCGATTTTGGATCCTCGCTACAAAAAAACTCGAAACGCTTTGGACTGCTCACCCACCTAATCGCGGCTATGAGACGAGTAGAATATTTGTATTAAAGGCTAGGTATGCACGAGTAGACATGCAAATTTCATATTAAAATAACCTCATGGATATTTTTCAAGGATGGATCGGATTGGATCGGCACCGTAATCACATTTCTTTTTGGGTAGCTGTCGTTCTTTTGCAGATATCTTTTCCTACAACTCTTCATGGTTGTTTTTTCAATAGTTTTCTTGGAATTTTTTCTTTGACTCCAAATTTCTACATGCAGTACACCAAGAACCAAGCCTTGCTTATCACAACCCGAGCCCTGCTCTCCCACTCCAGAACGTTGTAAGCCTGCGCCCGCCGGCTTATCTCATGGCAAAACTTCTGTTCTTCTAACAAGAGAAGCCGGTCCGAAACCCGATTTGCCACGGTTGGATTGATAGCGAAGGTTTTCTTCAGTACTGCAGTTTTAGGTGAGAAGGCAAGAAAAGCCTCCTCTGGCTGATAGCTTTGAAGAAAGAGGGAAAGCATCACTATGCATTGCGTTGATTTTTAGCTACCCTTGTTCAATGCCAAAATCTCAAATGACAAAACGGGTTAACAGGTAGGGACTTATTTTCATTTTCTCGACAATGTTTATTTTGTCGAAATTTCAATGCTTTTTTCGCAATTTCGTAAACTGAAGTTTCGAGAAAATGTAGTTTCGACCAAGTTATCGACAAGGTGACTTTCGACAAAATTTTTGTCGTGAAACTGATAGAAATACAAAAGTGGGATCGGCAGGTATTTATTCGCCCGCAAATTAATAGCAAGCCGGGCACAACAGCATTCGTTTTATATGGCGTTGCAGTAGCGTAAGCGTGATGCTCATCCAGATGATGCTGGCCGCTAAAAACTATTATTCTGCGGATACTATCCCCTTAACATGCAGGTCAAAAATTGCATCACTTACCTCCAATCCCTAGCCCGATCCAATCATGATGCCAAATCAATCCAATGAAGCTTGCCAAGTAGAGCACGATTAAGAGAATCTAGGCAAGAATGTATATTTTGAAAAAAGCAAACCAGTAAGACACGTGAAATCCTTAGATGCGCGTAGCTCCTCCTGCGCACACCGGAAAGGTTTAGGGGGATCACTGAAGAAATTGGATTGCTTGTATATTGAAACTTGATCACCGGTCACCCCAGCAATGTCATGTTTTCATTCTTTTTCCTCCCTTCTAGTTTTGATAACATAAGAGACTTGTAGGATGGAAAAAGGAACGTTAAAAACCTTCATCTAAAACCGACCAGCGAACGCCAGGAGGCAAATCAGGCCTCCCGCCAGGACCAGAACCGTCACGATCAGTTGGGCCGAGCCGTTGTAGTCTTGCGGGCTACAAATGGTCTTCACTTTACTACCTTTGATACCATACTCTACAGCGTTTCAGAAAAAACACTAGAACCACTCCAGAAACACTCAAAATCAAGGAACAACGTGCTGTGACGTACTACTTTCCCACATCGATCATCAGCAAAATAACCATCGCTAAATGGACGGCTGGCCCGGCGATGACGGGCAGGGATACTAATACGAGTGTTGCCTAAAAAGATATAGCAACAACATGCAACTCCCGCCAACCTTCGATCTTTCTCCCCATTCGGCCCATTTCTTCCTGGTCAGTGCCTAAAACACGAGTTCCGTTGACAATGCGCCGGCCCAGATATGTTTATGCGTATCTTTCGTCTGTATTGTGAGAGGGACGCGATAATTTTTCGGTGCCGTCGCCCGGTAATCCCGAGAATTAGCCGTGTCTGCCTTTATACGTCGGAATCAGCCGATTTCCATTGATTTGTTTCGTCTTTAAAAAACTAACACAGTGGTGTTTGCCTTTCGAATCAAGATAGGGCCGCCGGGCCGGGTTCCGTTGTTGTTGCCGCTCTGTGTCCGTTTCAGAAGCAGCTAAAAAATTCATATTGCCGGGACAGGGTAGTGAGAAGATTTGCGAGTCTGAGTTTCAGACGGCTCAATGGCTATTAACATAATCGATACGCCGCGATGAGTTACTTAAACGGGCAAGGAAGTGCCAGGTCAAAGCCTCTTTGGCGGGGCAACTTGATCTGGCAAATTGCTAGCGGCCGCCCCGGGACGAGTGTTCTCCCTTTTTCGAGTTTTGCGCGAAACGGTTTATGCTCGATTCCTTTGCGAAAACACTAGAATTCGTCAATTTTGAGCTCATTTCTGAAATCCTCGCGAAATTTTGAATAGTTTTGGTGTTTCAATCATGGGATTTGGCCCTGAAACTGCCGAAAACGATATTTGGGGGTTGACGACGGGGAATTTCAAATCCATGCGCTTCCCGCCCACTGGGTTGCGCAAAGGCCTTCGGCGTACAGGACTCCGGTTTGCAAGCCGTAACCGAATTTTTGGCCGTTCGGGGCCCCTTTAAGAAAGACCAACCTAAAGCAGCCGCCATGCAAAAATACAAGCACATATTGGACGCGTCGGGTCGAGGGGAAGGAGACGATTTTAAAAAGTGCCAGCCCGCCACGCGAAATTTTCCTGCGGCTCGGTGGCAATAATCGCAAGCGATAACGGGGCGCGTGAATCAGACGGGAGTGATTTCAGGGTTATTTTGCCTAGTTGCGCTTGCTGCGCGTGGTTCGGGGAACAGCCAAGGAGTGATAGAAGCAATGCCGAAAACGGTAACGCCTTAGCGCTACAGTTCCAATGTGTATCAATTCGTTACTGTTGCTGGAGGTAGGCGCCAAAAGCGCTCTTCGTTTTTTTAAACAGCTTGCCGTCGCGTCAGCCACACTCTGTACGTAAGTCGCACGCAATGTACTGATCGTGGCCAGACAATTTATTCCAAAAATCAAAAATTCATTTCTTTTTGTTCTTGTAGGCTAAGACCATTAACGAGCCCGTCTGAGCAATGCCATCTTGCGGGTTCGACGAAGATTGGCAAAGTGCACAACAGTAGGATGATCTAAATTCAGAACGCTATCACCATCTACAGCTGTCCAAAAAATTATGAACTAATCGACAGATTGACCGTGGCATTACTTGGGATACCGAGCCTGGTACGTACTAACGCGGCTAACCTGAGGCCAAGATTTTGACTTCGTATAAAGCACTGTATCATACGATAGAGCCGAGTGAAACTGGGGTACGCCGTCTGTCTGTCTGTGTTCTATATCAGCACATTAGCTGAGCTCATAAAACAACCAAAATCTCAAAATTTCGAATTTTAGAAAAATTTTTCTAAAATTTTATTTCAGAAAGAAATTCAATCGACAATTTCCGAATGTTCAGAAACTCAAATTTTCAGAAGCTCGAAATGGCATAGGCTGGATGCTTTCTGGCAGCTCTTAAAGAGATGAATGAGGACGTCATCTGTTGAACCCCCCCTTGGGGAGGGGAGGTTCAACAGATGCAGCGGCGAGAGAGGGCGCCCATGGGAGAGACGCAGAAACATTTTCTTCTGTTCGAAAATCTCCTGTTCGAAAATCACCTATTCGAAAAACATCTGTTCGAAAACCACCTGTTCGAAAATCATGTATTCGAAAAATCACCTGTTCGAAAAGACACCTGTTCGAAAAATCATCTGTTCGAAAAATTTGCATGTGGAATTGCCTAGAAATGGTACCAAAAATGACCATTTTCGAACACATGGTTTTCGAACAGGCTGCTTTTTCGAACAGGTGTCTTTTCGAACAGATGACTTTTCGAACAGAGTTTTTCGAATAGATGATTTTTCGAACAGATGATTTTCGAACAGGTGATAGGGAATCCGCAGAAACATTTTCTTTCCCGCGCGTAATCGATTGACTTATGCCGCCCCTATCCCTTTAATGTTGTGCAATATTATGGAAATTTCGAGATTCTCAAAATCCCAGTTTCAGAAAATTCAAGGTTCTGGAAAATCGAGGTTAAGAAAATTCATGATTCTGAAAATTGGATATCTTGGAAATTTAAGTTTCTGTAAGGCAAACACCGTTTTACCTATTTTCCATATTTCTTCGGTTCGCCGAACAAATATTGGCGCAGCTTCAGCCGATGCTGTTATCTCTATGAGGCGCAACAGGGCAGGGCGGCTGCCGCGTTCTCGGTTAGTTTAACAACATCCGTGAATTTATGTCTGCCATAATGGCTCGAAACGGGCGTGTGATAAGGGCGGCTGGTTTTCTAGGTTGTTGCTTGGGAAACCATGTAAAAAAAATTTTTTATTGGGAAAACAATGTGTACAGACAGTGCCTGGTGCCTTTCGTTGAGGAGTTACTTGCCGTGACCGGGGCGTCCCACTGAAAAAATCGAATAATAAAAGGGGACAATAAAATCCGGCAGATATCAGGGGCCTTGGACTTACATGGGCACAATCCTTGCAGGACACAGTTTCCATTGCGAGCTCTGTAGAGGCCCTCGTTGCAGACGCAGACGCCCTGACGCTGGATCGAGTGGGCGCAGATGATCTGCTGTTGCTTGGGGCAGTTCTAAAAAGGAAAGTTAGTATCGGCAATTCCGTGGTACTTTTTCGTTAGGTCGCATTGCTTAGAGCTAGCATTCGGATTTAACTTCAAGGGGATTTAATAAAAAACAATAGTTATCCAGACCGCTAAATCCATTACCTGGGGAGGCAAGTCACAGTTCTGCTCGCAATTCCCCGGTCCACAAGTGTTACAGAACTCTCCACCGCCACAATCGGCGTTGGAGTTGCAGAGTCTTTGGCCGGGCGCTGGAGTTACGGTGATTTGCTTCTTAGTCGCAGTATGATCTAGAAGTAAAAAAAATACTTATTTACAACTTCAATTTTACGCTTTCGGTGCCTGGTAGTCCTCAGCGATGGAGACGTTTCTAAAATCACATTTACGGAAGTACGGTACAATACTTACGAGCAGCCGCTAGAGCCAAAATCGCAACAAGGAGGGCAAGGAATTTCTTAAGCTGATATATAAAATTTTTAAGGATTATAACGAACCATTGAATTCATGTTGATCAGCTTACGAATTGAGCTTATTCTGACTCGGGAGCCCTCCATTTTATAGCCACCAAATTCCCAATATGCCCCCGAAAAAGTGCAATAAAAACATGGGATGTTTATTTTGGTCGCCCAGAGCACAAAGCCCCTGCGTCAGGCTGGATGCTAATTTTGAAAGTTACCAGTTCAAGGGCGAAAGTTGTGAAAATATTTTTAGAGCGTAGGCCGTCAATATTTATCGCTAAATTGAGTATTAATCAAACCCAGTGAAGAATGTACGATATTGAATAAAAGATGATAAAATACTAGCGCTAAAAATTTAAGGTAATCGGGTCGTGAAATAAAAATCATAGCCGCTGTTTTTTTGCAAGCAATATCCTATTAACATAACAAATTGTTGCCAGAAAAACACATTGTTCTAGCTATTTTGTCACTTTGTTTTTTGAATTTTCCATTTTTACTTTCTTGCTCGCTCTTCTCAGAGCCTCGGCATCCCCAAAATTATCTAATGCCTGTTTTTCCAGTTGAAATCCTAATAGAAATTGCCTCCGGGGTACCAACAACAATTCTTCACAACGCCAAGCAGCACATTCTGGGATTTTTCCACGAACTTTGTAGAAAATTACAGCCCGCGCATGTGGTTTGGGGGCGGGGGTGTGGAGAAGCACCGAAAGCAAGAATCGCTCTATTTTGAAGCTCCAAAAAATTTCTGCATAAAAGCGCGCCTTTAAAAGATCAGTGAAGTTGTTGTCAGATTTAGAATTTTCCACGTGCCGACAGAGCGCACTTTTGGCGCACTGGGAATTACGTGGATTCCGGGGGCCAGACAATCCCTTGTAAGGCAGGAAATATATAAATTAAAACTAGTATTTTGTGCTTTTACCCAACAGCTCCACAGTAGGGATATCAGAATTTCCAGGGAATTCCACGATAATACGGGCGCTCCTATGGACGCCTCCTCGGACGCACGATTCAACCACGGGTATACGGTAGCTGCAGCTCGAGATGTGCTATTAAAAATTCCGCTCTACATTTCGAGCCTGTTATTGATGCTTTTACAGAAACGGCATCCGGAATTGTATGTTGCCTATGGGGTACCGTGGTTTTTGATTCCCCGAAAATTCTAATTTTCCAGTCTACCGTATTCCGGACCGTCTATGCATTCGCTATGCTGTTAACTCCAAAATTTCTGGCCGATGCGTGTATTTGTGTTGCTTGCTGGCTTGAGCTTGAGGTTGAAAATCCCTTGCTCTCGAGCTTCCAAACCATTTTAGACAACCCCTTTCCATTGTGCGCTTCTGAAATCGGTGCCTAGCTATTTTTTGTGGAGCTTTGAGTCATATTTGCTAGTAAGCTATGAAAATATCTCTGATTGTTTTTAAACGTATAGGCAGCCTCCATCACACGATACCTGAGCATCATCTGGAACATCAATTCTTTCGATGTCGGGCAGCTGATGATTTTTCTGGTGCTGGATTGGAAATTGGTATGGCTTACCCCAACCCCGCTCTAGCTCTCTCATTCTCTCTCTCTCTCTCTCTCTCTCTCTCTCTCTCTCTCTCTCTCTCTCTCTCCCTGTCCCTCTCACTCTCTCTCGCTCTCTCACTCACTCTCTCTCTCTCTCTCTCTCTCCCTCTCTCTCTCCAGCAGCCTTTTTAGATCCTACACCCGATCACATTCCTATTTTGGGGAACGGAAACCTACAACGATTGCTGCAGAGTGAGCCTGACCACGAGTTTTCTGGGAAATGATACGGTAAGTTTAATCGTGCCGCGAAAAAAAAATAGATTTTCTAGTTTATCATGATCCAAATTATTGTCTACGACCTACTCAGTTTTTCACTAAATCTGTGGATTCTAAAGTTTTTGAGGAGCCACCGACGGGATAGCAATGGTTGGTTATGCCTTCTATACCATTTTTTTGGAAGTTGCTGTACTTTTTCGGGTTTTACCGGCGTATGATTATTCGAAAGCTTCGGGAAAATGGTACTTTACAGGTCACATTAAAACTCGTCTTCACCTCTCCGACGAGCGAAACATAACAATTTCGCTTCGGCTCCAAGGCCTTCTACCTTTACTGGCCTTCGGTTTTCACATCGCCCACGCCAACTTGGCACTGGCAAGTAAGTAAAGTTAGCTTGAGACCATGTAAGCCTGCTTTGCTCCAGGAGACCTTGAAAGCTTTCAGACTTCCCACTCCCAAATTACGTTACCAACTCAATGCTCTTGATCTCGGCTGTTGGGTATCTTTTGCGAGTCACAATCCCATACGCTATGATTCCGGCTTTTCAGGTAAGCGGGGGCAGATTGACGCCTCTAAAACAGTTTCATTTCTTTACAGAATGCACTACACGAACTGATCCAGCCAACCTCTCCAAAATCGGTCATCACCGTCCCGTACGCCATAAACCAAATATACCATCGCCACTCGATGCCGACAAAAATTTCTCTGGTCAATGCCATGTGACCGTCACTGACGCATTAATAGGCCGAACCTGGCTTCTGTTCTTCTTTTCCTCAGTATTAAAAACAATTTCGTGTATGCCTATTTTGTAAGATTTCGTCATTTTTCTCCGTGTATAAAGTGTCTATAACGTATTTTTTGCGACACGTGAGATACTTTATTAGGAGGTCCCGGTATGGATTATTAGGTTTGTGGAAATCGGAGGGTTTTACATTTCCCGAATTCCCGCGTGGTGGCAGTACATGATGACGTTCCAATTATACAGACAGGTGACGTCTTCCTTTGTGATTTTTTCGATAGCGGTTCCCGAGGGGTCGCACATTCTTAGGCAGCGCGAACCGATCTGGAATTTAAAATACTGATATGGCAAGCCGTTAGTTGCGATTCGGAAAAAAGGAGAGAGAGAGAGAGAGAAAGAGAGACAGAGAGAGAGAGAGAGAGAGAGAGAGAGAGAGAGAGAGAGAGAAAGAGAGAGCGAGAGAGAGGGTGAAAAAAAATAGATCAGTAGAGAGAGATACAGCGAGATACAAAGTCATACAACCATCAAATTCAAACCTGAAGCTGCGGCGCATTCAAATCCAAGTCCTCACAGCACTTCCGGTTGTCCCGATTCTGCGAGGCGCAGTACAGGATCGACGACAGATACTTGATCGAGCACCTCTTGTGCTTCACCATGTCGATCAACTGCAAAAAAGTGGATACAATACTGAGGTTCAAACATGTTTCGCCCTGAACTTACAAGGAGACGTTTTTAGGTGGGCACGGAGTTTCGTAACGAGACCTAGCTCATTCGAAAGAGCTTGAAAAACTGAGCAAGTACCCGTTTTCCATTTCTGCGAAACGATAGCGATTGATTTTTAATAATTAAATTAAAGAATTAGCATAAATTGGTGTGATTCCCCTCGCGCGGAGCGATTTCCTTCATAGATCCCCTCTGTCGGAAAGCCAGGCCCCGTCTTCCCTTCCCCATAGCGATTTGGCGCAGTCGGTACGGCGTTTGCCTCTCACGAAATTTTTTTGGACTGTTGTCAGTTCGACCCCTGAGCTTAGAATTCGTTTTGCTTTTTAATTCCTGAACACTTTCTAAACGTAGAATCTAGTCCAAAATTATTTTTTTTTTGTGGTATGCCCCAAACCGGTAGCGTTGCACTCGCGTCTCCGCGATTGAAATCAACTGGCCCGCTTGGGCCTACACCGATGCTGTTCAGAACATATATGTAACGCATTGCGATAATTAAATTACAATAAATAATAAATTCAGCCTCCTAAAATAAAAAGCAAAACGAATTCTGGGCTCAGGGGTCGAACTGCCAAAAGGTCCAAAAAAATTTCGTGAGAGGCGAACGCCGTACCGATTGCGCCAAATCGCTATGGGGAGGGGGAGACGGGGCCTGGCTTTCCGACAGAGGGGATATCTTGAAGGAAATCGCTCCGCGCGAGGGGAATCATGCCAATTCTCCTAATTCTTTAATTTAATTATTAAAAATCAATCGCTATCGTTTCGCAGAAATGTAAAACGGGACCTTGCTCAGTTTTTCAAGCTCTTCCGAATGAGCTAGGTCTCGTTACGAAACTCCGTGCCCACCTAAAAACGTCTCCTTGTTAGAACTGATCAAAAATCTCGAAATTCAAAGACTCGGGCTCACGTTTGAAGGGTGGTAAACTTACCATTTTCCTCGTCTTCATCTGATCCGTCTCGTACTCGCACATAAAATGACACTCATCAGGAACGTACAGCTCGCAGCAAGACCGGAAGAGCTTGTTGGCAATCTTCTTTGTCGTGCATGGCTGGTAGTTCTTCTCGGCTGTACCGCACTTTGCCTAAATTTTATAGTTGAGGGGTGATGAAAATGTTGATGAAAGATGATGCTAGGCACTTACGGTATCATCATGCGTTGGTGATCTTCTAATGTCACTGCCCTTCTTCAAGATTTTGCGGCCTGGAGGAGAAAGATGGCATCAGAAAGCTATTAAAAAACTGACCAAAAGCTGCCCGTCGATCTGGGCAATAGCGCTGGATGTATTTGAAACAATTTTTCGGTGCGCACTCTGGAGCCCACTAAATTTATAGTTTGTAGTGGTGAGTAAGCCAATACTTTTGACGTTCGCTGCTTTAATTAGTTAATTATTTTTTTAGGATCGTAGAGTATCTGTTGAGGTATATTTTAGAATATTATAATTCATATAATGCGGTGGCTCGGTGTATGGTCTTGTACGGGATGTTTCACCTTTTAAAAATGACTACTGATATCCAGGGTTGGTCTTTTTTGACCCGGACCCGGACCCGGTCCGGACCCGGGGGGTCCGGGTCCGGGTCCGACCCGATCAAATTTGCATGGGTCCGGGTCCGGGTCCGGGTCCGGGTCCGGGTCCGGGTCCGGTCCGGTCCGGGTCCGGGTGGGTCCGGGTCATTTGCATGCCGATTTCTGGATAAATTCCACGATATTGCACGACATTTCTCACGTCTGCTAACTTCGGATGGGGGCTCCATCCGATGTGATTTGATGTTCTGGTCTCGACTCCTATATACCTGAATCATACCGGATAAACCATTATAATTAATGCCGTTGTCTTTTTCCGAGGAAAATTAGAATCCTAAATCTCTATCTCAAATAAATGCAAATACGCAACTTCCGGACCCGGACCCGGACCTGGACCCGGACCCGGACCCGGACCCGGACCCGGACCCATGCAAATTTCTGCGGGTCCGGGTGGGTCCAGGTCCGGGTCCGGGTCCGGGTCCGACCCGGGTCAAAAATGACCAACCCTGCTGATATCGTGAGGTGGGAGCGTTAGTTAATACGAACGAATTAAATAAAAAATGGGTAAAGCAAGGAAGTATATTAACGTTAACCCACCCTCGTCGTACAGCAAGACGCTCCATGTATCCGCCGACAAGCAATGTCCACCTCGGCTGCTAGGCAAATTAACAGTGCGACTCCAATAAGGAGTCTCAATTCCGACTGCATCTCTCAAATACGCTGACCACTCGAAGAGCGACAACCTGAAATTGTACATCCTTCTTCCTATTCCCAAAACGTGCTAATCCCCGAGCCCTACAACCGCATAAAATGAAACGAAGCCATTCGTGCGAATTAATGGGCCATAAAATAAGCACGAGGTGGAAGAAGAAGCATTGGATAGAGGCGACGAGACTTGCGCGAACTGCCCAATCCAGCCGCCCAGGTCGAGAGCGCCCAAAAAACGGCCGGCTCCGCCGGATCCGAGAAGCCTAATCGGCCGTCGGATCGCCGACGGCCGCCGCGCCGGCTTCGACGACCGGATTTCAACAGTTTCTTATGTTTTTCACCACTTTGGCGAGAGGTGGCGATACCCGGGGGGTAAGGGCGCGAAATGCGTTGTCGGGAAACGAAAAAATAGCCGCGGATTTGGCGGGGATCGGCTTGGGATTGAGGAAAGTGCCTATGAATGGATTAATGCTATCTAAATTCAATTAAACGAATAAAAAACAGCTAACAATTTCAAAACGAAATGGTATACCAAAAATCACATCAAAAGCTATTCCGTTAATGAATTTTCATAAAACGTCGTGGAATGATAGTAACAATACATAAATACCGTAAATTTTAATAATCGACTTTAACCTTTTTGTTACTATGTAAATTTCTTGAAATCTGGAACCACCTTTAAAAACCTATATGCAGTCAGCTTTATCTAATAAAAAACTAGGATAACGTTTAATGCTGTGGTTTAATGCGATAAACAGTAACTTCAACCAAATCAATGAGCAATAGAAAATCACAAAGAAAAAAAAAGATCAAAAGAAATAAGTGGTCATAAAGACGTCCAGTACATTACTAGCTTACTATTGATCAATCCATGCAAAATTAAATTCGAAACCTTTGTGTTTGTGCCTGAAGACATACAAACAAGGGCCTTGACACCACAGGATTCGGTCAATAATAGAAACGAGTGAAGGAGGCCTAAAATAGAAACGGGACCGGAATTCCCGGCAGGCCGAGATACAGGATGAGGCCAAGTATGGCTGCGAACATAAGGCGTCAAGAACGACAAGTACAGGTGCCCGCTTTTTGCATAGCAACGTGCGAAAAAAGCAAGCATGGGCTATGGATTTATTGCGGGGAGTGTCACGACCACAAGCTCGATTGATTCGCCCTCTTCACCCGAGAGCACAGCCCGAGAATGTCACTTTGGGAGCAAGGGGAGAACCTGTTCCCGCTTGACCACCATATAGCCTGAGGACTTGCAAGCGGTTAGCCATCCCCAAATAAGGGAAAAGCGGCGCTTGCCCGCTTCTCAGATCCCAGGCGGTTTTCGCCCTAAATTTCTCCACTCGCCTGTTTTCCCCAAATTAGGCGACCGCCTCTAGGTGTGATGGCAAATATCCCGCCTCGGAAAATTTACGAGACCAGTCGCTGGGCCGGAAAAAATCTCCTCGAAAAATCTGAAATCAAGAACCCGCCCCCGGGTCGTGCGGACCGCACCCTGCTGGGCCGAAAAAAGACAAGATCGACAGAAAGCGACCCATTTGGCTTTCACCGGATCTCATTTCTCCCACCTAGGGGCAGTCCTCCATTGCGCCCTGCCCTGCTGATCATGTTTTCCGGGACAGAACGGAACGAATGACGATCAGCTTATAGGGCGGGCCGGAAGATCATGGGATCCCTTGAGCCAACGGGACCGGCAAGGCTTGGTTATGGATTTTGCAGTCTATGAATTTGTATGGATTTGCTTTGACCAAGCTACATTTCATAACCGTTTACATGGCGTAATGAATTACATTGTATTACACACCGCGGCTATAACAACTTCCATAGCGCACCATGTCAGATTCCACACCATTGCCTTCTCCGTCCCTTTAAACCGTTAGAAAAGTAATAAATAGAGAAATTTACGAATACTGATGATCTTAACAAAACTGATCTTCTGGCCTGATTTGGCTGTTTTTCCGGGTCGAACGCTCTAGGCTACGCTAGGCTACGTTACGCTACGTTACGCTACTCTAGACCACGTCACGCCATGCTACGATACGATGCGATACGCTTCACACCTTCAGACGTATGTAAGTGGTGATGATGCTCGTTACCTCTGTCTTGGAGATTCCAGCAATACATTTTCATAAAAGTGGATATTTATACTCGCAAAACTCTGGTATCACGACATCACAAAATACATAACAAGGTAAATAAAACACAGCACCAACAAACAGTAATCTCTCCGGCGTGGAAGTTCTCCGAGTGTCTCTACTCAATTTAGGGCATCGTTGATTTGGTCAGCAATCGCTTGGCTGTCGCCCAAATTCAACCAGGAAATGGTTTTTCCAGGCGAAGCCAAGGGTGAAAGTTGTGCCACATCGACCTAGAAATTATAGCTTCAAATGACCCATTAAAAATTCATACCTGAACTCCCACTAATGTCACGGAGCCTAAACTCTGTAAGATCTTTGCATAAAATCCAGTCGATTGGGGGTCGGTAATGTTCCTAAAACGATACATTACGACCGAATTTTGTAGCCTACGTAGTCGAAGTGAACACTACAGCTTTCTGGTTATGGTAAGGTGCCGTTGGACTGAACTTGAGGGCCGTGTTTTGGAAGGCGCTGTAAGAAAACTGATATTTTAGGAATAGTACTGCGATACCTCGTCAAATTCGTCATATCCCCATGCGGCTGCAACTCCGAAACGAGCGTCAACAGCTGATCTTGGTTCCGAAGCTTCCCGTAGTCGGCGTGAACTTGGTAATCAGCATCACCCGTCGAATAGCCGACAACTCCAACACGTTCATAGTGATTCCACGAGTTGGTGAGCTTCATGAAGAGGGTGAAAAAGAAGGTTGGGAACTGAAATACAGGATTTTTCGATAGGAAAGCTATACTATACCGGTTTGTCGGATAATGACTCATCAAGCACTAATAGTATATCGCCAGCTGACGGGTAGCAGTCGGGGCATACTGGAACCGTTGCTAAAATTGCAGGGAAGGTGTGCTAAATTTTTCAAAAATTGTACTTGTCGTGCTCGGAGGCATAGTTTGAACTGTCGTGGAGGCACCGGTACTTGCCGAACTTGACGCAGTGGTAGGTTCTTAATGATATTTTCTTAATTAAAATATTGTGGGTTTACTAGCTAGTTTTTTTAAGATTCGATCTTGGTTAAAACAGTTAAAAACAACCATTTCGCCTTAATAAATTTCTTTGCTGTTTTTTTGCCTACCCGTTGTCATTCCAGCAGGAGTACTAGGGCCTTGATAACCTACAAAAATAGCTTACGATGACGTAATGCTAATTGCATACCTATCGTCTTCTCCACCGCATCCACAATATCATCTACCGTTTCGCCCGTCCACTGAATGTACATGTCGGGGGATGCGAGGTACTGTAAAAAATAGAAAGCTGAAGCTTAAGCTACTCAACCGACCTCGTACAGCTCGCTGGCGGGGTAGTATGCCACCACGGTCAATGGGCCGAGCTTCTTCACCTCCTTGGCAGCTTGGATCGCATCAGCAATGTCACCGTTGTTGCTAAATAAGTTTAATTCCGTGATTTACGATAAAAACTACTTCGTCTCCGTAAAGAGAATGACATGCTGCTGGCCATAGCTTGGATCTGGTTGGAAGGTGGTTAGGGCTTGGGAGAGTGCTCTAAATCAATTAAGATTTTCGGGTATGGCGCTAAATTCGTATGGCATTATGTAAGATATGTTTGTATAAAAATACTTAATTACGCTTACAGGGTTAAGTTCGGACTCGTTCCCGACATCCTTGCGATCCACCCGATTTTGTTGTCAAAATCATCCAGCGATTGGAGGTCACCATATTGCGTAGTGGAGAATGTAACGTTATTATAGCCGGCCAACGCCACTCTCTCAAAGTGATTCCACCTCGATCCAACGCCTTCGACGGCTTCCATTTGCTTGATGAACTGAATCAGACGTTTCTTTAACTAGATATTAAAACACTACCGCCGAATTTTGGGCTGAGGTGTCGAAGAGTAGGAGCAGATTTCCGGGTGGGTTACAATCAGGGCAACGGTTCGTGAATGTGGTTGTTGCTAAGCGTCAGAATATATTGGTTTTTAACGTATCCCCGATACCTGTGTTACCAGTAGCTGTTGCAGTAGAGGGACGAGTTGCTAAGTTGTGTAAATTAAACAAATAAGTTTGAAGACTCACCTTTTGAGGTCGTTGGAACGGCGGTGGTGGTTGGCAAGTGGCCTTCTATAAAAATCGTTTTAAAAACTTATGCCCTGAACCACGCTTAGTACTTTAAAGTTGGATTGGAAATATTATTCAAGCGTGGCTTGGGTTAAAAAGCACGAAGAGCGTGCGTTAAATCGGGTTAGGTACGTACGCAACACATCGTCCAGGTCCGCAGCCAACCCCTCGATATCATTCAAGTCTGTCTCAGCCACAATTTCATCCGCAATTTCGGCAAAAACGTCCGCTTGCGATATACCCATCCCCAACGCAACAACGATTAGCCGTCCGTAGAGCGCTTCGGCGTATGGTTTCGCGCTAGCGACATCGGCCCGGTTGCTACAATTAAATTTGTAAACCGACTCCATTTTTCTAGCTTACTTGGAAGTTGTGAAAAGTAAGGTTTGTTGCTCCCCAAATCTCGGCACCGGCTCAATCTTTTCGGCTGCATATTTGAGGGCTCTAAACTTCAAAATTCCATATTTCAATAAGAACTGACGCCGTCATATTTTCCACCTTCACGCCCGGAATCAGGTTCCTGATGTATTCGTTGTAGTCGGCATAATCCTTTAGCGAGCCGTAATTCGCAACCGGGTATGCAATACTGGCATACGAGATGATAGCCACTCGCTCAAAGTGGTTCCAATTGGCAGCGACGAGCGTGAGACCGGCTTGCGTTAGTTTAAACTACAAAATGTATGCTATAATCCGCCTAAGCACACGTACGGCGTCTTGACTCGCGCCCTCATCGATGATGATCAGGATGCTCGAGCTGGTCGGATTGCAGTCGGAGCAGATGTATTCTAAACAATTATTAAGCAATATGATTTAGCGCGAATTTTAAGCGTGGAGGCTTGCGCCACGTCTCTATGTTGAAAGCTGTTAATGAAGTAAAAAACGAGGTAAGTCCTTAAAAAACTTACTTGTCGTTGTAGGCCCAGTATATTCTGTCGTGGTCGGCTCGCTACCTCCTGAAAGAATTAATGACCATTTTTGAACTTCCTTACTCAAAGCATGATCGATCCTTTCCATTACATAGCTGAAATCGTCAAGATACGTCCATGGAATAGCGTAGTTGACATAAACATAAAACGGCCTCAGCTCCTCTTCCACCAGATCAATACCGACGACGATGACTTCGCCGAGACGATGCAAACTTTCGCCGTAGGGTTGGGATGCTTTCACGTCAGCTGCGTCGCTAAAAATTATTTAAAGAATTGGTTATGTCATCGATATCTTTGAAGAAAAGTCTTACTTCGAGGCCGAGAAGAACAACACCTTCATCTCCCCAAACTTTGGATCGAAAATAGGAGTGCTATTGGCCGCTTTCAGTGCGCTAAAAGACCATAATAAATGGTTCTAAAAATTTTCCATGCTTTGTGATGTTTTCGTGTTCTCCATAGGGTGGTGTGAGGTCGAGGAGATGTGTAAAGTCGTCATAGCTATGCAGATCCCCGAAATCGGCTGCGAGGTTGGCTGAGGGTCCATAGTCCATAAGTGCGATGCGCTCCCAGTGAGTCCAATCGGACGTTAGCTCCTTCAGCATCGCCATTTGCTGCGCAAATCCGGGATTTGCTAGCGAGCGATCGACGATGACAAGTATGCTTGAAGATTCTGGGTTGCAGTCATCACAGCGGAATGCTCAAATTATTCAGATTCTTGTAAGTTTTAGGGACTTACGCGTGGTAGGGCCTGACGTTGACCCGGTCGTCGCTGGTGATTGCGTAGGGAGAGTCCCACCTAAATAGATTCTTTTGTCAGTTGATGGAATGCTTTTTCTATAAGATATGGTAAATCCTGACGCAACACACGCGCGACGCACCATGTCATTTGGTTTCTGCTTCCGAAGACAGCTAGAATACTCGAGGCGCTGGAAGCTAGCTCACGCACCATTCAAGGCAACCCGTAGTCTGAGCATCCGCTACCACCACGCAACGCAACACGCAACACACAAAAGGATACGTAACATAACTTCACTTTTACTTACCCAAAAGCGCGTCAACCCAGCGCCCGACCGCCATCACATCGTCCAAATTCTCCCAAGCGTAGACGTAGTTCCCTAGCAGCTGTAGCTTTTCCGCATCTTCCAACCCTAGCCCCAATCCGACGACCGCGACTTCACCAAGCGCTTGTAGTTGCTGCGCTGGCCCAACCGCCGAATCGATATCAGCTTGATTTACGGACCCAGTGAAGAATACAACTTTTTGCTTCCCGTACTTTGAAATTGGGTGGTAGAGTTGTTGCGTCTTTTCTAGGGCACGAGTCATGTTCTCAGGGTCTTGACTTGGTGCCATGTAGGAAAGCGCTTCGAGGAAGTCCTCGTAAAGCGTCATCTGTCCATATTCTGCTAGAATCGAGAGGTCGGATGAGTATTCAGCCAAGGCCACTCGCTCCAGGTAGTTCCAGTTCACGGCCAAGTATTTTGCAAGCTCGACTTGGCTTCTAACTTTCCTTGCTATATAGGAAACATCAAAGACGAAGAGGATGTTAGCTTGGGCGGGGTTGCAATCGTCGCAGTGGTAGGCTGTAGTTGCCGGACTTGTCGTTGTAGTGGCCCCAGGTGCCGGGTCCGTCAATGTCTTGATAACGAAAGCCTTGACCAGCTCGGCTTTATCGCCATCAGTCCAAGAATAGGCAAAACCGGGGGTTGCCAATGGCTGTACGACCTCAACCGGAGTTCCCAACGCGATAATCGTCAGTGTACCCTGAGCCTTTATTTTTTCGGCGGAAGGTAAAGCCGCAGTGACATCTGCTTGAGTGGGTTTGGTGAAGATGACCACTCGAGTGGGCCCGAACTTGGATACAGGATTGAAGAGTTTCGGATCAAACAGCGATTCCAATGCCACAGTCAGGTTCGCCTCTTCGCCACCGTAGTCCAAGTTGTCAATCCATTGGTCGAAACGGAGGCAATCGTCCCTATCGAAGTCGACATGACCGTAGATTTTCGAGTCGTAGGCTCCCATCGCAATCCGCTCACAGTGGTTGAACTCCTCGGGGAACTTCATCAAGAGTTCTTCAATGTAGCCAAACTTAAAATCGGGTTTAATTACGCACTTCTCTTTCACTCTCTCTCTATCTCTCGATGTCTCGTTGTCTAGCTCAATCTCGCTCCCTTAGACTTACAAATTCAGTTTTTTTCGATCCGTCCATCAAGAACAAAATATTTTCAGGTTGCGGATAACAGTCGTCGCAAACAAAACCGGGCGCTAAAATTTTACCTCATTAACTTGCTAATGCCAAGGTCAGGCTCAGCTTCGACAAGTCCTTGAAATCACAAACAACCTACTCGTCGGCTTCTGCGAGGTAGCTGCGGAACTTGTCGTCACTCCAGGATTCGGGTTATTTAGCGTGTCGATGATGAACGCCTTCACCTCGCCGGATTTTGTATGATCGCTCCACGAGTAGGCAAATCCGGGAGTAGCCAACGGTTGGATCAGCTGGAGAGGTGTCCCCAACCCGATGATCGTCAGGGTGCCTTGAGCCTTGATTTTCTCAGCAGACGGTAGGGCCAGGGTTACGTCGTCTTCGGCGGCGTTTGTAAAGACAACCACTCGGATTTGTCCAAATTTGGCGAGAGGGTTGAAGTATTTACGGTCGAATACAGACTGCAGGGCGGCCGTGAGGTTGCCCTCGTCTCCGCCGTAGTTCAGGCTGTCTAGCCATCCGAGGAAAGCGAGGCAATCCTCTCCGTTGAAATCAACGTGGCCGTAGATCGTGAAGGCAAATGCGCCCATCGCCATTCGCTCGCAGTGGTTGAACTCCTCGGCCAGGGCCATCAAGATACCTTTAGTGTAGCCGAACTAAAAATGGATGTTCGCGGCTTCTCGCTCTCTCTCTCACTCTCTCTCTCTCTCTCTCTCTCTCTCTCTCGCTCTCTTCCTCTCGCAACCTTGTACCTTACCAGTTGATTTTTATAAGATCCATCCATCAGAATCAGAATGTTTTCAGCCTGGGGGTAACAGTCATCGCACATAAAGCCGGGTGCTAAAAACAAATTATTAAACCGTCTATTACCTTTTCCAATTCTGTAAAAAGTCATTCATCAATTTTTTTAACTTATTGTTGATTTGTGAACCTACAAAGCGCAATTTGTGATCAAATGAACCCACTGGTAGCTATAGGGCTGCCGGTAGTTGCTGGTCCCGGCGCTGGGTCCGTCAGCGTCTTGACAACAAATGCCTTGACCTGCGCGAACTTATCGACATCCGTCCAAGCGTAGGCAAATCCAGGCGACGCCAGGGGCTGAATTATGTCAATCGACGTCTCCAACCCGACAATCGTTAGTGTCCCTTGATCTTTGACTTTCTGAGCCGAAGGTAAAGCCAAGGTGGTTTCCGCTTCAGTGGCTCCTGTGAAGATCACCACCCGCGTGGGCCCAAATTTGGAGACAGGGTTGAAGACCGTGGCGTCGAAGAGCGACTCCAGGGCCACGGTAAGGTTCCGGACATCTCCGCCATAATCCAGGTCGTCCATCCAGTCACCGAAGCGGGTGCAGTCCTCTTCGTTGAAATTCAGGTGACTGTAGATTGTCGAATCGTAGGCGCCCATCGCGATTCGCTCGCAGTGGTTGAACTCGGCGGCCAGGTATCGTAATATGTCTTGGATGTAGCCGAACTAAATTTAGAGAGTTAGTTTGACTCTACCATTATTGTAGTCATGCTCTCTCTCATTCTCTCTCTCTCACTCTCTCGCCCTCTCTCTCTCTAATCTAGAACTTACGAATTCAGTCCTTGTCGAACCATCGATCAAAAACAAAATGTTTTCAGCTTGAGGGTAGCACTCATTGCACACAAATCCAGATGCTAAATGCGGGGGAGTTAATTTCAGTATATATTTTGAGAGAACTGTGCCCTTAAAAATCATAACTTAACCCACTCGTCGCCTGTGCCGAGGTAGTTGTTGTACTCTGTGTGGTAGAAGCCGCTGTGGTGGTGTGGGTACGCTCTGAAAATGACTTGTTGGTTTCGAAGCAAAGACTTCAAAAAAAATATATATAGCTTTATCAAAACATCTCAATTATGCATCTGTCATCGGGTACCGAGGGCTTGCTGGATGAAGCTGACGAGTGCTTGTTGGTCGCCCTGCCATGATAGTGCCAAGTCGGGCGCGGAAGCTAGGGGTTGAAGAGGAGCGGCGTCAACGCCGAGGCCAACGACGGCGACGAGTCCAAGCTGTTTCAATGCTGCTGCTGGGACCAGAGCATCATCGACGCCGATGCTAAAAACTCGACATTGAGGCTGCCAAAACTTTCATTACCTGGTTGATGTAAACAAGATGGTCCTCTGCAAGTCGAGCTTGCTGAACTCGAGCAGTGGCTGGTAGGTTTCAGCTGCCTTTTCGAGAGCGCTAAAAGGGAAAATGACCAATTCTGAAAATCGGTTACGTCGCCATATTCGCTTGTCCGGTCAACCGGTTCAGGTCATCGATGCGGTAAAGGAAATCGCTGTAGCCCTCCAGCTCCCCGTAGATGGCTTGTGTCAGGAGGAGGTTCGAGTACTCGCCGATGGCAACGCGTTCAAAGTGATTCCAAGTGGATGTGGCGTTACGGATTGCTGCTTGCATGTCAGAGAACTGGAAAAACAGGCATTTCCACGATTGGCGTGTTTCCCGCTGTTCATAGAGTCTATTAATGCGCAGCCCTGCGCGCTCTGATGAGATTTATCAGTCGGGTCTCATTTGTCTCAAAAATTCGTGTTTTTCGACTTTTACACAACAAATATAGCTCTTATTTAGTGTTTCTTATTTAGTTTTAGCTATGTATTCTTTCGTTGTTTCTTTCAATACTTTCCCATTTTTTTTTCTTCACTTACCATATAATTTCCCTCAGAAGTATCAAAAAGCAATAAGATGTTCTCACTGCCAGGCACACAGTCCGCACAGTCTGGCGCTAGAACGAAGCAATTCACGCGGAATGTTGTTAATTACCTGGGGTTCCGCAGGTTGGCGAGACCGAAGGGTCGCCTAAAAGCATTTCGAAAATTTCTCATGTTTCTTTTATATTTTGTATTAAAAAAATCGTGTCTTCCTACCCAAATTTGTCTTCAGGAAGCTGAGGATCCCACAAAACAGCGGGTCCAGCTCCTGGCCCAGCCAGTTGAAGTACATATTCGGCGAGGCCAGATTGGCAAGTTGATGAGCGCCGCCGGGCAGCGCCACGATCGTCAAGCTGCCTTTGGCTTGGAAGGTTTGGGCGGCTGGTAGTGCTGATTCGATGTCGAGGATCGAGCTAAGTTTTAGCTATTTTGCAAAGGATCCATTGTCTTACTTGGCCTGGGTGAGCACGACCGTTCTCTGGATTCCATACTCTGTTTTCGGTTTGTAGACCTTGTCGGCCATGATGAGCGCACTAAAGTTGTTTTTTCGAATGTGATTTTTATCCGACTTTAATTTTGTTTATGTCAGCTGCATAACGTTAAGTTTGAAAGCTACTCCAACTCACTAGGTAAGATTGACATCCCCGGTGATCGTGTCCAAATCATCAACAAGTTCATAAGCCTTTTCGAGATCCACAATCTCGCCGTACCCGGCTTTCGTTAACAAAATGGACCCAAACTCGCCGAATGCCACGCGTTCAAAGTGGTTCCACCCCGTCACGAGCTCGCGAACAGCCGATTGCGTGGCCAGCATCTAAATTTTAACCAGCATGGATTTTTAGGTTCTTCTTACGTTCTGGTTCAGTGCCGACGTATCGAAGAGGAAGAGGACGTTTTCAGCTGCTGGCACGCAATCGGGGCAAAAACCGGGTGCTAAAGGTTGAGGTAGATAGCGCTGAACGTCACTCACTTGTGGTCGGGGCCGTGGTGCCAGTGGTGGTCGAAAGAGGCGGCATTCCAAGCTGTCGCATCAGCACATCCACAACCTGGTCTCCCGTCGTGATGTCGTCCCAATAGATGGCGTTCTGTGGGGGGTAGGCGAGATGAGAGAGTTCTTCCAGGGTATTGATGACCGAAATCGGTGTCAACGATCCCATCATTCCAAGGGTACGCGCGGATTCTTGAGCTTGGTTCACGTCGTCGTTGTTTCTGAAACACTTTTTGCCTTCAAGCAGTGCAACCTACGTTGAAGCGGTGAAGAAAATCGTATGCTGCGTTGTAAACGGAGCCTTCGGCTTGAAGTCGTTGTCAAGGCATCTTTTGATAGCGCTAAAAAAGGCTTGGAGTCGATAAATTTTGCTTACGTTGTCATATTCTCCGGCCTTTCGTCGATGTAGACCGAGGCCAAGTCTGCGGCAACATCTTCGATCTTCCTCAGATCGCCGTATTGTGCAACGACAACCAGCGTTTTTGAGTAGGAAGCGATAGCGATGCGTTCAGGATGATTCATTTGCTGGGCGAGTTTCACGACGACGTCTTTCATTTGGTCGAACTGGATTGAAATAAATATTGGCTCAGGTCGATAACTTACTCCTTTGTTATTACTGCTCTGGTCGATCACGAAGAGGATGCTGGAGGTAGCAGGGTTGCAATCAGGGCACGGGTCGACTAGGTTAAATTAAAGATATATCCCTTTCCCCGAGCAAAAATACCGGTTGGAGCGACTGTCAATTTTGTACTTGTCGAAGCAGCTGCAGACATAGTTGTTGTCCCGCCTGGTAGGGTGACGGTCGCTAAAGTGATTCTAGGCTACCGTCACCTCAAACTTACGTGAGGTAGTTGGCGCAGTTGTTGAATTTGAGGCGACGATTCCTAAAATAGCAGATCGTTAAGTTAATGACTGTAAACGTGCCAAGCTGCTGATTGAGAGTTGCCAAGACGTCGTCTTCTTTTGTAAGATCATCCCAATAGATAGCGTATGAGGTCGGGAAGGCCAACTGGTTCAAAGAGTCCAGATGACTGACGACCGAGATCGGCGTCAGCGTGCCCATGGCTCCGAGCTGTTGCGCAAATGCCACTGCTTGCGTTGCATCCTCATTGCTTCTGAAAAAATGGCTAGCTTTGCATACGCTCGGCACTTACGTCGATGCCGTAAAGAAGATCGTGTGCTGAACGGTAAATGGACAAACGGGCTTGTAGTCGTTGCTCAGGCATCCTTGAAGTGCTCTGGATAGACATATCTTTGGCATATCCGGAGCCTTACGAGGTCATATTCTCTGTCCGAGCGTCTTGATACACCGCTTCCATATCAGCCATTAGATCGTCGATCCTTCTGAGGTCTCCATATTGCGCTACTGAGACCAAAGTCTTTGAGTACGCAGCCACAGCAATCCGTTCAAAGTGATTCATCTGTTGTGCCAGCCTGAGCACCAATGATTTCATGTGTGCAAACTAAAAAGAATTCTTTTTTCAGCACTATATATCGAGAGCGCTACCCCAGTGTTGTTTTTGCTTTGATCCAGTACGAATAGGATACTTGACGTCGGTGGATTGCAGTCGGGGCACGGGTCGACTAGACGATATTAAAGGTATCTAATTCCCGGAATCAAGATACCGGTAGGAGCCACCGTCAACTTTGTGCTCGTCGACGCAACCACGGGTGTAGTCGTAGTACCGACTGGTGGAGTGACGGTAGCTAAATGTTTCCTATATATCGTTACACTGGACTTACGCGAGGTAGGCTGTGCACTAGTTGACGTAGATGGTACGATTCCTAAGCTTACTTTCTCCGAGAAGCTTACCGATTACTTACCGAGCTGCTGCTTCAATGTCTCAATCACAGCATCACCCTTTGTCAGTTCGTCCCAATAGATCGCGTCAGACTTCGGGAACGCTAGTTGATCAAGCGAGACGAGGTGGGTAACGATTGAGATTGGGGTCAGAGTTCCCATAGCTCCGAGTTGTTGAGCAAACGTTGCGGCTTGTGTAGCGTCGTCGTTGCTTCTATAAATACCATACTCATACTAATAATCTTCATAATTCATACCCTGAAGCTGTAAAGAAGATCGTATGCTGTGTCGTGAATGGAGCAACCGGTTTGAAGTCATTGCTGAGGCAAGCTTGAATTGCTCTAAATTATATCTATCGTTTGGCCAAAAAGCTTTGAATGCTCACGATGTCATGTTCTCGGCCCTGGCGTCCTGGTAGATAGATTCGAGGTCAGCGGCCAGATCTTCTGTCCTTCTGAGATCTCCGTATTGCGCCACAGAGACCAAGGTCTTTGAATAAGCAGCTACAGCTATTCTTTCATAGTGGTTCATCTGTTGGGCCAACTTCAAGACAACGTCTTTCATTTGGGCGAACTGAACAAAGATTATCGGCTCGTTAAACAAGTTTTATTTACCCCATTGTTGTTTTTGCTCTGATCCAGTACGAAGAGGATGCTAGAGGTTGGTGGGTTGCAGTCCGGACAGGGGTTGGCTGCTATAGGTATGAAAGTGTAGTGGCACTACATGGCGCACTTACTGGTTGGGACTGGCGGGTTCGAAGTCGTTGCCTTTGTTGCCGGTTGCGTCGCCGTAGCTAAATTACCTAGGTTATGGCTTCAAACGTTATTTACGTGGTCTCAACGTCGTTGTTGCGGCAGATGGAACCCCCGTGGGTGTCGGGCCATCTAAAATTAGTTGACTAAAAGGAATTTCGACTTTCATCAGTGACTGTTCTCACTACTAAACGTCAACTTACACAGTGTCCTGTTAATCAGCCCGACAAATAGGTCCATGTCATCTTTCTCCGGATTGGGCCATGGAATGGCGAATCCAGGAGAGGCGAGTGGTGCCAAGTTGGTGATATCGTCCATATCGACTCCGACTAGGGTCACTGTGCCTCTGGCCATGAAGGCATCGGCATACGGGGCGGCTGCTGCGACTCCGGATCTAATCACGAGCACTTTAACGCCATTGAGCCAAACTCACTCAGTTCCAGTCAAGATAATCAGCCTCTCAATGCCGTAATTAGCATTTGGCGTAAATTGGTTGAACGACTGCTTGAAGCCACTAAAAATCCAGTATCTTCCCTTTTAAAGTCAAAACCGACTTGGCCAGGTTCGGGGTCTTTCCAAGCCTGGGATTGATCTGGCTCAACTCCAACGCGAATTCATCTGCTGTACGGATCTCACCGAAGAGCGCGATTTCCTGAATAGCGCTTCATACGACGTATTCTGAAGTTGAGTACCTGGAAGATATCCGAAAATGCTCCCAAGGCCACACGAGCCCAGGGCCACCAATTTGCCGTGAGCTTCGTGACGAGGTTGGCTTGGTATTCGAGCTAAAGGGGTTTTTAGAAGTTTCAGAAGCTAAATATGGACGAACGTCTTTTGAAGTTGCGTCGAGAATAATTAGAATATTTGCCATCTCTGGAGTACAGTTATTACAAGTGATCGGAGTTACGGTCGGAGCTAAACAACTTTTTATAGATTTTTTTTGTGTATCTGAACCGATCGTGGTCGGAGGAACAAATGGGGTAGTAGTCGTTGGAACTGGTGCCGTAGATAAAGTCGGAAGAGGCGCTAGCGTCACTGGTGGATCGGCTCGATCGCAAGCATGATCATTTAGCTGGAAAGTATGAGGATTGGAAGTTACATGATACTTTCAAATCTATACGAAAATACACTACTATACTACTTACCCATCGACACAATACATCGTTAAAACTCTCCGCATTAATGACACGACCGCTCAGCGCTCGCATCCAATCACCTAAATATGGTTTTTTAAGAATGAACACATCAACTACCATTCAAATCCTTGGAATTTCCAATCAAAATCAAGTTGAACAAGTCAACACCCAATTTTGCTTCGATTTGCTCGCGTACACCGATGGCGGATTTGATGTCTTCGTAACCGCTAAACACACAACAAATCAAGTTTGCTACTGGCGAAAACCTCGAATTGGTGAACATCAATGCCGTCAGCATCCTGTCGTTTGTCGTACGGGAATCCAGGGAGCCCAGCAGGCTTTGAAGACCGCTAAATTTTCGTTGCACCCTGAAACAGCGCCTTGATCTTACGCCGTCATACTCGGAGGTCCGCCGAAGTAGACCCGATCAAAGGACGTGAAATTCTTTTGTACTGCCTGGGTCGAGTCGTAGTTCCAAGCATTTGGTTCCTAAGGCTCACGATGCTTCGAAACACGGGGGGTTTTCCTACCAGGAGTGAGTGGCGCTTGGTGTAGAATATGATTTCGGCTTGACTGTTTACACCAATGTCCCAAGGGCCAATCAGTAGATCGGAGAGGAAGTCGACCGTCTTAAGGTGGGTTTTGTATAGGTTCAAGCGCTTGGAAATGTTTGTTGGCTCTCTGCTTTAACGTTGTTCTTTCATACCCATTGCATGTTATCGGCACTTCCGGTGGCGTCCGAATTATCAAAAAGTATCGCAAAATCGACGTGGCACCCAAATTTCGTAGGATCGGGCGGGGTTGGGGAGTCTGTTCCAGTACCTAAATTTCTTTTAAGGATTTTTTACTATTATGTATAGCAAGTAATTTATAACTTTCATGCGCGGTATCTTTTGAATTGAAAAATCCAGGGTCTTCTGTCTCCATATGCAAATTTGCAAAGTGCTTTTTCTGGTTGCGATGTGTTTTGAGCTCAAATTTTAAATAGTTTTATTAGGATTGCGGACAAAAGTACGAACATAAAGTTGACGAAACACATCACCACCGGAATGAAAGCACTTTACAATAATTACATCTCAGGAAAAAAGGAGCACCCCGTATAGGCAGTAGATATCAAAAATTTTCTCTGGATTGCCACAAATGGTCATGGGACCGTTTAAAAAGAATACAATTCAAGCCAGTTTGTATGATTCTTAGAAGTCTGAATATATCGCTCTTTTCTAGGTTGGTCTACCCACTGGTTGGTTGCGTAGAGGGTACTGTAGTCAAGGCTGGGCTTGTGGTAGGTCCAGGCGAAGTTGTTGGACCTGTAGGTGGATCTGAAATGTGCGTAATTACTTTTTTGATGATCAAAATACGGGACGGGGAAGGTGAAAAAAACTTGCTTTGCAATAGTCCCAGTATCGTAGCTTCGATATTCTTGGTTTGGGTGAGATCCGGCCAGGTAAGAGCTTCTTGAGACGATGCTAGACTTGCTAAAAACACATAGTTTTTGCTATACTATTAGGTTGAACCGAAAGTAATTGTAATCGATCTTCGGGACAAGATTTATAATATTTCTACCAAGTAGCCAACTGGCCTTGAACTTCCTTTGTTTGGTCTAGCAAGGTACTATATGCCCTAGAAATATCAAGCGGATCCTAGCCCTAACACTCTTTTTATAACTGATTTTGCCGGCGGCACAGGGCCACCCGGGGCGCCGACATCCGGGATCCCTCTTTGTTTCCAGCCTTATAAAAATTACCGATGCCGTAATCCCACTGTCGTAACTGGCAATGTATAATGCCGGTGTAATATCTTTCTAGTTATGGTGCCCAATTCAGCTAACGGATTTACAGTCGGCCGATACTCTCCTTTGTTTGGATAAAAATCCGACTTTTCGGTGAGCGTGACTAAAAGGCTCTCTTAAATTTATTGAGGATAATGAAATGAAATCTGATTCATTTATAATAAGCAGTTTTTATTGACAAACATACTACCGATTCCAGCTATCTTCCCACCATTCTTTATCTGAACAAATTTTGCCAATTAGTGAGGCACCAAGGGACCGACCCGAAGATCGGCTGGCGACACACAATTTGCATTGCCACTCTTTCATCTTTGCCAATCACAATGTTTCTATAGTGCAGTATTATTGGTCATTCACAGTAAATACTGTGTTACAATTACCAATATTCTAAACCCATTCTTTCGCGGAGAAAAAAATAAAACCAAAATGTGCTCAAAATTACGATCCATTTCTCAATTCCAGACGGAGACAGAATATTTGTTCTTAGGTTATCTACGGACATAAAACAGCTTTAATTAAGCTTCATTGTGATAGAGTCCACTCAAAAAGTTATCCACTAAACTCGGAGAAAATGGCCGACAAAGGAATATGTCGATTCGCAGCCCAAAAACCCAGATTGACATCTTTTTAAATTGACATGGGAAAAAATAATGCAGCTAGCTATTAAAATTTTCTTTAATGCTCCGCATAGCCCAAATTTTTCTCTATCTACTATCACTTATACAAGTCACTAGGGTCGGAACGGCCGGCGATATCCTTCACTGAAACCAAAAACCCGAAATCCGGAATGCGCGCACCCTTTTCCAGCTAATTAAAAAAATTTGTGGCAGTCCCGAGTTTAAATTAAAACTGAAACTGGACAAGGCTTGACCCTCAATCATAGCAAAAAATTAGAATGAACGAATGCTGGCTTCCGTAAAATTTTTACAATCGAAAAATTACAGTTACTTTCGGTTCAACCTAATAATTTAATGTGGTCGTACCTAAACCATCGCTCAATGTGCTCAACCCTGTGCCGACCAAGATGACGTTTCCCTTATTCTTCAGGCTCCTCGAAGCGGCTTGTGATTTTTGGATGGCAGCAGCATCGTCTTTTCTGAACAAGAAAGGTTTTGGCGTCTCAGGTTAAAGACTTACGTGGTAAAGACAATGACTTGTTGGTTGCCATAAAATGCGCTGGGTTCGAAGGCCAGGTCTGCTTTCCGGAAGCCACTAAAATTGGGATCGTCGCTAACCCTTTTGAAGTCTCAGGCTCACGTGCTCAAGTCCGTATTTGCTCCAAATGCCGTCAACGTCAAAAGCTTGTAGAGCTCGGCAATGGAAACGAGTTCCTTGTATTCGACCGGAATCTGGAATTCACGGGTTGGGTTATAAAATGCCATATTCACCTGGAAGTTGGCCAGCGTATCGCGATACGCACCAACGGCAATACGCTCCGGATGGTTGATGTTGTTTGAGAGTTGGACGACGAGTGAGAATTGAGCGTAGAGCTGAAAGAGAGATACTGTAGGTATCATCGGTGTTTGCATACGGTATCATTTCCGGCGCCTGCATCTAGAATGAAGAGGATGTTGCCTTTTGGTGTGCAGTTGTCACAGAAAGTTGAGACTAAAATTGTTCTACGTCTTGACATTTTAACATACTCGTGGTAGTGGCTGGTGGAGCAAAGGTGACTTTCGGGGTCGTCGTTGTCGATGCCGCTGATGTTGTGCTTGGGATTGTTGGGGGCAAGGTTTCACGACCTGGTTTCTCGTTGCAAATGACGCTGTTGATCTGAAATCGGAGTCTTAGAGAGCGAGCGCGAGAGAGAGAGAAAAAAAGAGATACTGAGAGAGAGCGTGTGAGAAGAACTGAAATCCCTTACCGCTGCTGCCAAATTTGCATTCCAGTTGTCGGCCGGGCCAGCAACAATGACATTTTCCGTCAACGCCTGCAAGTTCGGCACGCTTGGGTTCTCCTCCATGGCCACGATGATAAACCGCTCGGGCTGTGCGGCTTTCAGTGCTCTTGCGACTTGGGAATACGTACTGAAAATGCGTAAGGCCGCTTTATCCTAACTCACCTGGTGAAAGTGAACATCATCATCGTCATCGGGTGATTTCTTCGGCCATCGTCAGCAAAGAGGTCACCGAAGAAAAGGCCACTGAAATGGTTGTCCTTACTCTTCAGCTTGCAGATGCACTCTATCTCTATCTCACTCTCTTGTTCGCTCTCTCTCTCTCTCTCTCTCTCTCTCTTTCTTTCCCTTTCTCTCGCTCTCTATCTCTTTCAATTAACTCACTCGTCCATCGCCGGCTCGCAATGCGGCTCATAAAAACGAACATCACCCATGAGCTCCGAGACTAGCTGGTCCGTGCTGTTAAAATTGAAGAAGCCATGGCCCAGCGCAGTTTGGCCCTAAATTACTAGCACTAGGGTGGTAATGTGGTCTCACATCACAATAATGGAGGATTTCCGCATTGGTCTTGTTCATGTTGACGTCCCAGGTGGGGGCAAGCCAGTTGGCGAGGAAGCTGATCATCTGAAGATGATTAGTAAGAACCGAAACTAGCGATACCTTGGTGAACTGCTCGGCGTTGCCGGCATTTGAGCAATCGAGGAGGAGCATGATATCGGGGTCGCAGGTGAACTGCTCGGGGAAGGCGGTGGTTGGAACGGTGCTTGGTGTCGTTCTAAAAATTTTAAGATCAATTTGCTTAACTAGACGTAAATTTGAAGCTTTTGCAGGTTTTTTCAGATTCGAATTTGATCAGGATTTCATGACGTCCATGAGACCCGCGGGATCCAATGACCTACGGTGGCGCAGGTGTCGTCGGGGCCGGGAGACACAGAGACGTCGTCAACAACCCAGCAACTTTGTCTCCAAGTAGCGTCGGGTTGTCTTGGAAGAGGAAGCCGAGTCCAGACGAGATCTAGAAAACCGCCCTCTTTTCCTAAATCTCTCACCCACCTTCTCCAAGTCGTCGGTCCTCACATCCTCCAGTGCCAACACGGATATAGTGTTTCCGCCCTGCTTCAACTGATCCGCATACTGCTTCGCTTTGCCGATATCCCCATTAGCTGTGATGATCACCGTCGTCATCAGGGTGTTCGGGAAAAGGCCAAGGGCTTCATGCAGCGACTTGTCCAGAGCGTAGCCATTTCCAATATATTGGGCCTGATCGATGAGTTGTTGTACTTCAGCCAGGTTAGCCGAGTCACCAAAGTGCATGATCATGTTGATTTTGTTAGAGTATGTGGCGATGGCAAGGGTGAAAGAGCTGAGGTCCCACTGTGGTACCAGGGTGTTCCTGACCCAATTCTTGACCAAATTAAAGTTGGTGACACCGTTCATCGAGGAGCTTGTATCGATCATGAGTAAAATATCCTTTTTGCACTTTCCGGGGGCAACACTAGGGAGATTTGTCGTACTTCCAAGTGTTGGGCCAGATGTGGTAGTTGGCAGTTCTCCAAGGGTGTTGTCGATATCATATACAACGGCATTAACATCGCTTGTATTCTGCCAAGCGATGGCTCCTCCGGGTGAAGCCAAGGCTTTGAAACTATCGGCGGTGGCCATGTTCAGTCCGACAACAGTCAGTGAGCCAAGTGCTTGGAGTTTCTGTGCAGCCGGAGTGGCCCTGGCAATATCCGCCGGGTCGGTTACTGAGATGAATAGCGTCGTTTTCTGAGGTCCGAAATCCGCGGTAGGCGTCACCTGTTTCAGCGCGCTTTCGAGTGCTGCGGCCAAGTCGGGCTTGGTGCCGGGGCTCTGTTGGACGCCCGTGAGGTATGTGTGCACGTCTGAGATGGAAGTAATATCGTAGTAATAGGCGACGAGGTTGAAACTGCTGTCATAGGCGCCGAGTGCGACACGTTCGTAGTGATTCCAGGTACTGGCCAGGGTCAGGACAGCGCCCTGCTCCTGTAGGTAGTCTGCGGCCGAAATGGTTGCTGAACGGTCGAAAATTACGAACAGATTCGACCTTGGTGGGTTGCAATCTGCGCAGAAAGGCCCTGAGGTGGTCGGTCCTTGGCTGGTTGGAATTGTCGGAATCGTCGTGAAAGTGCTAGTCGCAGGCGAGGATACTGTAGTCGAAGCCGCAGGTGGAGCTGCAGAAGTGCTTCCAAATTGCTCGCCAAGGGTGACGTCAATCTGCCTGGCGACCGTAGCATGATCCTGATAGTTGGTCCAGCTGATCGCGTCGTTCGGTGTGGCCAAGTCGTTGTAGATGGCGACGGCCTCGACGCCAATTCCAACGATGGTCACCGAACCCATGCTTCTAAGGGTGGCCGCAGTAGTTGCCGCGGCAACAATGTCGTTGACATCCGTTTGTGTTGTAAAGAGGATAACTCGTTGGTACTGGAAGTCAGCGAGGGGCTTGGCGAGTTTGAGGACTTGCGCCAGAGTCGCATTCAGATTCACGTCCGGCTTGGGGAGTTGCATAATGCTTTTGATGGTCACATAGGCGTCATCCAGTTTGTTGAGTGTACCATATTCAGCATTCTGGTTGAACGTTGTTGCCACGGAGCCAATGGAGACCCGCTCAAAGTGGTTCCATCCCTGGACGACGGTCAGGGCGACAGCGAGTTGTGCTTGGAAGACGTCGTTCGTCAAGGCACCAGAATTTTCGAGCAGTAGGAGAAGGTTGGCGGTAGGTGGGTTGCAGTCAGGGCAGAATGGTGCTGGGGCTGTCGTTGCTCCAGTAGGGGTCGGTCCGGAACTTGTCGGCACAGCCGAGCTGGGTTTCGTGGAGCTGGGGGCCAAGCTGCTAGGTCCGGCCGTGGTTGGACCACGAGTAACTGGGTTCGGGTCCAACAGCTTCTCGATTTGTCCGACGATGGTGTCCGTATCCTTGACATCAGCCCAACCAATTGCAGAATTCGGGGAGGCGAGAGGTTCGACTTGGGCGACATCGTTTGACCCGATGACGACGACAATGACGGAGCCCTTCGCGAAAAGTTTGTCAGCGTACGGAGCTGCAGTTCGGACATCGTCAGCGGACCTAAAGCATCAGTGCTGCATCTTCGCAAATTCCTACCTTTGCGTCAAAAAGATGACAACTTGTTGATCTCCCCATTCCGACGACGGCGCGAAGGAGTTGTCGGTGCGTTTGTAAGCCCTAGAACAGTTTTCAAACGTTGAATTTACTTACAGGGTCAAGCTTGGCGCTCCATTTACTGCATAGATCGTGTCGACAAAAGCGGCAAATGTATCCGAGTTTTTCATGTCACGGTACTGTGCGACAACCTTAAGGGGTTCGTAAGTCAATATCTAGGATGCATACCTCGTAATGCTTGTCAGTGTCACCAAACGCAGCTAGTGCAACCCGCTCAAAGTGATTCCACTGTGTGGCCAGCTTCTTGGCGACGATCTTTTGCTGGTCAAGCTGAAAAAAATCGATACTTTAATCAGCCACCAATCCTTACCGATCCCCCAGTAGCTGCATCGAGAACAACCAGCAGACTCGAAGCCTTCGGGATGCAATCAGGGCAGTGGGGAGCGATTTTGGCTAGAAACATATAATTAGCACTTCAACTACCGCATAAAAATTACTGGTAGTGGGCGGGGCAAAAGTTTGGGTCGTCGGAGTGGTCGTTGGAGTCGTGGTAGTCGGCGCAGAAGTAGACCCGAGGGTGCCGTGCTTGGTGTTGCCTTGGCAGATCATGTTGTTGATCTGAATCGACCGTATAAGTTAGTGTTTACGCAAGAAATTACGATGTTTAAACGCCGAATCAACACCAGTAAAATACTCACCATACTGACCATGCTGTCATCCAGCGACCCAGTAAGAACACGGGGGCTCATGGCTTGCAGGTTGTCGGTGTTGATTTGGTTTTGGTCGCCCAGTGCCACAATAATCAGATTCATCCCGCCCAGTTGCTGGTCGAGCAGGTCCAGGGTATCGATCGAAGTGGCCGCATCGGAATAACCACTAAAGAAAAAACAATTCGAGGATGCCGTAGGTTTCTATACCTCGAATAGGTGAACAGTACTAACACCTTCGGCTGCGTCAATCGGCGGTTGGACAATCGCATTGTTTGTAGGATTGCTCTAAAAGATGAGGATTTGTAAAGGATAAATCTGTTACATGATACTATTAGCGCTATCACAAATTAAATATGAATAATACTGTTACAAAATGTGAACTTACTGATGCATTCCTGGAGGTGTTCCGTAATAATCATAGTTGTGCCGAGCCACCTCGATCGTGAAGTCACTGGCATGCGCGTAGTTGAACGTGTTGTAGACGTTGAAGGCGGTCTGAAAGGGGTAAAATTACGATCGTCAGTTCTCTACTTACCGTATTTGTATACAAAATTGCGGCAGCTTCTGTTTCGTTGCGATTGATCGGCCAGGTGGAGCCGAGTTTGTAGGCGACAAAGTCGATCAACTAAATGTAGGTGGTGTATTAGTTAGAGAGAGAGCGAGAGAGCGAGCGAGAGAGAGAGAGAGAGCGAGAGAGTGAACCCACATTGCCAAACACAGCCATACTGCCAACAGCCGAACTCGAATCAATGCCAATGGCGATGTCTGGGTTACAGACGAATTGGCTGGGTACGGTAGTCGGGGCAGCTGTCGTGGTCGTTGGAGGCCTAAAAACATCAAAACTAATGTATAAAAACCCTTACATTGTCACGGGTGGTGGGGGTCCTTCAGCACAAATCTTCTGATTCACGGCTGCGACATATTGATTGCCCTTGTAGTCGTCGGTGCGGAAGTTGAAACCGTCGCCAGAGGAGAGCTAAATATTTCAACACCTTACGATTCAGTATGGTTATTACAATTGACGCGTCGGCTCCTCCGAACGATACGGTAATCAAGGAATTGCCATTCTGCTTCAACTGGTAGGCGAACGGAATCGAGCGGTTCAAGTCGTCGCTGTTGCTAAAAAAAAATAAATTTGAATCCCATTTCTAAGATTTCGAGGTTTCTCAGAATTGCTCAAAAATATTCTGATTTAGTGCTACTGTAATTACCTGTAAGCTGTCAGCAAAATCGTGGTGACAGAAACATTCTTGGGGAAATCCAGACTAGCGACCGCGTGCATCACACTAAAATCGCCCTTCTACGGCTTCGGATTGCTTTTCATACCTGTAGACTCCACCATGTTGAGCCGGGCGGTAATTGACCTTGTCCTCCACCAGATTCAGCCATTCTTGCGTGCTCGTCAGGTCGAAGTCGGCAATCAACTCGAGAGACTGGCCGGTGAAGCCGAATCCGGCGACGTTGTAGCCGCTCGGGCCGACACTCCACGAGACAACCAGTTGACGCGCGAATTCTTTGAGCTGAAAGCACAAGATCGACATTAAAAATAAGCTACATACTCCATCATAAGAATCCGACGGGATAGCATTCGACACATCGATCAACAACACGACAGCACGCTGGCAGGCCGCACTGCTTGGAGATGTCGTGGTGACTGCCGGAAGAGTGGATGGTGTGGATGGAAGCGTCGTGGCTAAAAGTAGTTTTAAACCGTTTCCTTACGGTTCTAAAGAACCATAGAAACCAAATACATAACCTAGAGTAGCTCAACAATCGTACGAGGATAGATCAGACGTTCCAAACTTACTAGTGGTCGTCGGTGGTAGCGTAGTTGGTCCGGGAGTCGTCGTGGGAATGCTTGAGTTCAAAATCCCAGTGACCGTGTTCGTAATATTCAAATCCGAAGTTGTTGGCCAAGCCAGAGCATCACCCGGGGTAGCCAAGGGCTGGAAGGCGGATACGTCCGCTTGTCCGACACCTAAAAATTTGATGAATTTTTGGCAACTTTTTTGCTCACCAATAACCACAACTTGTCCTCTAGCCATTAGTGCTTGGGCGTAGACCGAAGCCGTGTTTATGTCAAGGGTCGTTCTAAAAAATCATGCTCAGATTTCTGAAACTAGACCTTACGCAGTCCCCGTGAAGATGATCGTCTTCTCATAGCCGTACTTGCTGTTTGGCTCGAAAGCACGAAGCGTCTTCTTGAAAGCACTAGAGGCGGATTCCGATTGGGACAAAAAGCCTCATTACCTGGTCAAGCTTCCCGCACCACCATATCGCTGTACGACAGCACTCGACAGCGTAGCGTTCACATCACCAGCGTTTCTGAGGTCTCCGAACTGGGCAAGGATCTCGTAGTGGGCATCTGTGTCTCCAAAAGCGGCGAGGGCAACTCGTTCAAAGTGGTTCCAGCCGTTCAGCATTGTGATGGCGGCGAGGATTTCGTCGTTGAACTGGAAGGTATCGATTTTAATAGGAGAATTTTAATAGATGTAACAGCACTCAACCATATTAAAATGGATGGTACTACCCAAACGCTCAAAAGCCCTTCGGACCTACCGTATCCTTCGTACTTCCAGAAGCATCGATGACTACGACAAGATTCGCCAAAGCTGGGACGCAGTCGGGGCATGGTACTGGGTTTACCGCTAAATACCAAGTACGTTTTTACTATGAACGGATGTATTACTTGTAGTTGGTGGTACAAATGCCGTGGTCGTAGTTGTCGTCGTCAACGGGGTGGTAGTAGGCGGATTCGTAGGCGGAAGAGTCCCAGGACTGGTGTTGCCTTGACAGATGAGGTCGTTGATCTGAATGTACTTGTTTCTTGGCTCTCCCCTGTCTAAATTAGCTGGACTCATTGAACTCGTTGAACCCCTCACCTGATCAGCCAAGCTCTGGTCCAACGCTCCCCAAAGGATCCTAGGTGACAACGCCGCCAGATAGTCGGCATTCACATTGTTTCCAAGTCCAACCACAATAACGTTGGAACCAGTTTGAATCAGGTTAATTTGGTTTACAGCCGCTGCAATGTCGGAGTAGACGCTGAATCGTGGTTATGGAAGTTGGGTTAATTGCACTACCTTGACCAAGTGAAAAGGAGCAGCACATGAGGTTGTCCTCTCTGCCAGTGCTCATGGTTCAGCATGAATTTGATACCTCTGAAAATTGCAATCATCAAAAGCAGGAAAGTGCCTTACTCATTGATCGATGGATCTCCTCCGTAATAGATATCTCCATGATTGATCAAAGCCTGGTGGAATTCTTGGAGATCCACGTATTCGTAAGTCTTTCCGCCGAGCACGAGGTTACCCTTAAAAATAGAAACTGTTACGTTAAATGTGCTAATGTACGCGTGTTTCACATTAATTGGAGACATCTATGAGGTGTCGCCCGTATCGAGGTATCGTTATCGAGGTATGATAAGCACCCACCTGTCGTGAATAGAAGTAAATTGACGCCTCGGTGTGGTTGAGCATGATAGGCCAATTCCGAGACAACGGATCTACGATGAAGTCGGAAACCTAGGTCTTCACATAAGCCACAAGGTATCTAAAATACAGTACCTTCCTAACACCATCTGCCCCTCCCTCCACAGCTCCACTACCATCAATCAGGAGCGCGATGTCGGGCTGGCAGGGGAATGGAAGAGGTTGAGTAGTTGTGGTCGGAGCTTGAGTACTAAATTTCGATTTGTGACGTCCGTAATTCGCCCTACGTAGGTGTTGTCGTAGTCGGAGGCGCCGGTCCATTCTTGCAAATCATGGCATTGATTTGTCGGGCAACATCGAAGGCGTCGAAGGTGTCGAGTTCAAAGGCGAAGTCGAGACCGGAGGAGAGCTTCGGAAACGGTATTGAATCGGTATTTGTGACAAACCGGGCTGGCATCGGCATCCATCGATACGGTAATGACGGTATTACCATTCTGCTTCAGCTGATTTGCGTACGGGATGGCCGAGTTGATGTCATCGGGATCGCTGCAAAGTTTCTGTTAAATAAAAGCCAAAAAGAGAGAAGGAGAGAAAGAGAGAGAGAGAGAGAGAGAGAGAGAGAGAGAGTGAGAGTGAGCGGAGAAAGCCAGAGAGCCAGAAAGAGAGCGGGCAAGAATGAGAAACAGAGCCAGAACCTACCTCGAAGCCGTCACCAAAATTGTCGTCACACCCTCCACAAGAGGCACCTTCAGTCCCACTGCCGTTTTTAGAACCCTGAATCACTTTCCTAATTCTAATATCCTGGCCCCTACTTTGTCATTCCAGCCGGAGACGTGCTGTGCCAAGTCACATCCGCATCAATCAGAGCCTTGAGCTCCTCCGCGGATTTCAGGTCGAACGTCGCGATTTCAGTGATGATCGATTTGGTATAGGCGATTGCGGCCACAGAGAATTGATCCCTCGAGAAGATCCAGGAGCCGGTCAGCGCGTACAGGAATTGTTTGTACTAGGAAAATATGGTATTCAGTGATTTGACAATCGCTTACGTCATTAAATTGGGCACCAGGGACCTTCAGGGACTCATCGATAAGTAGGATGACAGCACGTTGGCACGGTCCGGTGGGTTGGACGGAAGAGGTCGGGATAGCTGTTGTAGTTCCGCCAGTGGTAGTAGTTGTCGGACCGGGCGTGGTCGTAGGAGGGGCCACTGAATCAAGGTTATGACTATACCTTTTGAATTAACTCTCTCTATACTAAGAATTGAGAATTTTTAGCCTGGCTTGACGACGCACCAAGCGTCGCATCAATAGCATCCGAAAGCCCGGTAGTATTTGTCGTGGCCGGCCAAGCAATAGTAGCTCCTGTAGTAGCGAGTGGGACGAATGGTGTCATGTCACTCCAGTTGATTCCGACAACAGTTAACGTTCCTAGGGCCTGAAATGCAGCATGGGTATCGGTGGACGCACCATGTCTTGAGCAAAAGAAGGTCGTTGGACCTACCCTTAATGCGTCAGCATACGGATGGGCAGCTACGATATTGTTTGCCGTGCTCGTGAAAAGAATTGTATGCTGAATACCGTATCCAGCCAGCGGAGTATAGCGTTGGACAGCGTGATGTAGAGCGCTAAATTTTGCTTTTTTTTAAGTGAAAAGGAAAGCGACCGAGAAAAGGAGACTGAGAAAGAGCGAGAGAGAGAGGGAGGGTGAGAGATAAACTTACGCAGCGACATCAGGTTTTGATGCAATCCTGCCCTGAGAGTTCACCAAAATCGAAGCGTCGTTTTGATTGGTGATGTCGCGATAGTTGGCCAAATCGATAAAATGGGCATTGTCTAACTAACCGTTTTTGGTTCGTATGATTTTCAAACCTCCAAATCCAGCGAGTGCCACTCGTTCCCAGTGGTTCCACTTGCCAAACAAGTCCGTGCTCAAGAATTTTAGGACGTTCGCGAACTAGAATTACAAAAATAATGTCAAAATTCGCTGCTTACGTCAGTTGGCAATAAGGCGATGCTGATGTCGTAGACGACGAGCAGGGAGGAGCGGTCGGGTTTACAATCGGGGCAAGGAGCAGCGGCTAAAGGCTTGTATGATTGAATAAGGATCAAAAAATCAAGAGGTCTAACGGCAGAATCAAAATTAAAACAAGGAGATGTTTGTGCAGGCAAAAAAACCATTTTCTAAGAAAAACTAACTCGGCGTTACGGTAGTAGTCGGAGCCTCGGTGAAAGGAGCCTTCGTGGTAGTTGTTGTAATCGTACTCGTGGCTACAGTACCCGGCGAGGTAGTAGAAAGTCCATGCGGAGGTCGTTTGGTGCAGATCATACTGTTGATCTGGAAAAGCGACGCGTTTTTCCTTGTACTAATTGTGTCGCTTATTAAAAGTATACAAAACATATACCTGATAGGCAGCATCGTCATCATAAGCCAGCTTGGTGATCACATTTCCGGTCAAAACACCTAGCAAATCTCCATCAACACTGGGACCTATTCCCAGAATAATCAGGTTTCCATCCCAAGCCTGAGCAATCGGGATTGCCGCTTTTACGTCGTTGTAGTCACTAAAAATGGCCTAGGTTGTCTTTTGGCTACTTACCTCGAATAAGTGACCAAAATGGCGGTTTGGTAATTGCCACGCGAGGTCAAGGACAAGAAGCGAAGAAGGGAGAGACCGCTAAAAGGTATTTTTTTAAACTCTGATATAGGTTTCTCACTTGGTAATGTTTGGGTTTCCACCATAATAGTCGTCACCGTAGGAGTTGAGATCGTCGATGAAGGCCTGGGTGGTTGAATAGCCGTAAGCTCCCGGGACGACAAACGCGTAGCCCTAGAAATGAATGTTACTACCACTTTAAAAGTCGTATAGTATACTTAAAATCTCGTTAACGTAAATTTTAGCTTCAGATTCAATGGTGCTCTACGTTTCGATTCTGTAGGCGTAAATTTTTACATACGTCTAGGTTGCAGAAGCAGACTTACATTTGTATAGATCGCTCCGGCAGCTTCTGTGCTATTTGGCGACACTGTCCAGGTTGGAATGACTCTTCCGGTAAAGAAGCCGACTTGCTAAAAATCAATTTTATAGTGATGCTGTAGAAATTGCATAAATTACGCTAGTGGAATCAAAGAGCCAGGTATGAAGCTCCCCGCATAAAACCAGCCTAAAACTCACTTTGCCCATCTCATCCTCCGATCCGACAGCCGTCGAGGCATCGAAAAGTATGGCAATATCCGGGTTGCAGGTGTAGGGAGGTGTGGGTGGAGCTGCGGTTGTAACAGGGACCGTATATCCGTAGATGGCAGAAATCAAGCTAGTCGCCAGGGTATCTCCTTCGGAAAGGTCCTTGCTGGTCAAGACGTAGTTTGGAGCCGTTGCCAGCTAAATACCCATCCTCAACAGTATACAAATGTCTTACGATTGTCAAAATATCTGGATTCACACCCGCTCCAACACCCAGCATCACGATGTAGTCTCCCCTGGCTTTTCAAGAGATTGGCTTGTTGGATAGACTTGGCAATGTCGGATGGATCGCTAAAATGTGGACGATTAGCATTAAAAAGATCATGGGATTTTAATCTGTAGAAACAATATTGGAAGAAAAATTCTCTTTCAGCACTTTTAGGTCCACTGATCAACAACTACCTTGACGCCGTCACCATCAAGATCGTCCTCGGCGCATTTCTCCCAGCGCTGTGCAGAATGTTGACACGCTTTAGTGCACTAAAAAAAGTAGTGAAAACTTTGTTGAGGCTCACTTGTAAATACCAGGCCCATATTTCCCTTCATAATTCATGTAAAATCCGATGACGTTCGCCAGCTCGCCAGCCGTCTGCGCGTCGAACAGGTCGTACATGTTGAAGTGGCTGAAGATGATCATGTTTTTTTGGAATTTAGGTCAGACTTACTGATCGTCATATTCTCCCACGGCCGCCAAGAGGGTATCATTGCCGATGCTGAGTTTTGGGGCCAGGGTTTTGTAGAGGAAGGGTTTTAGCTGAAATAAATAATTATTTGTCGTAAACAAGTAATTTAAGGAGCTGGCGAGGTAAAATAGTTCGACGTGCGTACAGGCCTTGGTTTTGAAAATATACCTTCAAGAACACGGCCTGCTGCAAAGCCGTCGAAGAATCGATCAATAGCACAAGGTCCCTGACGTTCGGATTGACTGGATATGTCGTAGTGGCTAAAAAAGCTTTTTTCTAGCCAAGAAGTCGGCCTGACCTGGCCCTTGGGTCGGGAAAGTCGGGCATTGTGTAGGTATCTGCGGAGTAGTGGCACCTGAAATGAACAAGAATTAAATAGGTATCCGTAGAGCTGATACTCGAACTGGCAAAATACGATTTACCCGCACCTGGTGATGTTGTTGTTTTCTTTGTCTTTGAAGTGGTAGCGACAGTTCCCCGTGTAGTAGTCGCTCCAGTCACCGTAGTCTTCTTCGTTTTCGAGGTGGTGGCGACAGTTCCAGTAGCAGTAGTGCCGGGGGTAGTGGTGGGTCCAGTGGCCGTGGTCTTCTTCGTCTTTGAGGTTGTGAGCATAGTTCCAGTTGGAGTTGAACCAGCTGTAGTAGTCGTTTTCTTAGTCTTAGATGTCTTAGATGTTGATGGGACTGTCGTGCCGGGAGAAACCGTTGTTTTCTTGGTCTTCTTGGTGGTGACTCCAGTTGGTGTTGTGCCTGTAGCTGGGGATGGTGTCGTAGTGGTTGTTGTCGGGAGAGTAGTGGTAAGTAGGTCTTGGAAATCATTGACGACCATGCAGAGTTGAGTGTTGTTAGATGAGGGGATGTTATCACCTTAAATATGAAACATAGAAAAAAGAGTTTTTTGAATTTTCAATCGTATTCTTGTGATATACCACTGCTCACTCTAGAACTAATTGTAAGCGAGAGGTGACTTCAGCACGCTGTCACGCTCCCATTAATAACATCATTCTTACTATGACACCAACAAGGCGTGATTTATAGAATTTTTCGACAGCATTCTGATGACTCCTCCTTACTCAAGGTGTTCGAACAACTTAAAGTGACTTCAACAAGCCCTCACCGTTCCTTTAAAACCCAAAGACCCCTATTAACGTACCAGTAACCTGGTTCACCACCACATTCTTCATCGACTCCAGCTTCTTCTGCACCTCGAACCCAGAAATATCGATGGGGAAAATGAGGGCAGTAATGACATTGACGCCCTGCTTTGCTTCAGAGATTCCGAGACTATGCAATTTTGTTAGGATCATCGAGCGAACACAACTTACATATTGACCTTCAGATTACTTGTCGGGAAAACTTCCAGATCGTAGTCCTCAGAAATCATGGCCATTTGGCCGAGGATCTAAAGTAAGCTACCGTAAAGTGTATTGTCGCGTACTCTCGTCCGAATTGACGCTGCGCTTCCCTCATAGTCATTCTTGACGTCATCATAATTAATGTCCGTAAAATCGAGGGTCGAATAGAAGGGGTTGATGACCGCTGGGGCAGGTTGGGTGGGACCTAAAAATTGGGGTAGTTTGGGCTTTGGTTTAGGGTTAGCTTAGGCTTAGTTTCGGATTAGCTTAAGCTTACAAGGAGTGCTTTTTTTGAGTCATCTGCAAAACCTGACGAGACCTAGCTCAGTCGATAGAGAATTCGATTCTGAACAAAACCCCGTTGTCCTTTTTTGCAGAATGGCTATCCCTGAATTTATAAAATTGTAAAACTGCACCCAAAAGCCTCTCTTTTGGCTCGAAAGGCACTCATGGTAAGGGACGGTCATTAGTATTTTAATTTTATAAAGTCAGGGATAGCCATTCTGCAAAAAAGAACAACGGGGTTTTGTTCAGAATCGAATTCTCTATCGAATGAGCTAGGTCTCGTAAGGTTTTGCCGATGACTCAAAAAAAAGCACTCCTTGTTAGGCTGAAACTTGAGTTGCAACACTTACATGTCCCCGGCACCGGCACGGTCACCTGCTTCTGCTCCTTATTATTGTTGTGAATGCCGACGCCGAGCATCACCGCTCCTGCGATGAGGAACAGGATAGAGACGGCCAGGATGCCATAGGAGAAGATCTAAGATAAGTCAATGGTCCTCAAAATTTGTTCTCATTTGTTTACCGGTTTCTGCCAGAAGGGCTTCTCATAGCTGGCAATGGAGTGGCGGCCCTGGTAGGTGCGGAAGGCGTCCTCGTCGCCCCCGCCACCACCGCCGTCCCAGTCCGAGCTCATGTCTGGGGAATTAGCCGTTAAGTTGACGTTTTTTGGATATTCTCGAGAAGCAATTAAAAGTGAGCTATAATTAAAATCTTCGAAGCTTCAAATTTCCGCGGATTTTTCAACGACAATTTTTATCAAGTTCCCGGCCCCTTTAAAACGCGTGAAATGAATTTCTCGTGCCTTCGAGGATCTGGTTTTGATGTTGAAACGGCGTGAAATGAATTCACCGCGGTCGTGCGGCTCAAGCGTTGCGTGTCGCGGGCAAAAGCGTTGTGTTTCGCCTATCGCTACAGCGCTGGTTATCGCGGGCCTGGCGCGTTGCGAGTCGCGGCGGCGTTAGATATCTCGGACGTATGCGCGTTGCATGTCGCAGCAGCGTGGCAAAACGCAGGTGTAAGCGCTCTTCAAACGAAGCCCGAGCTCCAAGTCTCAGAATCAAAACCCCAAAATCTCTCAGGCTCCTATCCAATCGATCAATCAAGTCTTGATCTCCACGTGACTCACTGTCATATCCGTGGATTCTGACGTGGCAAAAGGTTAAAGATACCAGTAAACGTTCTCTTTTACTCCTTTTTTCACCAGGGCCACACCCAGAAACACACGCTGATTTCGGACATCCATTCCGGGGGAGCTGATGGGAACGCGGCAGCTGGCCACACGTCTCGACGCAAATACGGGCGGCTACCGTGCGGCGTTTTTTCAAAGGGCGGAACCCCTTTTGGGGTGAGGATTTGCGCGTATTAAGCTCAAGCTTACTTTTTTAAGCTTCTTAAGCTTTGAAAAACAAAAATTCGCGCGAGACAATTTTTGTACTTAGAACCTTAACTTTTGTGTTTTTTGCAAAAATAGGAGGAACAACCTTTCTTGATTTCAAATCTTGTAAAACTTTCCAAGCTTGATAAGCCCGTTTGAAGGCCAAAATCAGCGGCTGCTTCAAATTCTGAGCTAAAATGTAAAAGAAATCATAAAAATTGGACCAAAAATTTAAAAGCTCGGTTTTCGGAAGCAAAATTTGTGACTTTTTTTCAATATTTGGCGATTTTAAACCTTTATAAGCCGATTCTGAGGTGATATGCGGAATCAGCGCAAAATTCTGATCAAGATCTTCTGATTCTAGCAAACACAAGCCCTACAGTAACCCAACCAAAAATCTTCAGAATGCGCGGAACGTCAAATCATCCGTAGGCTACTGTAGTAAATCGGCTTTTCCCCAACCCGATGTATTTAACAGGGGAATTGGAAAAAATGATGACTGTGCCAGAAGAAGGGCGGCCGCAGGAAAGAGACATTCGACTACCCGGTGCGTGGAGTAAATTTATCTGCCTTGGAAGCCAACATAGAAATTGGGGACTAAGGTGATAAGCCCCCCTTTTCGGGAGCCGTCCACTTGGAAAAGAGGAGGCCCGTGAATTTACGATCCCCCACCGCCCAGTTACAACATGGGGGGTGACGCGGGGAGCAAACCATCGAGGCTCCTGACTTTCGGGGGCCCCCGTACTTTTCGGGGCTATTCTGCGTGAGCGATCTTTGATGATGTCAAATCCTGATTTTTTTTTGCTTGAAGAAAATAATTTTTTAAAGATCTTCACAGACTTTTGAGACTAATGGGCAAGTCAGCTTGTCGGCGCGAATTTTTTAGGATAGCTGAAAACCCATCGATAGCTGTTAACCGGAGCCTAGCCCTGAATATCGGAGGTCTTTTGATAATCAGGCAATTCCCCGGAGCAAATTTAGGCATCTATCGCTGGCCAGCAGAGACTCTCTGGAGGAGGATGCAAAAAGGACCATTTGCGTATCTAGGCAGACTATCAGAGCCGATTCAATGGGCAACAATATTTTCAAAAAAGAGCGCATCTTTGCACGATGGGCAGGCTGGCAGGGACCATTTGTATAACTGAAGACAGGCTATTAAAGACCAGTTATGTCTCGGGTGCAGGATAGCAGTGACGATTTGTGAAAGAACGACGGGAAGCCAAGCGGTCACGCTTATGGAAGCGGCGATTATTCTAAAATTCCGTGAGGTCTGCCAAGAACATTTGCGAAAGGCAAGATACGTCCGTCGACCTCGTCCCATTAAAACGTCGCGGACTGCGCTTAAACCCAAAAAAGTATCAGGTATTTATTTTGCTCTTTTTAATCATTTTCCTGCTTCCAAGGCCCTTGCCGCGCCCCCGAAATTAAGCCGATTTGCCGATGGGGGGATTGATAGCGAATTATCACACTTGCCTGGGCTTACACCCGATTGAATGCGGCTTTCGGCTTCTTGGAGGAAATCTGGAGAATGTCGCATTTTGTGAATTTAAACAAATAAAAGAGTTCAACTTTTTTTGGATTCAAAAAAGTTTGAAAGCATTTTCAGATCGTCGCATCAATTATGCGTTTGAGATCTGAAACTGAGGCAGCTGCTGGAAGAAAAGAAAGCTCAGAAGTTTATGTCATGTTTTTTTCAAATTTTTGAGATTTTCGATGTTTTGAAAACGCGAATCGATAGAACATCAAAAAATATACTAAGAGATTTTTTACAACGCGAAAAAATGTATTATAAAAGTTTTATTGCCTAAAAACGATTTTTGAAAGCTATGGGCAGCACATAGGATAACAGGGGGGGGGGATTTTTCGGCGTTTTGAATATTTTCGATATTTTCAAAATGCCATTCGATAGAGAACCGAAAAATACACTAAGAGCTTTTTTACAGCCCGAAAAAAGCATACTTAAAAATACTTTTATCATATAAAAAGTTTGAGTGCCCCCCCGTTATCCTATGTGTTCCCAAAATTTAATTACAAAAATTCTATCTATCGATTTAGTTTTATCCCAGTCCCCCCTTTGACCTCACGGCAGCACGGGAGACGGCGACATCTGGTGGACATCTCGACACTAGGGCTACATTAGTGCGTCCGGCCATATCAAGCCCAAGAACAGATGTAGTGAGTAAGGTCATTAATGCTTCAGATAAGATATCCTATATATAAGATCGGGATTCGCCTGCGTTCCCCATCAGTACTTGCCTTCTTATCCCCTTCCCCCTAAACCCAAGAAAACTCTCCTCGAAAGCTGGCGCGTTCAAAGCGACACCACTTTTGAGGAATGTTCTTGGCAATCGATATCTATTAATATATTTGTATCTGGCTCTTAATGACTTTATCACTCTGCAGAGAAAACATTCGTTATTTATTACCTTCCTAGGTAACTAACCTGAATTGCCTTGCCCGTTTTTACCCCCTCAAACACGGCTTTTCCTCCATTTTCGTTTTCATTTTCTGTTATCAACTTTTTATTAACCCTTTTTTCAGCCTTAACGACACCTTACACCATGATGATGTCCCTGGTTGCCCTCTGTATGGAAAAGGTTCTCCTCAAGACCTCTGGCGACACCTTCCTCGCCGGGGTCTCTTTCATGTACGCCGCAGACCTCGCCCCGGATCGGTAGGTTATATTTTACACTTTTCTCTTTTCGGTTTACGTTACGTTCACGTTTAAGTTATCACCTTTCGTTACGTTTTTTTTAGCATCACCGTGCAACGTACGCACTCGGGCAAGTACGTGATGATGTTCCACTCCAAATGTGACGTCCGCCCGTTTGCGGTAAGGATTTGGAAAATCATTATTGGGGTCTGACATTATTTTTGGTGGGATTTGACAAAAAGCCATTTGAGCAAGCGGCAAAAAATAGTATAATCCGGCCCGACAAGATTTCATCTAAACTTTATTATTATTTCATAAAGAGGAAATGCTCCAAAACTATGGCCGTTAAGTATAAATATCTTCAAATTTTGAAAGATTTATCTTACTTTATTTTAGGCAAACTACATCTCCTTCGACAGAGTCCTACAAGGACTCGCTCACCTTAGCGCGTGGCACCTGAAATCGATCGAATTTATCGACATCCAGTTCCGATCGAGCGATATGCCGCTCTTGGAAAAATCGATCGAGGTAAGCCCGGTTTATTTTACGATCAAACGGTTTATTTCGGTTGACAGGAATGCCAAAATTATAGTTTAAAGTCGACCGAATTTAGCATTTTGAGAATTTCGAAAGATTTTCCCTTTTATGGTATGTTAAGATATCCGGTTTTAAGGTAGGGCCAAGCCTAAAAAAGTTGCTTCGTGCTCTATAATTCTAAATAAATTAAAAAATTACACGTTTATTTACATTAAAAATATAATTAAAATTATGTTCACATTAAAATCAATTTGAAGGATTAGATTTATTTGCGTTTTTTAGCAAGTTGGCGCTGAGCTGGTCATGCTGCGCAATTGCACATACCCCGGGATCCTGCATGGGGAGGAGTCGCAGAAGCTGCTCAGCATCTTGAATCGGTAAATTTAAAACAATTTCAGAGAACAGACAATTAAATTACAAAAAATAAAACCATAATTAAAAAATTATCAATTTTGCCTTTTCAGGAACAAGGAAGGGGTTGTCTGTGAGTACGGCAACGCCCGGCTGAAGCTTCGGTTGAGCCCGCGTCCGAATCCGATTCCTGTTATTCCTGGGCTTGGACAGCAAAAGTAAGTATCGTTTTATGAAAACTTTTCTGATACCTGCCGAGTCTAGAATTAGCGTTGACCATGATTTTAAATTATAAATGTAAAAATTATTATTTGAATTTTTCCAGCTATCTCGACGAGGCCGTGGTTTTGATGCTGGCGGCAGCAGCTGGACAGCGTGTGCCGAACCATCGGGCCAGGCGATAAATGTATTCTAGTAAAATTTATTAAGCAAAAATTCTTAACGTCTATTTAATGAAGTAACGGGTTCAGTCGCATATTTTGCCCCAATTCTGCGCTAAAATCCGCTCCATGTTGTAAATACCCTGTGTCATATACCGCGATTGAATAACATTGCCAAGAATAAAGTGTCAGAAGTATGTTTTTTTCGTTTTTTTCAAAAAAAACACGATGAAATATGCAAAAATAGGGTTCATTATTTCAGTTTTTCAGGTTCTTGACTGCGATAACAATTCTTGTTTTCTCTGCTTGTAAGTTAGAGTATTTTGTATTTTTTTATG